ACCATTACAGCCCCTATGCCATCAATACGGCCCCTATCTCTGGCAGCTGCCTTTAAACCTCCAATACAATTGGAGCTAACCCTGATTCTCCCTTCCCATCTTATGCTGAATGGAAATTCCTCTACTTTTTACATGTTTTTCTTACACCTCACACATTGCCACAGTGGGCCAAACTTTTCACTCATGGCTACTCACACAGCTACACATACCACTCACATCTACCCACATGCAGCCACGCACATCACTCACAGCTATAAACAGAGCTAGCCTTATACATCACGCACAGAAAGCCACAACAAACTCCTAACACATAGCTTACAGCCACCCTACACACCTACACAAGACGCACACCCACACCAGACATCCACTCAACATTTTAATAAATATTCACATTACATAACATTAACAAAATAGCATAGTGGAATCATTTCCTGGTACACATCCTATTGCAATGCACGTGGTGGCTTTACTGGAATCTGTGCAAATAAGCTGAGATGGGCGGGTCTTATGGTTGTGATGTCACAACGTGGGGGGGGCGGCAAATTATTTTTTTGCCTAGGGCGGTAAAAATCCTTCCACCGGCCCTGTGCGCATGTGTGCACTTCCTCACTGGGCGTGACGACATCTCAGCAGCTTCTTCCTCCAGCACGTCTTCTAAGGCAATGATGTGAACGGGCGATAGGGAGGCACCCAGCAGGCACAGGTAGCTTAGTACAGGCTCTTCAGTCTTCTCTATAGCTTCCTATAGTTTCTTGACATGAGTCCTGAAATATAAAGTCACTTTTCTGCTGTTATCTCTCATTTGCCGCTAGCCAATCCAGAGCTACCTCCTGAGTTACCTGAGAATCTGACTAGATACTATTAATCTGTCTTACAACACCTCACAGCTAACCTCCAACATCAACCCTTCCATTGCCACCACCCATATGCTATTACAGGTCACATAGCCTGAGACAGTTAATATGCTCTACACCAGGGGTAGGCAACCTTTTAGCAGCACTGTGCCGATATAGGATTGTGATGTCCCGTAGCGTGCCGATCCTATTTTTTTTAAATTGAGGTGTGTATGCTGCCATATTCTGCTTGTGTTATTTTTACTGTAATTGCTTTGTATCATTGTATTTGTGCGTATATGAGCTATTATATTGTATATGTTCATTAGTAGTTTATGGTATTGTGTAAGATACATATGAATGTGGGCTGTGTATGAGGGCTGCTTGTGGAATTGTGTGTGGATGGATATGTCACTTTGTGTGTTTGGTAGTAGGTGGGGGCTGTTTGGGGCATTGCATGTGAGAGGCTTCATGTGGGGTTGTGTGCATGTATGTGGATTGTTAGTGGTGTTGCGTTTGTGGGGATTGTGTGTATGCTTGTGTCTGGGCTGTTATTCTGCATTTCTGTGTATATCTAGCAGTGTGGGTGGCTTCCCTGGTTCCAGTGGGGACCAGGCTGGCCAGGTACAGGTCAAGGACAGGAGCTGCAACACCAGCTGCGGGCTTCTCTTCTACAGTGTAGACTCCCATTCACAAGTGCTGGGAGGAAGTGATCTGAGATCACTTCCTCTATGTGCAGCAATACATAAATTGAGGATTGTCCTTCACCACCTCTTTGTATTAGCAGATAACTGAAGTTTTACTGGGACTCCTGATAGGCCAGAGCCTGTTTGGCTCTAGCAGCCTTGAGTGCTGTGCAAAGACACCTCGAGTGCCGCGCATGGCACTAGTGACATAGGTTGCCTACCCCTGCTCTACACTATGGAATATATACTAGATTTTACAGGACATACTTAAAAATAAAAGAAATAGCACTAAAATGAAAACTGAAATGCGGGAGAAAAGGAAGAGCCACAGATAGATAGATGATAGATATAAAAACAGATAGATAGATAGATAGATAGATAGATATAGCTCTAGAATAGGAACAATGAATGATTTGAAGTCATTTGAGAAGAATTTCGAAGCTATCTTGTAACTGTAGACATTTCAGAACGATGCTAGCTGATATATGTGGTTATATTGTGCCCTCTGCTGACAGAATGCAGTACAGCAAGTATTTATTTTTTAAATTACTGTTTTCTTTTTTTTTTTATTCAAGGTTTATTTGCGTGGTTTTTACATACATCAGTAAAGGCAAATATGTGTATCAGGAGTAATATGTAGCTTTACAGTTACACGGTATAGCACATTGTTTGATAACAGACAATAATATGAGCCTACAGCACACTGTTTAATCTGAGTATGTCTCAGCGTACTTCAGTCTCAGTACGTTATTTTAATTTAGGTCCGGATATCACAGCAGTGTGAAGTCGTGGCATTGGGTCGATAGCCAGTTGTGTCGGGCAGTTCTGGTTTTGGTAGAATTATAAGTGATAGGTTCTGTCGCGTTCTTTCATATGAAGTCAGGGATTAATTATGTTTTGTTTGCTGGGTGCTGTTGGCTTATAATGGTAAGACAGTACATTTAGGCGTTGTAACAGAGAGCCTATTTCATCTTAAGATGCCTATCTAGTATATCTAGCCTACTTGGTCTAAGTCTGAGTCAACGTCTACGAGTTGATAGCCTAAGTCAGTAGGAACCTCTGTTTAATTTTAGAGTGTTAGAAAAATTGTAGTAGCGACTAGTAGCACAGGTTTCCTGTGTTTGTTTGGACTGTTCGGTCCATCATTGCCTGTATGTTGGTTCAGAGTCTAATTAAGCACATTTGGCCAAACAGTAATGGCATAAGACTGTGCAAAGCGTAGTATATGTCACGTCAAGTTTTGTAACAAAGTTGTTCCCTCCTTCCAAAAGGGGGAGGCATAAAAAGGGAAAAAGGGCCTACGTGAAGTCCCCATTTAAGCACCGGTGGGAGTATCTCCCAGCGGTCTAAAAGGGCCTTGTGCCGTGCACGCGTGGCCGGGCATAGTAATACACCCTGAAGTAAAGTAATAAAAGGAAAGAAGTAAGTTGATGGCAATATGGGTATGGAACAGGTCTCCCCCGCCCATCCCATTCAAACATAGCAGTCTGTGACAGTCAGGTGTATACAAGCAATGTAGCCTTACGTATAATGTGTGTCTCAGCTCATATCCGTGTGCTGTGTTTAAGCGATAGGTCATATATAACAACAATTAGCTTGCGCCCATGCGGTCACTGTAGCGTTAACAGCGTATTCATTTTTATAACGAGATTATATAGAGCGGTAAAACTAATCAACTGCAGTAGACGAATGCTCACAACCGAGCAAAACAAGATACCCTAAACTCAAATAGTAGGAGACATTAAGAACGATTAAAACAAAGTAAGAAAGTCATAGTCTTCCCCCCATTCATCCCGTTCAGATACGGCAGTCTCTGGTATGCAGAAGTTGGCAAACCATGGTAGGCTGTCAGCAGCACGGCAGCCTCTGCCCCCAGAGGCACCAGGACCCCCTTCCAGATCCCCCTTCAGTCCTAACCCTCCAGCAGAGTATCCTGTGGCGAAGTGGGCACTCAGAAAATGAGACAGTCTGCTGGGTCCCCCCACCTAGGGTCCATGGCCCGTCTATCTCCTGCACCTCCCCTGCACCTTCAGGGGCTCAGTGAGGCATCACCCCCTCCAATGTCTCTCCCAGCTCCGGCCACATACTTGGATCCGCCGTGTGTCACTCATGGTCACCGGTACACCGTTGCTCCACACAGACTGGCTCCACAGGACTCACGGCTTTGGGGACAAGTCCCTCCAGGCCCCCCACAAACCCAGAGGTCAAGGGCAGCATGCCTCTGGTGGGTAGACTTTCCGGGTGGCTCCTTCCCGGGTCAACGATTCCCCGGGGTCCGAGGCCCCCATGCTGCAACCCCACATGTGAGTGCGATCCCGCATACCGCCACCTCCAGGCTTAATGCGCATGTTATGGATATGGCAGGGAGAGGGGAGAGCAACATGTTTGGCTGTGAGTCAGGTTGCGGTCAAGTTCCAGGTCCGCTCCAGCTGTCTGGCTTTTGTACCCCCCACCGTCCGGAAGGTAGGGGGGGGGAGCGGGGCCGGGCCGGCTCCCAGTCTGCCAACCGTTACATGCCTTGCAGGGCCGTGGGCATGCTTAGAAGTGGGCCAGTCTCTTCTCCTCCGTTGCTTGTCGTCGTAGTGAAGCGTGGAGGTAGGCCTGAGGTGCCGGCGGGCCCGATCTTTTGGTATAAAGGCTCCGGGGCCGGGATCTCCCGGCTGTTGATGTGTTCCCACAGATGAGTGTAGCGGTATCTGGTTGCTAGCTGGGCTCTTTCGGCCCTTTATCTTCGTTTTTACGGAGTGGGGACCGGAGCTGATGAAAATGGCTGCTGTTCAGCTCGGCGGCCCGGCCCCCTACTGTTTTCAATGCAATCACAATCCCCGAATATCAATCAACACCTTCCTCTCTATAACATTGCCAGAGTTAACAATTGTTATCTTAAAAACAGGCTTAGCTTCAGTCATGATCATTAAACACAGGATCTTAAAATTAATACTTTGAGACTGCAATGTAAAAGGGACACTATAGTCACCCACACCACTTCAGCTTATTTTTGAGAAAGTGCAATAATTACCTTACAGGACTAAGACTGCCTCTAGTTGTTGTCAATCAGGCAGCCACTAGAGGCCCTTCTTGGCTGCTAACGGACTCTAGGTCGCCTAAATGGCACTGGGTGTCCTCACGCTCTGAATGGGGACATCCAGTGTCAATTAAATCTCCATAGGAAAGGATTGAAGCAATGCTTGCATTTGTGGAGAGCCTAACATGCTGCTTGTCGGATGACGTTGGAGGAGGCAGAGGTCTGACCCAGCGCAGAGGGACTTCTGACTGGAATCGGGAAGATGACAAAAAGTTTTCTTAACCCTTTAAATGCCAGGGGAGGGGGCCATTAAGGAGGGGGGACCAATGGGCACTAGAGTATTAGAAGTTCAGATTTGTATTTCTAACACTATAGTATCCCTTTAACAACAAAATGGATTCATCTTGGAATGATCTGACCTGTCTGTTTGACCCCATGTATAATGAAATGGTAATGTTTATCATTAATCTGTTGTGTTCCAAATCAACATATGTTTCTTAAAGGTTCTTCATTCTGATATTTTAGGTGTATCAGTTTTACCATGTTATATTGATGTTCCTGTGCATAACTGACCTTAAATTGGTTTAATTAATAAGAAAGAATGGTAGGTAAAAGTTTGGTGACGCTGTTTGCAGATGTCATCATTGCTTCTAATGTTTGTTCTGCTTATTCACAAACACGTTGAACATTTTTGTAATATTGTGTTTATGTTAATAAAGTGCTTTCTGTTTATTTGTTAATACACTTCTTTATCAAGCTTGTTTGTTTTGTTTGGTGAATTTGCCAAATGTCCAATGGTAAAGTTAATGTGCTGTTAACTCTTCTTCTTAAAAGTGCTGTCAAAATGTAATGGAACTTGGAGATTGTGATTGCTTTGACATCATTAACAGTACGTCAGCAGCCTTTCACGGTTTGATAAAGGTGGATTGGAACGTACCCCTACTCTAGTCTGAAGTCAAACTGATAATTTATCAGGGTTCCATAAATATTGCAAAGTCCTACGTTCTTATATAATAGTTTAGCAAATCCAGAATCGATACAGAGCTTATTGAATAACCCCAGTGGTGTATTTTAATGCGTATGTTGTCTACATCTATACATTGAGTGTTTAATACATACGTGCATGTTCACATAGTGAGATTTATTTACTAAAACAGATTTATGAAGAAGTGACAAAAAACATTTAAAGGGTTAGCCCACGGAAGTGGTTATTATTCCAAGAGTACCCTGGCCCCATTTCCCAGCAATGGGGCAAACCGTTTTTTCCTCTAGGGGCCAGTGACAACGTCCAGCATCTACAGAACTGCAGAAACCAGATGCCGATCCTGTTACCATTCATTTGATGAGAGCATCAGCTGTCCGCTCTCAGCCAATGAATGCAATTCTGTGCATAGAAATACAGCCCTTAACCCCCTACTACAGCCTTTAACCCCTTAAGGACCAAACTTCTGGAATAAAAGGGAATCATGACATGTCACACATGTCATGTGTTCTTAAGGGGTTAAACCACACTACAGCCCGCCACCGGGCAGAGTAAAGAGCCTAGTAAAGACCGCAGGCCAATTCTGAATAGCTCAGCCATACTACACAGTAAGAGAAGTTGGATATTGAAAGTAATAATTGAGCAATGATCTTCAGAGCTAACAGAAGCTGCAGGTGTGTTAAGCTGGAACATGCCTCCTTCCTTCTCAATGAAATTACAGTTAATGTAAAAATATTTGGAAGCCGTCGTCACGTGCATTCGCTCGTGGCTCCAGCAGAGCAGCTTCTCAATGAAAGTCAACGCTGGAGATAGAAAGCAAGTTTTTTTGTTTTTTTTCATATATGCCCAAAGAAATGCATGTTTCTTTTAGGGGTATATCTACTAAATTGTTTTTTAAAAATAGCGGAGTGTTCCTTTAATGATACAGCGTGGTATGGGATATTGCTCTGGTGGTAGTATTTTTAATGTAATTGGTTTAATGCTGCGTGGGGTTTGTAAATATAGGTTTCTATAATATTCAAATAATTCAAAGATTTGGTGTCATAAAGTGATTTATAGAACAAGCTGGTGTTGGAAATAGAGCATTAAATAGATATAGGATGGGAATTTTAGAGGGGCTTAAATCAACCTCTATTCTGCTACCTAGCAATGCCCCTATGTATATATCATTTATTTCCCATTGCTATCTCTGAATGCAGTTTAGTCAAAATATTATATGAACGGCCTGTAGATACAGTGATAATATTATTTCCTATCTTTTGTTACTTCTGTTCGTTTAATTATGAAATAGATGCAATTTCCTTGTTTATAACTTCTGACATATGCCTGTGGCTGAAAATTGGTACTGAGTGAGAACCTTTAAAAGGTTTCAAAACTTACTGAACTTGTTGTTCCTTGTTCCATTCAGAAGCTTCTGGTGCATCGAGTGTTTTTGCTATTTCCTTTTCAGATGATAAGATCTCAGTGAAATGGTAAAACTGGAGTTTTTGCCCATCCCATCTAATCCTCATTTATTTGCAAATTACATGTAATTAAATGTGAATGATTGTATTTTGGTGACACATTCCTAGCCTTTTAATCTAGTCTGTGATTGTCTGGGATGTGGAAGTCTAATAGCTCAATGTTCTAAACATGTTGATCTGTAATAATTTGATTATTTTAGATTATTTAAAGAGGTACTATCACACCTCCTAAATGTCCCTATTTAAGAGGGACCATCCCAATTTTGGACCAAAATCCCTCTGTCCCGCTTTTTTATTCTGTTGTCCCTCTTTGTTTGAGCACTCCATATTGTTGGTGTGTCTGAGTGTATTACAGAGCTCCACAGCAATAATACTCACAGTAATGTCTTAACACAAATACATCTTCACGGTATTGTATATTTAAAGGAACACTAGTGTTAGAAATACAAAGTTTTATTTCTAACACTATAGTTCCCTCTGCTCCCCACCTTCCCTTGCACCCCCGACAATGAAAGGGTTAAAAAACCCTTAAAAACAATCGCCTTGGTCCAGTACCGATTTCCTTCTGCACTAGCTATGTCTCTGCCGCCTCCGACGTCAGGGGAACCTAATGTGTATGGGTGGGTTTTTAAAGATGCTGGACATCCTCATATATAACGTGAGGATGTCCAGTGTCGTTTCTTGGAGGTAAACTTAGTGAAAACAGCAGGAAGTGCCTCCAGTGGCTTTCTCAGAGACAGTCACTAGAGGCAGTCTTACCCCTGCATTATAAACATGTACGGAGACAGCGTCAGTGCACCCAGACCATTTCAATTAGATGAAGTAGTCTGGGTGCTTATAGTGTCCCTTTAAGATCCAAGGAATGTGTTTAGAAATCAGCCTCTATAAGTAAGATACATACTTGATCTGAATTACATTTTAGTTGTGTAAATTGTTATTAGTAATTCTGAAAAATGTCTTCAAACAGCCAAGCCCCTGGCCGCACCCAGACTCACACTATAGGGCAGCGGTTCCATGGTATGCTTACCCCCAGGAGTATGTAAAAAAAAAAAGTTGGTTATAGTGGCGGGGTATGCACACCATACGGGCTGGCATTCACAGGCTGAGGGTCACACGATGGGCATGTGCCACTAAGGGCGCAGCCATGTGATGTGGTGCTTTAACAGCACAACTTGTTCAAACCTGCTTGGAGGAAGTGAGAAAGAGCTGGGCAGATTGTGTGTATCTGTATGTCAGTGTTTGCATCTATGTGTTCCAGTTTGTGTCTCAGTATGTATCAGTATGTGTGTCTGTGTATCCGCATGTGTTGCATTGTTTGTATCTGTGTGTCTGTACATCTGTATGTGTGTCAGTGTGTGTATCTGTATGTGAGGCTGTGTATGTATCTGTTTATCGGCACATGTGTCAGTGTTTAAATCTGTGTATATATATGTATGTCAGTGTTTGTATCTATGTGTCTGCATTTGTATGTGTATCTGTGCTTGCATCTGTGTGTCTATGTATCTGAATGTGAGTCAATGTGTGTGTATCTATGTCTGTATCTGTGTATCTGCATGTGTGGCAATGTTTGTATCTGTGTTGCAACAAAAACAAAGAATATGACAACTCTGAGCATGGACAAAAGCTTAGAGAAATTCAGTAGCTTGCCCTTCGGTAAATCCTCACTCAGGTCTCAAAATAGTTTTTGGTCACTTGTGTCATTACAGAGAGAAAATATTCCGAAGCATATCAGACTGATCCCACACATAAGGGCAGTCCAAAACCAAAATGTCAGCAAGTTCTCTCTGCACGAGAGATACAGCAACCCCAGATGATCATTTTGACCTCATCAGGGAGGTGTAGCTGTTACCCCGCCAGGCACAGTGAGCTGGGGATCACATCAAGATTACCCTTTTAACTTGGGGAGATCCAAGTTAATGAATTGCAAAAAAGAACCCAAAGAATATGAGATAACGGATAAAAGCTTAGATTTCAAAATAGTCTCTGCTCACTTGTGCCATGTGTGTCTGTACATCTGTATTTGTGTCAATATGTGTATAAATGTGTCTGTGCAACTCTATGTATGTCTGTATCTGCAGGTGTGGCAGTGTTTGTATCTGTGTGTCTATGTCTGGCAGTATGTGTATCTATACGTGTTAGTATGTGTATCTGCAGGTGCATGTGTGGCAGTGTACGTATCAGTTTGTCTGCGGAACTGTGTGTGTGTCATTGTTTTCATCTGTGTGTGTGTGTGTGTGTCAGTGTTTGTATCTGTGTGTGGCAGTATATATATCTGTGTATACGTGTGTGTATAAAATGTATCATTTTGAATTAACATCAGCTATTTTAATAACAAACATTTCTCCAATATGAGGGGTACAATTTATGGAAATGTGCTACCAAGAGGTACTCACGTTACAAAAAGGTTAGGAACCACTGCTCTAGGGCATCTGTGGAGAGATTAGCACAGTGTGAGAGAAAAAGTGAGAAAACTATCTATTTATCTCTTTAGGGGGCAGTTACATAAAAAATTACTAGGACACTATAGTGTTAAGAATATACATTTGAATGTTAGCACTTTTTAAAACTAATATCAAATATCACTAAATAGAAGATATTAAATTAGATTATATGGATTTTGTCATCCCTTTGTAACACTTTAATAAGTGTTGGAAAGAGAGACCCAGAGTGTAATTAGACAAGGGTGGATTTAACCGTATAGTTGGCCTCACCCTGCCGCTTATTCTATCCATCTTTTCTTAGATGTCACGAGGTGAACTCATTTTTTTATCCCTTAGTGACCCAACAGGGAGGCAGTGAAATAGTTTTCTGGGAAACCTCTTTTTCATCCCCCCTCTTGGAATGATTAGTCGACTTTAGCCTTAAGCATGCCCCAATCCTAAATAAACTCTAGAGCCAAACGCATGTACGCCGTAAGTAACCTCTAGCTCTAACCACCTAAACACCCTAAGTACATTGCAATTAATTGAAGAGGGAATTGGCAGAATTGTGGCATATTTTGCATTCTAAAGTAGCTCTGTCACCAGAGGCGTAATTAGAAACACCGGGCCCTGGCCTGCAAATTGCTCTGGGCCCCTCATGTGTCTCATTCCCCCCCAGACCACCTATTTGTCTTGTTCCTTTCCCCTAGCCCCTGCATGTGTCTCATTCCCTCAAACAGTCCCTCTACGTGTCTCATTTCCACCCAGCCCCTCCATGTGTCTCAGTTCCCCTGCCCCAAGCCCCAAGCTCCTCCATGTGTCTCATTTCCTCCCTCCACCCCTCCATATGTTTCAGTCACTCCCCCCAGACCCTCTGTGTCCCATTCCATTCTCCCCCCTGTGCCTCCATGTTTCTCTACCCCACTCCCTCCTGTACTTGCTCACCACTGTCTCAGTGAGCAGTGAGCACTTCCTGTCAGACCGCTCAACCATGCATAGCGGCAGGAGGGGAGCATCACAGCGCTCCCCTCCTTCCAGTTATCTGGCAACCATGGGCCCTGGAGCGGTGAGGCTGTGCACCGGCCCCTAAGGTATATTGGCGGCCCACGATTGCATGGGATGCTGATGCGACTGTGGAAGGTACGCTACTGTCTGTCACTAATGAGCATTTCGTAAGGATGTAATTTTTATGAAACACTCATATTGATTGCGCTGAAATTTCATTACGATTCAAACTCAATTAAAAAATATCATGTGCAAAACACAACAGTGCAACAGTGGAGCAGACGCCTGGTAATGAAGCACCAGAGTTGTGCATTCAGCTCAAAAACAAATTGCCATTTCAGGCACCAGAATTCTGCAACTCTGAAGCATAATATGGACGTTTCACAAAACAAACAACATAGAGAATGGATTGTTTGTTTTGCAGTATATATATATATATATATATATATATATATATATATATATTGATATTTTTATATTGATATATTAGATATTTAAAGGATTACTCTAACTACCATGGCCATTTCAGTGACAATGGTGGTAGGAGTCTGTATGCGCAGCATTTATGCTTGAAAAGCTGCAAGTACAGAGTTATTTATATTTACTTTATAATTACACCCCCGGCACACTTCCCTTTGTCAGCATTCTGGGCTGACTAATGTCAATTCTGTGTATAAAATATGCATGTCATCTGTGCATGCAGGAAACCAACATGTAGAGGTGTATTGCAAACATTTTTTGAGGCAAGGGGGTGGGGGGGGGCGCTAATTAATAGTGCCCAATAGAGCATTTTAAAAGGGTCAATATATAAAATATAAATAGAACTATTATTTTTTTTTTTACTGCTTCCCCTTTTTCCCTCCATTGGTTAATTTTTCTCACTTGATCTGTGAACCAATATAAAATATTTAATATTTATTTTGCATTACACAGATTGGTCTATTTTTCGCTCCATTTTGATTTGTCCAAAATTTTTGGCTTGTCCCCCAAAATGATTAAATGGACGAACATCAGACAAGCCGAAACACCACACGGACAATTTTTGGTCTACCTGAACAAAACTTTTTTTTCAGATGAATTGACGTGGCCGAAATTTTTTCACCGTGCAAAACTCCTACAAAGCACCAGTAGGTGCAGATGGACCCTGGAGAATGGAAAGTGGCAAAGGTAAGTATATATCTTTTTAGATTCTCCCTTCAGCCTCTGGAATGCATGGAGGCATTTTACCTTAAAAAAACAGATTACCTGCAAAATTTTCAAACCCCCCTAAATTCAAAACTATTCGTTAAGAACTTTAAATTCCTTCCTTGCTGTTTCTTTCTGTTGGAATTTAAAGGTGAAAATGTGATATTTTCACTTATTTTTATTATTATACACAACCTGAATTTATTATTTTATTTTAATTCTTGCTCATATTGGACATTAGTTAACAAAAGTACTCAGACATTTTAAATCTTATATTATTCAGAATATGTATTTTTATTTATGTTGTTTAGCCTAATTATTATGGTTGTTTAATCTTTAGTTGACATTCATTATAAATATTTAAGAAATCATTGAGCCTTTGCATTGATTTGTCATCTCTTCCCTGTTTGGTTGTTTTGTAACCTTACGCTTTGATAATGGGGAGGATTACATTTCTGCTATTGTTCTGGTGGGAGTGATGACAGGGAGTGACATTTCCTTGTGTAATCTTTTCTGTCTCTGAATTTGCACCATTAATTACCCTGAGCTTTGTTTTACAGTGAAATGTGTTCTCCAAAATTGCATTTCTGCCAGAGCAATACTAATTATAATATTATTATTATTATTTTATTATTTATATAGCGCCAACAAATTCCGTAGCGCTGTACAATGGGTGGACTAACAGACACATAATTGAGATCAGACCACTGACGTACAGGAACAGAGGGGGTTGAGGGCCCTGCTCGATGAGCTTACATGCTAGAGGATGGACTGGCTATACTGGATGGCTGACTTCAGTGGGAGTTGAGATCTACAAATGCAGATTTGCTAATCTTTTCAAAAAATGTCAAGGAAAAAACACTAAAGATGTAACTGTATCCACAGAATAACCATGAATCTGGAATCCCACTCCCCAAGGCCAATAGAAACACGGGCCTTGCAGTATATTATTTAATTGCAAAATGACCAAAGGTGCTGTAATACACTTAGTGACCCAGTGCCACATATATAATGTAATAAAATACAAATATAAGTCTCTGGTACTCATTAACAGTAGATGAAAACTACAGGCAACCATATGGGATATTGCAGGTATCTTTTTAAACGTTACTTGCCCAAATATGTCAAATTAATGCAATCCAAGGGCATTTGCCACCTATCAGAAATGCCAGACCACCTGTGTCTCTGTATATTTTGTATATACCGGTATATATCTTTGGAAAACAGAACCCAGGGAAATATCACTTTGTGCTCTGACCAGGGTGCTTGGAAAGACGGTGGGCAAACATTCTATGTGATCAAGCAATGGCAGGTTGACAATTTATTTTTCTATTCACTGATTCTCTTGCAGAAGCTGAAAATTGTAAATGTATAATATAGAAGTTTTATTCTGCACCAGCTAGACACAGCCGAAACTGAGAATGGAGACCAAACGGCAGTTTGTATTAGAATGAAAATACATTTGACATGTTTGATAACTTATTTATTAAAAAACTATAATGTTGCACTTAACCCCTTAAGGACCAAACTTCTGGAATAAAAGGGAATCATGACATGTCACACATGTCATGTGTCCTTAAGGGGTTAAACATGTAATGTTACTATTTGATATATGCCCTGGGTTAAAGTGCATTCATATGATAATAAAAACCAGAGAGAAAAGCTTTGAACTTTGACATTTTTTTTAACCTTTACAGGTTTGACCAAGATGACATAATATATATATTTATATTTGGCAAACATTTTCTATTTGTTTCAAGCAAACAGATTTCATCACATCCTTCTTTTAACAAGGAGATTAGACAAACCAAGTCTATGGAGCCTCTGGGATTTCATCTTCACTGTACATGATAGTGTTTTAAAGCTTCATTTTGTGAGCCCTTTGCTTTGTATACACTTCCCAGCAGTCATGAACGGTGTTCAATCTAATTATCTGCCATTTAGGAGTTAAATCACTTTGTTTATGCAGCCCTAGTCACACCTCCCTGCATATGACTTAAACAGCCTTCCTAAACACTTCCTGTAAAGAGTCATCTAATGTTTACATTTCCTATATTGCAATTTCTGTTTAATTTAGATTTGATTATCTCCTGCTCTGTTAATAGCTTGCTATACCCTGCAGGAGCTTCCTGTATGTGATTAAGGTTCAATTTACAGAACAGGAGAGACTTTTAAAGTAAGCAACATCTGATTAAAAATTAAACCTTTGTTATCATGCAGGCTGTGTTAGTCACTGCCAGAGGAGGTGTGACTAGGGCTTCATGGACAGAAACAAAAGTGATTTAACCCCTAAATGGCATAAAATTGAGTAGTAAGACCATAGGAGCCTGATCTATACACCAAAACTGATTCATTAAGTTTAAGTTGTTTTGGTGACTATAGTGCCCCTTTAAGGCCAATTCTCCCAATTCTCCTAAATGAACACTGTAATTTAGTCCTCTGGAATCTGAGCCATGAGATGGAGTGTCCAAAATGAGAGGGAATCCATGATGCACACTGTATTATGGGGGCTTATGCCATGAAAGACACAAGACTAACACATGCTAGTTGCCCGCTAGCCAAACCGCACCCCTAAGCATGTGCTGAGCAATGCAGAAGCAGCGTGACATGTTGAGTGAGTTCAGGCACAGCTCTGAGATTTACTCTGCAAAAAACAGGAATCCAGACAAACAACTGTTGATGGCTGTACACGCTCTGAAACAGATGGGAAAATATCTGCTTAGTCTAAGGTCTATGAGACGTAAAAGATGCATATAATGGATAAATAATTGATCATATAAACATGTCACTTTCTTGGTAATATAGCAATATGTTCACATCTCCTTTAAAGAGTAATTAAACATGGCTAATCGAATGTTTCTGTTTATTGTGTTAAAAAAAATGTTATAAATTTGCCTGAAATAGTAAATACTAGCCAAATTCGCACATTGGTGAGGGACAGGATGGTAGAATTCTGTAGGTGCAAGGCAATGGTATCCCAGTAAGCATTTACAATAAAATTGATGGTCATGAGTTTTATTGCCCTTGGTGCTTTCTTTAACCCCTTAATGACCAAACTTCTGGAATAAAAGGGAATCATGACGTGTCACACCTGTCATGTGTCCTTAAGGGGTTAATATATACATCACTGAGGATATCTGTTATCAATTTGCCTGATAGTGAAATAGCACATTCTATCCAAATGAACCCATTGGTAATTAACGTAATGGTAGAATTCTTTAGGTACAAGGCAGTGGTATCATGTATGTAAAACAAACAAACTAAAAAAAGAAAAAAAGGATAAAAATAACCTTCTGGTAAAACTAGAAAGTATAGTTTTGGATCATAAGCCTACACGCCTCACAAATCAAATATGAGGTCACTTTTTACACTTGTTATCCTCGTTGGAAAGTTCTACATACACCTTAACCTAAACATGGACTGTTTAAAAAATAAAAAAGACAGGTATTAGGACTGTGCAGTGTTGGGTATCACTAAGTGTGAGATAGGAGTATGTTGCTGGCTGGATATCTACAAGGTGTGGGAAACAGTGATGCCCTATGAACACTGATACTCAAAGTATTCTGATAAACCCAAATGAATTGCTATCCAAGTAACAGAGGCCATACATCCATGTTCTCAGACTTACTCCTCTGTCAGCTTCTTCTTTATTTTTGTTGTGGAAAATCGTTACAGTAGGAAGTCACGCGGCGAGTAAAACATATCCACGTTTATAGTTTAAGTAATAAAATTAAATTGGCACAGTGCTATAAACATATAAACATTGGTCAGCTTTGAAGGTGCCTATCTGAAAACATTTGCTTAAACATATAGGTAAAATAAACACAGTACACTGGTGGTTGTGGGTGTACACTGGGGGAACATGCCCCTAGAGCTAGGCTTTGGATTTAAAGAGCTATATATCAGCGTTGGTGGGAATAACACACTCTATCATAGGTGGGGGGTGCGATATATGGAGATGTATGTAGGATCATTAACGTGCATTGTGTACTGCAGTTTGCTCTCAGTAAGGGTTAGGCAGCTCATCTTGGTGTTAGCCTATGTATGATTGTAGGCTTGGGGGGATGGGTATATTTACAGTGGTGGTCTCTCTTGCCAACCTCTCCAAAGCTGCTCCTGACAGGGTGCAAGTCTCGTGGTGTCCGAGTATATGGTGGCTGCTGTGCCTTACCCTAGTATGGAAATTAGTCGTTGTTGAAGTGGATGGCCCTCTGGCCAGCACAAATGGGGTGATGTTGGCTACAATCCAGAGATGTCTCTGTTGCCTTTTAGATGTCGGGTCGACTTGTTTATCGATGCATAGGGGGGCGAGAAAGTTTGGGCCTTCTGCTATCGAGTGGAGCTTGTATACTGTCCTGTCTTTTATGACATGAAGGGCTCTTGGCGTTCCCCAGCATTAAGGGATTTTTTTATCCCGTAGAGTGCATGTAATAGGACGTAACGATTGTCTCCACAGCATGGTGGTTCTGGACAGGTCTGCATAGAATGCCAACGAGTGTTGCTCAAAGTCCAGAGTTGGTGAATTCCGGACAGCCGTCATGACAGCCATTTTATCCAGGTATGTTACGAATTGTACGATAGGGTCCCTTGGAGCCTGATGTGTTGGCTGGGATTGGGTACGGAATCTGTAGAAATTGTCAAATGAGGAGGCTTTTGGCGTTGGAAGAGATGCCTCAGGAACAGCGCTATCTCTGTCTGATCCACCGTTTCAGGGATGCCCCGGATTTTAATATTCTTGCGTCTACTGCGATGTTTCTGATCTCCTAGCTTTTGTGCCAGAGCTGCGTGAGTTTCAGCTTGTCGTTTCTGTTCCTTTCTGGTCGAGGCCTGAGCGGCTTTGAGGTCTATCGCCTCTTCCTCTATGGCCTTGATTTGTCCTGTCAGGGTATGTATTTCTTCCCTCAGGATGGTGACATCTGCCTGGAACATCTTTCGTAAGTCGCGCAGGAGCGCTTTATTGTCACTCTTGGTAGCTGGCGTTTGATCTTCCTAGTCCAAGGATAAGTGGTGTAGGCTTTCAGCTTGAGGGATGGCATCCAGAGTGTCCAGTGTGTCCAGAGAGGGTTCCTCCTCGGAGGATGATTCATCTACTGGTCTATCTTGGATTTTGCAAGCGGTAGGCCTACATGCAGGTAATCTCCGATATTTCGGGATCCGGAGTTTGGCAATTGTTTGTTTTTCTTTGCCCGTTTCCCCATTGAGGTGTTTCGAATATAAGATGCTTTTTGTGCGGTTTAGTCAGGGTTAATCAGCTCGTTTGCACAGAGCTTCAGCTAGGCACGTCATCTCAGTTCACTGGTCAGCTACACCCTCCAGATTTATTTACTTTTATCCCTTTGCCTGCAGGAAGGTGAATGCAAGTTGGTGTTTTCATAAACATTAAAAATCCTATAAATATTATAAAATATCAAAATTTTTGTCCTTTTTTCTATTTATTTTTATTTTATTTATTTTTTAAAAGGAAAGCAAAAACAAAAAAAGGGCATTTTAACATTAGAAATACATATCTGTTCTTCTCACTTTAGAATACACTCCAGGCAGTTTCGATGTTTGGACCCCCCCTGAGACATCAATTATATGTTTGCTGCTCCAGTCTCACTGTAACCACCACTCTGCTGCGGCTGATATCATCAGTGAAGATGATCTCAGGCAACTGCATGCTTTAGCATGAGGAAACATTGGAGGGAATTTTGCGCATGCACAGTCATAGTCTCGCTGCAATAATCATCATCTCATCACAGAGAATCATTAGATGCATTTTCTCAGAAAACATTGCGTTTATGATTGAGAGACTGCAAGGATCGTCTCTTTCCACCAAAATCAAATTGGGCTGTAGTAGTTTTGAGGTTTAGATTGTTACTTTAACATGTTTAAGTCTAATTATTAATTGTTCCTCTATATGATCTATAACTAATAACATAAATGACAATGCTGAGATTTTGTTACGAATTGTGCAATTTGATGGAACATTTTGGACTCCACTGAGTTCCCAAAAGTGTAAACAATGTATAAATAATGTTTGTAAATAACAAAAAAGCTCAGAAATCTAAAAGACTAAAGAAAACTTAAAGGGACACTATAGTCACCCAGACCACTTCAGCTCAATGAAGTGGTCTGGGTGCCAGGTCCCTCTAGGGTTAACCCTGCCTGCTGTAAACTGCTATCTTCCGGACAGCCACTAGAGGCTCATCTGCGACGCTGGATGCATATTAGGCCTCCATCACGCAGAGCGTCCATAGGAAAGCATTGAAAAATGCTTTCCTATGGACACTTTGAATGCGCGCGAGGCACTGCCGTGCATGCGCATTCCGCTCCACTGACGTCGGCGGGGGAGGAGAGGTAAGGAAGCCCTGCAATGGAAGAAGGTGAGTAACTGAAGGGGTTTTAACCCCTTCAGCACCACGGGAGGGGGACCCTGAGGGTGGGGGCACCCTCAGGGTACTATAGTGTCAGGAAAACCGATTTGTTTTCCTGATACTATAGTGATCCTTTAAATTAAATTTAAGCAGATTGACATGTATTAAACAATAACATTAAAAATCAATCCAGAATATGAATATAATGATAAACGATTAAAAAAGTACATTCCACAATCACTCACGTTACCAGCTGTAAAACAGTAATTCTGGTAATGGGATCAATTACTTTGTAAGGGTCATCTCAAAATAGCAGAGTGGACAGGAACTGCAGAGGAGGAAGTTAGGCAGGGGTCTTCCAAAACGTTACCAGGAAGTGTAACCGTGTCTTAGAGAATGGTGACAAGTCCTCCATGGAGCATACAGAACTAATAAGCTGGGTATGGATTTACAATAACATGTAAGGTTATAAGTCATAAGGTGCATTTGCATTACAAATATGAAGTCTTCTTTTTACATTTGTTGCTACAGAGAGGAAACGTAAGGAGGTCCAGGTAGGGCAGTCATGAAGAACACCATACCCCATAAAGGTTTTATATGCAGGTAAAGAGAAAGGTTATTTTAATTGATATATACTTCATTATAGTAGAGTGCAGCTTTTAGTTATTGATATTGCTGCATTTTTTGAAATAGACTAGATCTAGAAGTCAATATGTATAGATATATGTTTTTATGTAGCTCCCATAAGGCTGCTGACATAGGAAGCAAAAAGATCTTTTTGGTGTAAGGCCATGGGAGCCTTGGCTATATAGAACTGGAACCCAACTACAGGATTGGAAAGAGAATTGAAAAACATGCGAGGAGCACATGAAGTTGGAGACAGATTTTAAGGGACGTAGCCTCAGAAAATAAATATATTAAGAAATGGAGTGAATGGCGCTGGGGAGTGACTGGAGCAGGTGATAAAGCAGCCAGTGTGTCAAATGCAGAAATGTTCAGGCAAGTTCATACCTAAGGAAATATAAGTAGGTCAAGGGCTGGCAGCGATAGTCCAAAAGTGAAGCAGAAGCCAAGAGACAAACACACCAACATGAGGGCAGGAACTGGGTACAAATTAGCAGGTATGATCCAAACAAGGTTAATGAGGAACTCTGGGCTTCAGGCACAAAGGCGGTTAAATAGGTCTCCAACAATGTGACAAGACATGCCAATGCCATTGTGCCTTGAGCGTGAGACCCTTGACTACCAGCAAAAATTAAGAAGAAAAGTTCAAGATCACAAAACACCAGCAATTAATGACTGGATAGTACAGTCAACTTTAGATTCTCTGACATTTAACTGAATATATCAAGGTACCTAGGTTGGAGGCATTGATAAAAAAAAAAAAAACTAGCTTCTGCTTACTACTATGAGATCATTAAAGCATTATACTCATCAGCATAAAGTTAAAAGGTGAACATTTTACTGCCAAATTCCTACTGATGGGTTGCCCAATAGTTTGGAGCCTGTAGCTATTTTCTACATTACACAACACTGAAGAAGGTGGGGCTCCCGTTCATTGTTCAAGAGCTACTTGACTTTCTTTTGGTGGACCTGAAGAAATGATGTGATATTAATGAAAGGGAGTCATGGTGAGGAAGAAGCTTGGGTTGGGTGTAGTGAGATTTCATGGGCCCTAGTTCTAGGTATATTTCTGGAGATTAAACCAGGCATAAGAGAGATAACCATGTAGTCAAGAGGAGGATGTTAGTGTGAGGCAGAGGGTGAAACCTTAAGGCACCTTTAACTTTACATATGGATTATACCCATAGTCAATAACCTGGAAGTAATAGGCATAAACCCAGGTACAGAATAAGACTAAACATATGCCTAAATGGGTCAAGGCTACAAGTGGGAAATGTGCAACTTGAGAGTAATCCAATGTTAATTTTTTTATCTCAAAATCAAAGACTAACCAGAAAAGTAAGGGCACATGGAAAACACTCATGGAGCAATGGAAGCTAGTTACATGGTCTGATGAAACACGTTTTCTTTTAGATCAGGTAAATGTTGGCATGCGTGTGCATTGTTTACCTGGCGAAGTGATGGCAACAGGATGCACTAAGGGAAGGAGGCAGTGTTATGCTCTGGGCAATGTTTTGATGGGAAATCGTGTGCCCTGGCATTCATTTGGATTTAACTTTGGCACATACCACTTGCAGACTGTAACCCATTCAAGGCAATGATGTTCCTGAAGGCAATAGTCTTTTTCAGCAGGATAATGTGCCATGCCACACTGCAAAAGGAACGGTCTGAGGAACATGAGAAAGGTTTAAGGTGTTGCCTTGGTTTCTAAATTCCCCAGATCTAAATCTGATGCATCAGTGGGATGTACTGGAATAACAAATTCGATACATAGAGGCCTCAACTCACACCTTGCTGGACTTAAAGGACCTGCTGCTAATGTCTTGGTGCCAGATACCACAGGACACATTCCGAGGTCTTGTGGAGTCCATGCCTCGATGCAAATTAGCAGCTTAGGTTGCCATGATGTGGACTCTGTCTCCAGTACAATCAAGAGGTGGAACCAAATGGCATGGAATTGCAGTTGATGAAAACGTGCATTTTCACACTGTTTTGTTTAATTTCAATATTTTTTCTCTAAACTGTTGCATGGTCAAAATTCATCTGAATGAAAATGCTATATGGACAAAGCTTGTTTTTTCTGAAATAAACAATGTGTCGACCGTGCACAAGTTTAAGAAATACTTAAGGTACTGGGGGATGAGGGGGAGGAGTGCAACAGCTCCAAATTCAGCAGTACATGAAGTAGAAAGGAACATTTTAAACTCACTGCACGTACTTGAGCAAGGGATGATGCCCTCTAATTTCATCAGATATCGTGGTAAGAAAGGGAAAAGAACTGTTGGAAAAGATGGTGGTTGGCAAAAGAAGCATTCAGAGGCAAAAAAGAAAGAAACACGGATTCAATAATGGCTGCATTTGTGATTTACGAATAGTTTGGGACATGGGAACCAGAGACAGCGCCCAGACTGAGGCCTATTCTTATAGCTATAGCACTAGGATACATTGCTTAAAGGACCACTATAGTGCCAGGAAAACATACTCGTTTTCCTGGCACTATAGTGCCCTGAGGGTGCCCCCACCCCCAGGGACCCCCTGCTGCTGGGCTGGATGGCGAGGAAAGGGGTTAAACTCGCCTTTATTCCAGCGCCGGGCGGGGAGCTCTCCTCTTCCTCTCCGCCTCCGATCCTCCTCTTCGGCTGAATGCGCATGGGCGGCAGGAGCTGCGCGCGCATTCAGCCGGTCGCACAGGAAAGCATTTACAATGCTTTCCTATGGACGCTTGCTTGTTCTCACTGTGATTTTCACAGTGAGAAGCACGCAAGCGCCTCTAGCGGCTGTCAATGAGACAGCCACTAGAGGATTTGGAGGCTAGATTAACCCATTTATAAACATAGCAGTTTTGTTGAAACTGCTATGTTTATAAAAAAAAGGGGTTAATCCTAGCTGGACCTGGCTTCATTAAGCTGAAGTGGTCTGGGTGCCTTGAGTGGTCCTTTAAGACTCAAAGACAAATCAAAAATAATACTGCTCCGTATCAAGTGTTACCTTATGACAGTATAGATTGGAAAAGTCATCCAACAATTTGTCTACAAACAGCATTTATCAAGTGGTTCTTGGAAGTGACATTTGTTATAGACCAGTATTATTTTTCACCTGTCTTTGTTTGTTTGTATTTTTATGAGTTCAGTTTTGTACACTGGAACACTAATCATTATGGATGCAAAGAGTGTCAGGACATATGAATGACTGTGAAATTGCTATATTACAATAAGAGATTTATTTGGTGTTTTTTATGAATTTTTTGTGAAATTGTATTTTTTCTAAATTTCTGCGTGCAGGAAATTTCATTATTCACTTTGTTTTTTTTTTTCAAGGACAGGAGAGCTGCCCCTTCCTACATTTGCACCCTGTATACAGTTGCAAGAAAGAGTATGTGAACCCTTTGGAATGATATGGATTTCTGCACAAATTGGTCATAAAATGTGTTCTGATCATCATCTAAGTCACAACAATAGACAATCACAGTCTGCTTAAACTAATAACACACAAAGAATGAAATTTTGCCATGTATCTCAATCGGGTTGAGGTCAGGACTCTGACTGGGCCACTTCAGAAGGCGTATTTTCTTCTTTAAGCCATTCTGTAGTTGATTTACTTCTATGCTTTGGGTCATTGTCCTGTTGCAACACCCATCTTCTGTTGAGTTTCAGCTGGTAGACAGATGGCCTTAAGTTCTCCTGCAAAATGTCTTGATAAACTTGGGAATTAATTTTTCCTTCGATGATAGCAGTCCGTCCAGGCCCTGACGCAGCAAAGCAGCCCCAAACCATGATGCCCCCACCACCATACTTCACAGCTGTTATGAGGTTTTGATGTTGGTGTGCTGTGCTTTTTTTTCGCCACACATAGTGTTGTGTGTTTCTTCCAAACAACTCAACTTTGGTTTCATCTGTCCACAGAATATTTTGCCTGTACTTGGAGATGTCATTAGTCTAGGGGTTCACATACGTTTTCCACCTGCACTGTGCATGGTGTGTTCAATAAAAACATGGCAACATTTCATTATTTGTGTGTTATTAGTTTAAGCAGACTGTGATTGTCTATTGTTGTGACTTAGATGATGATCAGATCACATTTTATGACCAATTTGTGCAGAAATCCATATCATTCTAAAGGGTTCACATACTTTTTCTTGCAACTGTACATAGGTTGAGTGCTCCTACATACTAATTGTCATATTAGCTTTCATTTCATTTTTTTACTGTGACTGCTGGCTAGTGCTAAGGGTTTTCTTTTTTACTTTTTTTTTCCTACTTGCTCGCTGGCTGTCAGCACTTGCAGCAGGAAAATAGCTCAGATTTTTATAATTCACTTGCAATAAGCCAACTGAGGCCGGATGGGCAGCCTGCCAGATGCATTCAATACCCAATTTCATTCAAACCGGTGCTCTGTAAATGATCCTATACTTTATACAAAATTCAGATGCAAAAAGTACTGATTTTAAAGCTGACATTAAAGGCATCTCTCCGGTTGGTGCTAATTCAGTTAGGATTACTGATTTTCAACCGGATTTGGGAATAGTAAATATGAGAATTGCAAATCCAGTCCGTGCCTGGTAATTTTATTTTGCGAGCAACCCTATTAAATACACAAGACAAATGTGGCTTTAATAAATCTGTGAAATGCCAACGCAGTCAGGGTGACTGACAGATGTGCCCCGACTCTGCAAAGATACCTGGTGGTGAGTGTTCTACATTACTCGCATGACCCTAAACATTACATTGCTGGTATATTTAAAGGATTTAAAGAATCAATGCATCTCTATGAGGAAAATTCAGCTTCCCAATGCAGAGCATGGAGACACTGAACGGCAGTGCTGCCTACTGTGAAGCACTGCCCCAGGAAGCACCTCCAGCGGCCATCAGAGGAGTGGTCACTTGGAGGTGTCCCTAGGGGCAATGTAAACAATGCCTTTTCTCTGAAAAGGCACTGTTTGCATTAAAATGCCTGAAGGCAATGATTATACTCACCAGAACAACTACATTAAGTTATAGTTGTTCTGGTGACTATAGTGTCCCTTTAAAGGGAATTGTTATGGACCCAAGGTTGCAGGGCAAGTACCTCTTGCTTAGGTGGAAATTTTACAAGGGGCATTCCTTGTGTTAACAAAATATGTAAATGTCATGTTGTTTGAACTATATTTAATGGCATTGTGAAATGGCATTGGTCTAACAGAGAACAAAGATTTTTGTATTCTATCCCCATATTTTGGTATTAAGAGTTAAGTGGACAAAATGTAATTGAGTATTTGTTTGGTGTGGCTAAGGGATGTTTTCAGCAAGAAAAGCAAGGAGTTATTGGAAGAGAACTTAATGGGGACCCGTGTGTAGTGTTAATTACATTACTGTATGCTAATCACCCTCTACTCGTATAAATTACTCTGCACAGCAACAATAAAGTCTGTTCTGTTTTGACCACTACATGTAGTCTCGACTGGCGTGGGGTAATGGCTATAACGGCTGCTAGAATCATTCACTATAGTTCATCTATGAATGATGATCAGATCACTTCGAGAGAGATATATCTATCTACGTCTCCAAGTATTTCGACTCGGCAAGGCGATATAAGATGGTCCGGAAATAGCAGAGCAAGCTGATAAGTAACAGAGGTACCAGGAGTAGCAGGGGGATTTTACAGGAATCAAGACTTAAAGGAACACTGCGGGCACCATAACAACTTAACTGAAATTAAGTTGTTATGGTGCCATTAGGTAGGTACTTTTTTTATGAATGAGAGCTACAGATTGGCTTAGAGTATCAGATGACACCACGGTGGAACTCCATGCTTCCTGAAAGTAAATTGCAGAAGCCATAGGCAACCTTTTGGGGCTTCATTTACAGATCCTGGAGACTGTTTAACCCCTTCAGGTAAGAAAGCCCTCAGGGACCTCCTGGCCCCATAACAAAATAATTTTGATGAACTTGGTGTTCCTTTAAAGGATTACATGCAACAGAGAGCCATAAGTGACAGTGCAGGTTTGAGCCCATTGGGTGAGAGAGATCAGCTAATGGCTTTCTGTCAGAAGTAGTGGAGGCAAGGAGCGGTGTCCCACGAACACCATGTAAGAGAACATAGTAAAATGGCTTGAATACTTACAATAGGAGGGTCCAGGGCACTCCTGGCACCAAAACCACAACAGCGCTCTGTTGTGGTTATGACGATTGGAGTGTTTCTTTAAGTAGCTGTGTGTTCAAACCCAAATCAGTTATTCGAAAATGTTACAATATTTACAAATGAATTAATTTATTTGCACAGCTGCCAGTTGTACTAATCCTTACTTATCATATGGAAGCACTATTGGGAAAAAATATTGTGTTGCAAACATCAGACTTGATTTATTTCTTTTCATATAAATGCTACAAGGATCAATGAATCACACAGTAGAACTCTTACAGATAGTGACCATATTAGACAATCTAAACCTTTTATAATATAACCTAGCAGCACAGAATCAGCACAGCTCTATATTCCAAGTTGCAGCATTTACCTGCAGGTCTTATTTGTGTCTTGTTTATTTGACTGAACTACTTTGTAACCTGATCACATTCAAATAGGAGACAGGAGGGGTGGCACTGCTTGGAAAAGGTGATTTAGGAGGTATGTATGTATGTATGAATGCAACAGGACCCTAAGCATTAAAAGACTGGGCTTTGCCTTACCTGAGGTCACATGACCCTAAGCCAGGCCCTCCCTAGAGATCTCATACCATCCTGTGCACTTTTTCATTTCTCACCAGAACTAAGAGGTGAGCACAGTGTGTGTGAATGCTCCCCACACCTGGTGAAAACCAGCTTGTGTAAAGTTGACAAACTTGTTTGTCAAGTGTGTGACACAGCACAGCAAGCAGGGGAGGGAGGCAGGCAGAGGCCATTTGGGAAGATGGAATAAAGAGCTGTATTTTGTCGCCTGTGTTTTAAAGATTCTATTTGGAGTATGGGAGAAGAATTTCATCCAATCTGATTTCAAGGGAAACATTTTAAGCCATAGGATCAGTAAGGCGGAATCTGCAGGAAGCTGAACAGGTGAGATCAGACTGACACACTTTATTCCGTGGCTGTTATTGTCCTGAATGAAATTGATTTGTCTTTCTGTCTGTGTCTGGGCGATACATTGTATTTATTTCCGGTTTGTGTGCCTTCTTTTGGCTGGCTGTGTGTAATGGGATTTGTAATCCAAGCAAACATGAAATCCACAGTTCAGACTTTCCAACCCTCCCCTCGTTTGTTTTTGTTTTACATCAAGCTTACTATATGCTTGGCTTTCAGTGGTTATCAAAGGCTGCGATTTGGAGTGATTTTGTCATTTTCTCTGAAACAGAGGTCCATCATCTTACGACTGATTTCTAAAGCATATCTCAGAATATAATATACATGTGTGATCTGTCTATGGATTCAAAGACTTGGGATCTATTTACTAAACAGTGAGTTCTAATGAGCTAAAAAACCAAACTGCCAAATCTATTGGATACAGCCTGTTAATTCTGACAAGGTCTTGTTTTTTGTTTGTTTCCCCACCAAACAGGGTTATTATCTAACGTGTGAAATGGTTGGGCCAGAATTGTCAAATTGTTTAAATTATCCAAGTCAGCTATTCTTTCAGTTCTCTTATTTTGGAATAAAATGTTAAATACACTTTGGGTTCCTGACACTCTTTGAGGGATTTATTATACTGTCCTAAGGTTTGCCTTTTGGGATCTCATTGAATTAAATGGACACCATAACTTCATCTTGAGGTGCTGTCTTACCTTAAGGGGTTAAACCATTAACAAATAGTTTAACCCCACAAACTGGATGACAGCGCCCAATTGCTTTGCTCCTCCACATCCTTTAAAAGTCACAAAGCCACAGATTGGATGCTACTGAGCTGACACTCAGCCTATCATTGGCTCCACATTTGGAAAAATGAGAGAGAGAGAGAGAGAGAGAGAGAGAGAGATGTATATGTGTATATGTAGGAGTTTACATGCTCTAGTCTAGAGCAGTGGCAGACAACCATCAGCTCTCCAGATGGGAGATGCCAAAGGTTGTCTATCTCCTGGTCTAGAGGAACCACTGGTGGAATCCAAGTTAGTTGCAAAACCATTTGCAAATTAAGTGATTTGTCACCAGTGTTTTCTGATTGCAATCCCCACGCCTTTTAGTGTCTGTCATTCAAATAGCCACTAGCAGCTTCATACTAAAAGAGTTTTTATAGATGAATGTATTTTAGTCCATTGTTAGCATGCACAGTATGGAGATGTCAGACAATGCATTGGGTTTACAGCATTGGTTTGGAGATTGCTGTGGCTGTGATATATATCTCTCTCTCTATATATCTGCAGTACATTCAATTGGGGGGGAAAATGACTTCAAAGGATTAGGCTGAGGTGAGGGATCTGTCTCAGTACTAGATGACAGATACATTTCAAGGGACACTGTAGGCACCCAGACCACTTCTTCAGGCCATTAAAGTGGTCTGGGTGCCAACTCCCTCACCCTTTTTTTTTTAGTTTTTATAAACTGCAATAATTACCTTGCGGGGTTGTTATTGTTATTGTTATTATTATTATTATTATTATTATTATTATTATTATTTATTATTTATTTATTTATATAGCGCCAACTAATTCCGCAGTCCTTTACAATATTATGAAAGGGGGGGAATTTTACAATACATGAGACAATTACATAGTGACACAGGAACAATAGGTAGATGAGGACCCTGCTCAAACGAGCTTACAGTCTAGGTTAAGTCCTCCTCTAGTGGCTGTTTACCAGACAGCCACTAGAGGGACTTCCGGGTTCTTAGACGACTTTTAATCATCTAAATCACGCTGGACGTCCTCACATCCTGCATGAGGACCTCCAGCGTAGCCGGAAACCCCATAGGAAAGCATTGAATAATGATTCTAATGCGAGTGTGGGGAGGAGTGTGGGCGGAGCCTGACCCGGGGCCGAGGGACATCGGCGATGGATTCTGGTAAGTGACTAAAGGGGTTTTAACCCCTTCAGTGACATGAGATGGGGGGAGGAGGGGGGCACTCCAGGATTCCACAGTGCCAGGAAAACGGGTTTGTTTTCCTCGCACTAGAAAGTCCCTTTAAGAGCAGAATCTTTGTTTTGTGTCATTGTTTTTAATTTGAAATGTTGGCAGAGCCAAACTGAAAGCAGAGCAAATTTAGTTATTTTGGCCTAAAAATTTCAATTCCCTTAGATTTCACTTTGAATTACAAACAACTCAAACTTTAGACATAGAATGGTGGAAACTGCATTCGAGAACATACAAGAGCAAAGAGAAACTATAATACCAATATATAGTGCTTTGTAAATCCAATACTCCAGATTGCTATTTTTGTTAATGTTTTTTTATTTTTTTTGGTGTACTGGAAGAAAATATATTTTTGGTTTGTGTGTTTTTTGTTTTGTTTTTTTGGAAAAGAAGGTCCTTCATAGTTAAAATTTGCAACAACAGCGTCAATTCTACCATGCAACATTACTTGTTTGTAATCAGATGTGAAGTTTTTATCTCCTGCTCTGTAAGTTGAAATTTAATCACACACAGGGGGTCTAGAAAGCTATTACCAGAGCAATAGAAACAAAAATTCTATATTAAACAGAGTGTGCAATAAATGAAGTGTAAACATTAGATGACTTTACAGGAAATGTTTAGGAAGGCTATGCAAGTCACATGCAGGAAGGTGTGACTAGTACTGCATAGATAGTGATTTAACCCCTAAATGGCAGAGAATTGAGCGATGATGCTGCAGTGACATGATCTATACACCAAAACTGCTTCAATAAGCTAAAGTTGTTTTGGGGACTATAGTGTCCCTTTAAAGGGATACTATAGTCCCCAAAAGAACTTTAACTTATTGAAGCAGTTTTTGTTTATAGATCATGCCTCTGAAGTTTCACTGCTCAATCCACTGGGCGTTAAATCACTTTTGTTTCTGTTCATGCAGCCCTAGCCACATCTCCCATGGCTGTGACTGACACCGCCTGCATGAAAACAAAATGGTCCCATTTTAAATCAAATGTTACTTACTTTAAAAGTTTTTGTCTCCTGCTCTCTAAATAGAAATTTCATATTTAATGCTCCTGCAGGGCCTAACAAGCTGTTAAAAGAGCAGGAGATACGAAATTCTAAATTACACAGAATTTCCAATAAAGGAATTGTAAACATTAGATGACTCTTTACAGGAAGTCTTTAGAAAGGCTGGAAGGTGTGACTAGAACTGCATAAACAAAGTAATTTAACTCCTAAATGTGCAGCCCAGGTATGCGGAATACCAGGAAGCCAAAGTGGGATGGCAGGCCGGGATCCCAAAATCAAGATTGTCCCGCCACAAGCAGGATTTTTTGAAGGGCTCACCATTTAAGTTGTGAGTCATCAAAAATTCTAAGTTAATTTCAAGTGTTCGGCCAAGATAGCCGAACTGAAAAGATTGTGCAGTTGGACGATTGTTCCATTTTGTTCTTTAACACCTTAAGGACCAAACTTCTGGAATAAAAGGGAATCATGACATGTCATGTGTCCTTAAGGGGTTAAATAAGCTTGCTTGTCTTTCCAGCTGTTTTTGAATCATAGTTCCCCCCAATTCTAGGTACTTGATTTTTTTTTTTAAATGTGAAGAGAGTGGTAGCCCACTCCTGCTTTACTCGAATAATAAAGGCTTTTGTTTAAATAAAGCAAAGTATGTTATCCAGAGGATGGGTCATGCCGGGGTTAATGTAAATATTTGCTTGTCTCAACCATTGTAATTAGACAAAGCCATGGAAAAGTCATATGATTTCACATGGATTTTATTTCAGCACATTTTAAGAGTGATATTAATTTACTGCATGTCTTGTCTAAAAATAAATAATTAAAATAGACTGTCACGGTTGAGATGCCAGTGCATAAGGTAAACTTGTGGAAGTACCACACCCAAATGACAATTCATGTCACCTGGCAATGAAACCAGCACTGATGAAAACTCAGACCTGCCGATCTTCCAGGATGGAGGTGGGATGGGTTATGAACAGGTTCGCAGAGCTCTGTGAAGGTGGTGGGCTCAGGTCTAAAGAATGTGGCATAATAACAGCCTGCCCCCTAAATCAGACCATGTATGGAGCACTGCAGAGCTCTGTGTATTATCTATTTTGCCCAGTCCCCTCTTGTATTCTCAAATGTGTTGAACCGGATTTGTGCTGGGACATAACCCCAAAATGTGGGAATGTGCTGGCAAATTCAGGACTAGTGGCACCTATGAAAGCTGTGTACACAGCACTTGTCCATGCCCGATGAGCTCCTTTGGGTTATTTACTGTCAAGTAGCTGAATTGGGACCAATCTCCGTTACACTTCCAATTTGACTCTTTAACCTAAATTTTCAAGATCACTTTTAAATTCACTTTGAATTTCTTCTAATTCACACATTACTAATTAACCAAACTTTGTGCTTGACTACATATATAAAAATGCACGCTTATTTATTCACAAAGTGCTTAACTGCAGTGGATTTAAAACTAAATTGCAAAATTTAGACTAAAGCGAGCTGTGACTATATGAAATTGGACCCTTTATAAAGAGACCTGTATGTGCGGGGCATTTATATGCACTTGAAGAAGGCTTTGTATGTCGAAATGGTATTACACGACCAGTGTTTTTATTTTATAAAGTACTTGTCATTTCTACCATGGTATCTGGCTTGTATTTTTTTTTTTATATTTTAATATCTTTTTATATTTCTATACTGGTGGATATTTTGTATTCTACCATCGATCACCGTGTGAGCTTGAGAGGGGGACACGAGAGGGGGACACCAGATAATTTTACAATAGTTTTTTCCTTTATTTTGTTTTCTATGTTTTTCTACACTTACTCTTTAAATATAGGGTATTGTCCAATCTGTTTAAGTATTTTTTAGTTAATATTTTCACTGGCACTTGGCACACTTTGTTTATTGCGTTTGTACATTTGTATAATAACCCATGTATTCCGTCTCATTTGAGTTGTGTGGTTCAACACTATGTGGTAGGGGTTGCCCTTCATTTCTTATGTAGGTTTCCGAGTAGGGCCACCCAGAGAGACCGGGATGAACGGGTGTCCAAGTCTTCAGGGACCAGCTTTCTTATTTCATTGTATATCCCTTGTCAAGCAGCTATCGTTGCATTTGAAAATGATTTTGCATCTTATCCCTAGTGGAATGCTTGCAGTTCCCTTGTGCACACACTTCCGAATCTATATGCACACTAAATCTTTACTTGAACCTTTGGAACACTCGTGTCTAATATTATAATTGGTATGATGGCAGAAGGCAGTGATTTGAAGTGTAAGGAACCCTCGCTCCTTCAAGGAGCTGGGCTGAGATGAGGCAGAGCGTTAAAAGCTAGATAGTCGACTTGCTAGGCAACCAGGGAAGATGGTGAGAATTGGAATTATGTGATAAGACCATGTTTGATTTGTTAGTAGCATGCCAACAGCAACAGTCTTATCATGGCCAAGTATTTCAGCTGGAAAGAGAACAGTTGATTAAAACTCACATGTGTAAGAGATATTCTGTGATGAAGCACCATTCTAAGGGAACCTACATGCTCTGAATATAATCCTTGTATATTCCAAGGTGGAACTTTTGCTTACTATTATTCATTAGTGTGAATTGTCTGAAAGTGTCTTAAAATGAATTTCAAATGTCCGTACAAAAAATACCAATTGGAACAAACCTTCAGTCAGCCCATGTTTTTATTTATTTTTTTACCCTATAAATTTACGCTTGGGTAAACAAAAATAGCTGATGGTGTTTATTAATTGTCTTTTCATTATAACACACTCTTAACCAAGTCTTGTTCAGTTTAATCCAATAGGCACACACAGAAAAAGCTCAACTAGACACTTGAATAGCAAATACTTGGTTTAAAAGATACGTGCTATCAGAATAGCACTGGATACCTTGGCCATGTTGTCTTAACTGCACCACCACACATCGGAAGCTTGTACACTGCAACGAGATGTTGATCCACACAGATCTTTAGAGGTGTATCATGTCTCTGTGAGAATATGTCTCATATAAATTCCGATTTCTTTATGGTATGTGTATTCAGCAGTTTGCTGAACCTCCGCTCCTACCTATTTACCTACTTCATGTGGTTGATATGAGTGATCAATTGCAGTTAATAATATAAAATAATTTTTGAACCAAGAAAGGTACATTTTGCTTCCTGTGAGTTTAAATATGTTGTAGGGCAGGGAAAGGCAACATTTGGCAATCCAGATATTCTGAACTACATCTCTTATACTGCTCTTACAGCACAATGTTGGCAAATCATCAAGGGGGATGTAGTCCGCAACAGCTGGAGTGCCGAAGGCTGTCTACCTCTCTTGTATTGTGTACATGTCTTCATTCAACAGTTCAGATAGACTTATTATATTCATCTTTGAAGAACGGGGGTCTGTGATGACCTACAACCCTGAGGTTTGGTGAGGCTCTAAAATTCAGCATCTCGATAACAAATAAAGACAGTGACTATCACTACACGCAATATCAACATGTGATAAATTGACGTCATTCTCCTTATCCGATGTTGCAATATTGCAACTTTACTTCCCATAAAGAATAATTATTTTATTGTAGGACAGCCTTGTCCTCTTCCACCCCCGATCACCTCCATCCTATTACTGTCAGGAGAGAGGAAGTGCTCTGGATTTGCTGAAATGCCTTACCCGTGAGAGTTCATTCTTGTATCAAAAGAATATACTCAATAGGTGTTGGGCTGAACCTAAAAAATTTTTTTAACAAATTACTGAAAATCAAAAGCCCTGACCCCTAGATACTTTTATTTATTTTTTTTAAAATGTATTTATTTTTTTCTGAACTCCGTTAAACAATGTCTGTATAGAACAACAAAGTAAAGTCACTTCTTGAAAAATCCTTAATGCTCCAGTGATAACAGGTTGTTGACAATGCATATAATATAGTGTGTGTGACTAGATGTAAGAATGGTATCACAGTGTATTGGCTGTAACAATCGCCATGATTTTACACCAGCCAGTTTCAGCATATGTTACACCATTCATTTAATTTACAAGTGGGGCAAAATCAGAAACTCTGGTTAAAAAAAAAAAAAAAAGGGGGCGGGGGGGTTTATTTCCATAATCTAATCAATTTTATTTATTTATTTATTTTTACAGCAATAGAGCAATTACCTGCAGCTCTAAGGTTTCCCATAGTATCACATAATGTAAGGTAGAATAAACTTGGTGTTAACCTAAGGTATCCGGTAAAGTTAGATCTGGTAAACTAAGCTACAGCCTAGAGAATCCACCTGCAAGCAGCTCTCCATTGAGTCAATTCTCCGTAAGGTAAAAAGGAAATGTGGGGAAAAAAAACTAATATGTATTTATTTTAATTTCAAAAAAAGTTTTGTTTTTTTTTTTAAACTAAAAATACAAAAAAAAAACCAGACCATTATCTCATAAAACGTTTTTCTTTACACACGAAAAAATACAGATGGCATTACTCCCTGATTCTTAGAATGATTCACCCGGCTCAGAGATGGTGTGTCCTTTTGACTACAGAACACCGTATGGTTTGAAATATTCTGCCTGACCCACTTCCCCACATTCATATTGTGTTTCTTCATATGCTGATGCATACAGTGTTGGGTTTCATTCTTCATGGCTCTTTTGACTCTGTATGTGCATTGCATGTGAGATTGACACGGTGGGGCATACAAATAGCGTGACTCACAGCTAAATCACAGGGACGTTTTTATTGGATTGAGTGGGTATTTCTTTTTTTACAATTTCTACTCCGAATTCCTCATTGCATGTCTGTTTATGCAAAACTGATGATGCAATAAAATATTCTTAAAAAAACATACTATTCTTTTAATCTTTTTGAAGTTTTTTTTCCCTTCATTTAATTTGTTTTGTTTTTTTGTTTTTTTTCATGACCTTAAATCCATGATATAAAATACAAATTGATAAATAATTAGAATTCAATTTTAAACAAAAAGTTCAAGTGTATATAATAAAAATTTGTATTTGAATATTTTTTTTCTTTTGCAACATAATCATGGCTATTCTAAGAAAATATCGACCGTTCTAGTTGTGTAAATCTGCAATAAATGAAATAGCATGGATTTTTGCCCTCTTAAGCCTAAAAGAAAGTAACCCTTTTAATTTGCTTGCTACCTTTAAAACATTCCCCTCTGCCACACAGGCGGTGCCCTGCATTTTTTCCTTTAATTTCAAATCCATGTCTCTTTGTGTGTGTGTGTGTTAAAGGCAGGGACGTGCAAGCTGACACATGTTGGAGCACTTGTAATACAACTTGAGTTTTTCGTAATACATTTACCTCCCATTCACTTTTCTTACTATAAAATCATATTGTAAGTCTTTACTTGGATAGAAGTGATTGAAGACGTTAACGGCCCCTTGCAAATTATATATTTTTTTTAAAATAGAGAGGAAGAGAGCCCAGTGGGAATTCCTAGGACACACTTATAAGAGTTCTTCTCATGTGTTATAAAGTTTAAATAACACATGCATGTTATAACTGTCTACCTTTTTTATTTAATTTTTTTTTTTTTTAATGTAACCAATATGTTCTTCGGTTTTCAACTATTTGCATAGTGTTTCCTTAAGATGCCCAGACAAGTGAGATACTAAGTAATTCAAGATAAGGAAAAGAAAATGTGGAAGCAAATTTTTTAAACCTTTTTTTTTTTTTTTTTTTGAGCACGAGAATAATTTTAGTTAAATGAATGGGAACCTTCTAATGTCTGTCTCTGAAAGGAATGTGGTAAGTGGTGTTCTTTAAAAACAAGTTTGCCTTTAGTCCTTGACGTCAAGATTTTATCAATGCAAATCTTCTTAGTTTACAGACTTTTTTTTTTTTTGCTTGAGGGATGATTCTATACTGGATATGGTTTTAATATGTAAAGGATCCACCTACTGTCATTTCTCTAATACAGACCTGACCTAGATTCACCTTCATTGACATTTTAATTCCTGAAACCAACAGAGCTCCAGTCCCCTGTATCTTCCTATGAATTTCAGGGAAAAATGTGACTATAAGATTAAATTCCTTCCAGTTCTGCCAATTGTATTTTTCCCAAAGACAGAACGTTTTTCGGTACACCTGACATTTGGTGTGGATGTTGGTTCAGCTCTGTCAAAGACTGATTCAGGAACTTAATCAGACAAACAAGTCAAAAAGACTTGGAAGTGGGTCAATCAGTGGGCTGCAAAATTTATACCATTTGGTTCACAGATTCTGTGAGAAAAACAGTGCTAAATAGGAAAGCAGAGGAGCAGTAAAATAAAATGATATATTTACTCTGTAATCGGGGTATGTTTCTAATCAGAATTAGGGAATTTTGCAGACAGAACACTCGATCTGCACAAATTTTGTCCGATTTTCAGTTTGATCCAAAGCAAATCTCCAAGTGTAATACTCGTTTTTCACTGCAGTAAATTACATGGTCTTTATTCAAAGCAGAATCACAAGCATTATTATAGCATATTTTGAAAGAAAAAAACCAAAATGGTGTATTTTATGCTGGATACTATTGCATTGATTCTGCACTATTGGTGCATGGAGTGTCTCTTAAAGGGACACTATAGTCACCAGAACCACTACAGCTTAATGTAGTAGTTCTAGTGTCTACAGCATGTCCCTGAAGTCTAAGCACTGTAATTGCTGCCTTTTAGTGACACCACTAGTTGCAGTCAAGTCAAACGGCCACTAGAGGCGCTTCCTAGTTTAGATTGAATCTGTCGTGTAGTCTGGACCAGCCAAGGCAACACCAGTGCGGCGATTGAGAAAAGGTAAGCAAACACCTAAATTGGTAGTCCAGCACTGTAGTGTTCCTTTAAATAAAAACAGAAATTAATAGGTCATTCATTTAGCATTAAAGGAACACTATAGTCACCTAAATTACTATAGCTAAATAAAGCAGTTTTAGTGTATAGATCATTCCCCTGCAATTTCACTGCTCAATTCACTGTCATTTAGGAGTTAAATCACTTTGTTTCTGTTTATGCAGCCCTAGCTACACCTCCACTGGCTATGATTGACAGAGCCTGCATGACAAAAAAAAAACTGGTTTCCCTTTTTCATACAGATGTAATTTACCTTAAATAATTGTATCTCAATCTCTAAATTGAACTTTAATCACATACAGGAGGCTCTTGTAGGGTCTAGCAAGCTATTAACATAGCAGGGGATAAGAAAATATTAATTAAACAGAACTTGCAATAAAGAAAGCCTAAATAGGGCTCTCTTTACAGGAAGTGTTTATGGAAGGCTGTGCAAGTCACATGCAGGGAGGTGTGACTAGGGTTCATAAACAAAGGGATTTAACTCCTAAATGGCAGAGGATTGAGCAGTGAGGCTGCAGGGGCATGTTCCATACACCAAAACTGCTTCATTAAGCTAAAGTTGTTCAGGTGACTATAGTGTCCCTTTAACCACATTTGAATGTACTTGGATATATTTTTATTTAAAGGGTAGCTGTCGCTATCCAAAAATTGACAACATTTCCAAAACGTAGCATAATAAATAAATTGCAGTAATATGCCCCATGTGTGCTTTCGTTTGTTCATCCTATGTAATCCAGTAACTGCTACTTTCGTATGCTGGATTTAAATAAATAAGAGCACCAATTTGAAATGTTTATGCAAGATAGGTCATTATTTATTTTAACAAGATTACTGGTTATCAATAAGTAAACAGCAGGCACAAGTCTGCTAACAGACCTTTAGAAAATCACATTCTTTTCTCAGCACTGGTGACATGTTTGCCCAGGGCTAGGACATCCCACAGTGGTCTGTTACAATATAACTAGCTATAATTACAAGTGCTAACCTTGGCTTTGCAAAAACCACTCGGCTCCACAGAATGTATATAGGAAATAGTTTACAAATAGGAATGCTTAATGCTATTTTCTATATATTATTTCCCTTCTTTATTAACAGGAAATTCCAAGCAGTATAACTACTATATGGTCCTAGGTTTTCCCTAATGCCCCTGCCGCTCAATATTGGAAATGGACAAACCGTTCTAGAATGGTTTGATTTCTTACCAGGGGTCACCGGGTGGAACTAGGGGATATGGGGAGCATACTCCAGGTAAGATGGCATCCCATTCTAAAACGGTTTTACTACTTATAATGAGTGGGGGAGAGGGGTCTGGGCTCTACTGGCTCCATATCAACTACAGAGTAGCTATGGTGCTTTGAGTGTTCCATTAATGAAGCACTCTGTACTGTAATTCAGAAAAAAAAATCTGAGTAATTACTATGGAGTTGTGAAGTTTAGTTTGTACTTATGTATTGATATACTTTGCGAAGTCCAATTTGATCATAAGTGAATAGTGGTTCTCATCAGAAAGCAAATGAATGCATAAAAATGTGTCAATATTCTGTTTAATAACTACGACTGATGAAAAGAAGTACAAAATATATATGAGGCGTTGAGAATACACAAAACAAATCTCCAGGGTACCGAAAGGTGAATATGGGCAGGAAAACCAAGAGGCAGAAGCCCGACAAGCCTTGACCAGGCATGGAGCGGCTTGCCCCAAGATTGCCGACTACATGGTGGGCTTCACAGACTCCTCAGGGGAAAACCCGCTAGACGAGTTGGCTGTAAACTTACTTTCACAGGCCCCAATCCCTGATACCCCACGGAGCCCTGACTCCCAGCCTGTCACGATGGGGACTCTGAAAGACCTGCTCTCCAACCTGCAAAAGAATATACAAGCCAATGTGGCCTCCCTCCGCACAGACCTCTCTGGCCTCGTGGGCAGACTGAGCACCCTGGAAACGTTCTCAGACAGCCAAACACGGAGAATTGCCAATTTGGAGGCTGCAGTGCTAAACCGACAACAGCAGCTGGCTACGACCGAGCAAAGATTTGCAAATCTGGAGGACATGAGGTGACGAAAAAATCTCAAGATAAGGGGCATCCCAGATGACATATCGGTGGAACTCCTGCACCTGGCAAGGGGCTTACTAGCCGTACTCCTGACACCTAAACGTGAAGGTGAAGTCTGTCGCCCTTGAAGGTGTTCTCTGCATTCCCAAGCCTAAAAAAGCCCCTGACACCGCTCCAAGAGGCCTGGTCATACGCTTCCAAAATATGAGAGACAAGTCATCCATGACGGCTGCTCTTAAAGGGACTTCCCAGTTTGTATTTGAAGGCATGAACCTCTCATTTTATAATATCTCCAGTAGTACATTATCCTGGAGAAGATCACTGCAACCGTTCACCTCCCTACTCAGAGAACACACGACTCGATACAACTGGAAGCAACCTACACAGTTTAGGATATGACCGGCGCATGCGCCCTTCTGGGGACCCTCTGCCTCCCACAAGAATCTCTGCAACAAAAGAAACCCCCGGCTGCAACCGATAGATGGGATCTGAGGAACCACAGCGGGCTGAAGCAGACGCCAACGCAGCAGCAACCACCTGATGGCTCCCGCAACCTACCCTAAGCTAACAACTTAAAAGTTCAGGACTGAACATAGTTCACTATGTGTCCAGTGCTATCACCAGTCCAGTGCAGTTTTCTGTTTTGCCCATTAAAGGACGAAAACACACAGCGTGCCCACACTTAGTCTTTCGGTCAAATCCCCCCCCCCCACCTCCACCTACGACTTTCTAGAGATAAGACAAATTTTGAAGACAGTGAGGCATTAAACCCCAGGGAAAGCAGTAACCCCCTACACCTGGTGCCAAACATCATCCTCAAGAGATACCTGTCCTACAGGGGTCATCCCGAACCAAACAGGGTTGTTCTCATTTTATATCAACCTACCTTATATACAGTTGCAAGAAAAAGTATGTGAACCCTTTGGAATGATATGGATTTCTGCACAAATTGGTCATAAAATGCGATCTGATCATCTAAGTCTCAACAATAGACAATCGCAGTCTGCTTAAACTAATAACTAACAAAGAATGAAATGTTGCCATGTTTTTATTGAACACACCATGTAAACATTCACAGTGCAGGTGAAAAAAGTATGTGAACCCCTAGACTAATGACATCTCCAAGAGCTAATTGGAGTGAGATGTCAGCCAACTGGAGTCCAATCAATGAGATGAGATTGGAGGTGTTGGTTACAGCTGCCCTGCCCTATAAAAAACACACACCAGTTCTGGGTTTGCTTTTCACAAGAAGCATTGCCTGATGTGAATGATGCCTCGCACAAAAGAACTCTCAGAAGACCTACGATTAAGAATTGTTGACTTGCATAAAGCTGGAATGGGTTATAAAAGTATCTCCAAAAGCCTTGCTGTTCATCAGTCCACGGTAAGACAAATTGTCTATAAATGGAGTAAGTTCAGCACTGCTGCTACTCTCCCTAGGAGTGGCCGTCCTGTAAAGATAACTGCAAGAGCACAGCGCAGACTGCTTAATGAGGTGAAGAAGAGTGTCAGCTAAAGGCTTACAAAAGTCACTGGCAAATGCTAACATCTCTGTTAGTGAATCTACAATACGTAAAACTCTAAACAATAATGGATTTCATGGGAGGATACCACAGAGGAAGCCACTGCTGTCCAAACAAAACATTGCTGCATGTTTACAGTTTGCACAAGAGCACCTGGATGTTCCACAGCAGTACTGGCAAAATATTCTGTGGACAGATGCAACCAAAGTTGAGTTGTTTAGAAGAAACACACAACACTATGTGTGGCGAAAAAAAGACACAGCACACCAACATCAAAACCTCATCCCAATTGTGAAGTATGGTGGAAGGGGCATCATGGTTTGGGGCTGCTTTGCTGCGTCAGGGCCTGGACGGATTGCTATCATCGAAGGAAAAATTAATTCCCAAGTTTATCAAGACATTTTGCAGGAGAACTAAAGGCCAACTGTCTACCAGCTGAAGCGCAACAGAAGATGGGTGTTGCAACAGGACTATGACCCAAAGCATAGAAGTAAATCAACAACAGAATGGCTTAAGCAGAAGAAAATACGCCTTCTGAAGTGGCCCAGTCAGAGTCCTGACCTCAACCCGATTGAGATGCTGTGGCATGACCTCAAGAAAGCGATTCACACCAGACATCCCAAGAATATTGCTGAACTGAAACAGTTCTGTAAAGAGGAATGGTCAAGAATTACTCCTGACCGTTGTGCATGTCTGATCTGCAACTACAGGAAACATTTGGTTGAAGTTATTGCTGCCAAAGGAGGTTCAACCACTTATTAAATCCAAAGGTACACATACTTTTTTCCACCTGCATTGTGAATGTTTACATGGTGTGTTCAATAAAAACATGGCAACATTTCATTATTTGTGTGTTATTAGTTTAAGCCAGGGGTTCTCAATGTTAGTCCTCAGGACCCCCTACCAGTCCAGGGTTTAGGGATTACCTGGGTGTGTCTAAGGTGTTTAGAAAAAGAAAAAGAAAACACTTTAGAGTCTAAGGTGTTTTTTTCCCCCCCTTTTTCTAAACACCTGAGACACACCCAGGTAATCCCCAAATCCTGGACTGGTAGGGGGTCCTGAGGACTGGGTTGAGAACCCCTGGTTTAAGCAGACTGTGATTGTCTATTGTTGTGACTTAGATGATGATCAGATCACATTTTATGACCAATTTGTGCAGAAATCCATATCATTCCAAAGGGTTCACATACTTTTTCTTGCAACAGTATTCACCCCTGCTAATTGACATATAAGCACGCTAAAAGCGAGTGTATACCTCCTTACGAGTTTCGTGCTATACAAGCGCTGCATGCTCACCAGTTTATACCCAGCAGGTCCACTAGCTGGCGATCATAAGCGATTAGCCACATAGCCTCCTAAAACCAAAAACCCTCAGCTCCCTGGCTTTGTCATTTCTGTGTGTTGAATTATCTCATCATATGTTATATCGTTTCACAGTGTTTGTTGTACGATGCTTTCTCACAACAGTAAGTCTGAGACAAAAATAAAGAATAAAAAAATTAAAATCTCGGGAGCTCTGTACATATGTAACATTTGTTTAGTCCGGTAAAGTTGGTAATTAAAATGTTGTAATATTGGAAGCAATAAATTAATCAATTTACTATTCTTCTGTGACAACGCTATAGCTAATAGCCCATGCTTGCTGAATATTTTAATAAGATCCTATAACTTTAATTTACTTAGAATTAGACTAGTGGATTATCAACTAAACATTGAGAATAACCCATCTTATTCTAAGGATTGTTTGTTTTTCTTTAAATTTCTCCACTAAACCGTCATTTGTAACAACAATCTGTGAATCCATCTTTATCAGCCTCAAATAATACATTTGTTACCATGAACTCTGTGATGGATTATTTTTATTTTTATTTTTTTATAATATTGTAATTGAAATTCACTTTGGTTTTGAGTGCGGGTTTGCACCTTTGTTGAAATGTGTGTTGTTTTTTTTTTTTTTTTTTTAATTAAAACTGGATTAAATTTGGATTAAAAACTTGAAATGCCCAATTGTCATTAATGGAAAAACGGTTTCTTTGTGAATATCTGCATTACCTGCACCTGTTCTGCTTTGACCATAGAGACCAATAAAAATCGTATTAACAAAAAAAAAAAAGTGAAAAGCCTGTTGAGACTGACCCTGTACTCCAATAATTATCTATTGGTACACAAATAGAACTGTATTTTATTATTAATTCAGGGACCCAAAAACCTCATGAAATGAGGCAGATATATGTGACGTGGAACTCAAAATAACAAAAGACCGCATCAATTCCAATATATCACTTTAACACTTACTGCAAAACAGTATTAACTTCTATCCTAGATAGTACGGACCCAAGAAACTATAGACCGATTGCATTAATTAATGTTGATATGAAAATATACTCCGCCATTATTGCTGAGAGATTGAAAACTGTTATTACTAAACTTATTCATCCAGACCAAATAGGGTTTATCCCCGGAAGATGGGCATCAAATAACACCCGAAAGCTCATAGATATTATTGGTCTAGCTAAAGATCATAATGAGCCCCTCCTGGCACTGTCTTTGGACGCAGAAAAAGCATTCGACAGGGTCGGGTGGGGCTATTTAAGAGAACTCCTTAAGGCATATGGCTTTAGGGGTTGGATATATACCGCAATTATGGTATTGTACTCTGTTCCTTCGGCCAGAACTGTAGGTCCCAATATTACTTCGACTTGGTTCGATCTTAAAAACGGAACAAGACAGGGATGTCCCTTGTCACCGCTTCTCTACATCTTATCTCTTGAACCCCTCGCTCTTAATATTAGAAATAATCAGTCAATAAAGGGGGTTTCTATGAAACTTCAAGATATTAAGATTGCATTATATGCCGCTGATGCTTTGGTTACTCTTACATCTCCAGAAGATTCATTAGTAGCACTAATGGAAGAAATTGATAATTTTTCTAATATCTCTAACTTCAAGCTAAATGTTTCAAAATCTGCTGCTTTAACCATCAATTTATCCTTGACTCAGGTTGAAAGGTTATCTCAAAAATATCAGTTTATTTGGACTGATTTAGAAATTAATTATTTGGGTCTTAGTTTCCCTGCTAACGCCTCCCACATAATGGAGAGGAATGTTATGCAGTTAATGAAGGATATGAATCAAAACTTAAAAAAATGGAAAAACTTAGAAACATTATGGACAGGCAGAATTAATATTATAAATTCTTATATTTTACCAAAATGGTCGTATTTGTTCTCAATGGTTCCTCTTAAAATCCCTAAGGTGTGGTTACTAATGATTCAATCTGCCATTAATAAATTTATTTGGAAAAATAAAAAGCCTAGAATAAAAAAATATTTCTAAAAAATTGTCCCAGGGAGGGCTAAACTTTCCAAGTATTATTAATCTTTACTATGCCAATACTATACGACATATATATATATTCTACAAGAACCACTTTTATTCTGAACCTTGGTATAATCTGGAATCTGAAGCTTTACATGCATCTAGTCTCTATTCTTATATATGGTCAGATCCTGGGAAGCTCTTAAGGGATTTGCCTAATTGTTTAATATCGTTGGCTCATTCTTTGGAAACATGGGCTGAAATGAGGAAAATTTTGGGCTTAAGTTATTTAATTCCTAGAACATGTAAATTAAATATATTAGAAAATAATGTAGAGGATCTATCATTGAGACACTGGCCTAACAAAGATACATTAACTTTATTGGATATTATGCTGGGTGATAATATTCTACCATTTCAACAGATTGTGGATAGTCTCCATATACCATCTAAAGAATTATTTACATACTTTCGTATCAAACACTATATTCAGAAACATGTTATCCAATCTTCTTTTCCTTGGGCTAAAGAGTTGCAAACTCTATTTTCATTTCAAACTGTACCCAAGGTTATTTCGGTAGCTAATTTGCTTTTTAAAGGCTTAGATACCTTTCCCTACAAACTGGTTAAAATATGGGAAAATGAACTTAACTTAGTGATTTCCCCAAAGGACTGGTCTTCCTCTATAATCCTAGTAAATAAATCTGTCCATGGTCTAAACTTGACTGAGTGCCACTTTAAGTTACTTCACAGATGGTACTACACTCCGACAAGACTGGCTAAAATGTATACTTCTCAAGATCCTACTTGCTGGAGATGCGGTACCTATTCGGGTACATATATCCATACATGGTGGTTTTGCCCAGTAGTAAAACCACTATGGGCCTGGGCCTATAATATCTTCTCCGAAATATCCTTGAATGAGGTATCATTTAAAGATATAAATAAAAATCCAGCTTCGGCCCTCCTCCACCTGAACTGGCCTTTTAAATCAAGTAAACATATTTGTTTAGCTATCCACTGCTTTATTGCAGCTAATATTATTGTAGCTAGACAGTGGAAATCTTCTGATCCTTTTCAGAAAATTTCCCTAATTAATCAAATTAAATTCCAACTCACAATGGAAAATGATATGGTTAAAAATTGGTCAGTGGTCTCTAAAAAAAGAGACTGGTATTCAACTTGGCTAAAAAATTGTTCTCTACTATACGGTAATTCATAAATCTCTCAGGTGACGTGCTTATGGAAGATGTAATTATATTTGGTTAGCGGAATTTATCTTATCGATAACTTGTATCTAAATTTGCGTTTATTTCCACTGATACACCTCTCACTATTTTGCTACAGACTCTTGTTTGTTCCATATTAATGACTTCCTGTTCTTTGTTATGTATTTTTTTTTCTTTCTTTTTCCCGATTGACATATTTTAATGAAAGTATTCTCTTTACATAAAATGATTTATTTATATCAATCGGATGTATTTTGTATGATTGTATGTATGTATGTTTTCGAAAAAAAAAAAAAGATAGAAAAAAAAAAAAAAACTTCTATCCTACCCATTGGCTTTCACTAAGTGAATGTTCAAGGGGTATATTGGGATTAGTAATCAGATTTAGCATGGCTTTAATTCGGAATGCAGATCAGGCAGTCAGCCAGATTTGCAATAGGTACAATACATACAGATGTCCTCATAATGAAATTTAGAAGGGTGAGGCCATGTCTAGTTCCACTTCAGTTAGTCCTGCTAACACGTTTACTGTAAGTTCTAATTATCGTATAGATGGCTATATTCCCAGCCTCACCCTAAATCAAATGCTGTACTTGGCAATCGTCATTGTGTGGCAGCTGTCCTCTGCGGTTAAAAGAGCGTTGAGCCAGACAAGGCTTTCATGAAAGACCAGAGTAGAGAGCATGACATTTTTGATCACTCCTGACCATGTTCTACAAGGAGTTATAACCTTGTCACGAAGGACCTCCGCAAAAGAAAACTGCATTTTGTAGTGACAACTCTTAAGTTCTCGCCATGTTAAACTAAATAAAGGGGAAATATGGATATATTTTAAATACACATGGCTAGGATCACGTTACCAAGTCGACAAATTGGGTATTTACCCTGCGTCCAGTAGAGATAGGTGGACACCCAAGCTGTGTGAGACATAGAGACAAAATACAACCAAAGCTTAGCATTGAGGGCTGTGGAAAAATGTTTTTTTTTTGTGTATGAAGAGATCATAAAATGCTATTAAACAGGCCAAGGGAAATTTGCTAGATTTTGTTCTCGAGTAGAAAATCATAAATTATTGATTTCAGATATGAAAGTTTATATGTTGCTTATGATTTATTTTTGTTTGTTTCATAATGAATATCTGCATTTTTGTTTTTATTTTATACTTTATTCTGATGTCTAATAACCAGTCATACCAGATTGTTGCTTAAAGACAAAAGTTTCCATTACATCATTTTGCTTTGTTTGGAAATCAAGCAGTTTTTGTTTGCATGGTATGTTTTATGTATATATCTATGAATACATGAACTTCCTTACTGGAAAATTTTAACATCAGCGTGACACTACAGCATGTTTTTTATTATACAAAGTTAACAAGCTAATATTACAGTTTACCTTTATGCCCATTCCATAAATTGGTTTATAGGATAAAATCCGTCTTAACCTGCTTGATTGCTAATTAAATCATAAAGCACAATTTAATACTCACCCTGACACCTGTAGTGTGTTCTATTTAAACAGAATACTGAGGTAAGATTCCTGAGTTCAGAGAGTATTGGTATAAAAAAAAAAAAAAAATCATGGTGTTCACTAAAGTGTGAATTGTCTGTTATTCATTGAGAATTTAAAAATGTTTAGGTAACTATAGCCACTTTGCCAGTTTACAATGTGAAATTAACTTTAAAATGTGAAATTAACTTTGAATTCCTGGCAGCATATGCTGTAGCACAAGGTAGATCCCCAGATGTTTTATAACTACAGCTTCCATGATGCTTTGTCATTGTAAAGGCATGCAAAGCATCATGGGAGTTGTAGTTTTACAATATCTGAGGAGCTACATTTTGGACAGCCCTGCTGTAGCACATAACTTTGTGTTTTTTATTTGCTATATATTCTTTGTATTTGTATAAAACTGGGTTGTGAAATTTAGGCTAAAATATCCAAGATGTGACTGCAACCTTTGTCTTTTTAGAGACCACACCAACAGCATTAAATTATTCACTCTAAGCACCATAACAACTGTACATTGTTGCAGAGTTTATGGGGCAAAGAGTACCCTGCTTCTGCCTCCCTTTTTCAGAATGGATTTAGATGGCAGTGGTTTTAAATTTAAATGCGGAGGAAGTTTACTGACCCTTACATATTCACTTTCTAATGAAACCAACGTAGTAATGTAATTTAGTGAGTTAGGGAGTCACCATCTGATGTTACCCTCCACCCCCCTCCCACCCCCCCCACAATTTTTTACACTTGATGACCTTTTCACAGTTGTCAGTTCATTTTACACCTCGTCACATCTTGGAGCCTGGTTAAGATAAATTCGCTGTATGCACAATTTCACGAATGCGTTTACAGCATACAACTTAGTAGGTTATGTTTCTACTCAATGACAATGATTGTCATTGCAGGGATACAATTACAGAGCTCTGCACACAGACCACTTCATTGAGGTGAAGTGATAAGTGGTCTGGGTGCCAATAGTGTCCCTTTAACATACGGTTAAATACCCAATTAAAGGGACACCGAAGTCACGGTAATTGCTTAATCTCCTTGAAGGGTCTGAAGTCTCTTGGTGCTGTCGTTTCATTCGCTGTGAAACTGTTTTTAACGTTTTAATGCTAAACGAATCTCCAGCATCCCATCCATGCTACATGGACTAATGAGGAAGAAATAGGCAGCTGAGAGTGTCAAAGATCACTTTCAGCCTATCACAGTACTAATTGCTACAACTCCCTGATCACTCTCTGGTATATTCAACTACAGTACTACATTCGTACGTTACCACAGAGATAAGCTGCATCGGAACCTCACGTGGTTTGAGGAGCTTTGCTCGCAGGGCTCGGTGCTTTAAGAAGACCGATATCAATACTTTAGCAACACCTCCTGGTTGGGAATATTCCCATGAACAATAAGTTCCAATGACAGTGGGAAGAACTAATACGTAAATCCTTTTCGGCTACACAATGGGACAAAGTGCTAGTGTGGCAACACAAGAGCTCTATCAGCTCACAGTACCAGGAAACAAACTGCAAATTAATATCATTCTGGTACAGAACTCCTCCACAGGATATTTCATAGTGTGCTACCCACTTGCTGGAGTTGCCAGGCTGATAGAAACATGATGCGGCATATATGGTGGGAATGTCCAGAAATTGCCCCCTTTGGGACACGGTGAGGGACAATGTGACTCGGGGATTCAGTTGAGTGGTCCGGGGAGCTCGCTCTGCTACACGTCTTCAAAACCTATTTCGGTGTATAAGAAATCTATCCTACGCCACTTGCTTAATGCGGCTAAAGCCCTGATTCCTGTATTTTTGGAAAAAGATTGAGATTCCTCCTAAGGAGACTTGGCTGTGCAGGGTTGAGGATATACAGGCAGCTGAGGAGCTACATGCTTGCACAGGGCAAGTTCCAGACATGCGGAGGCCTGGCAACCATAGTTTGTTTATATGACCCGTGATCTGTGATGCTTGAACAGACAGGAGTCGCGGGGGGCTTGAGGTGGGTAGGGGGGGCTCGTTTGCCCAGGTATGGTAACCCTTCTTGTTTCTTTTCTCTTTATCTACTTACACACTTTCTCTTTACGCTGTCCTTTCTAGCAGGCCTCATTTTTATAAGTGGAGGGAGGGGTTGAACTCCCCACTTCGCACTAGCTCACTTACTGTATTAAGGGAAGCTCAGGTAGCCGCTAATGCTGGGGATTGCTCTACATATCACGGTAATATACTATCTTCCACTATCTGGCGGTTCTGGACCGTACGTTGGCGACTATCAGAGAGTTAACACAGTAATTGAACTCCTGTAAAATGTATACACTTGTATTTTTGATATGCTTGCATGTATAGCGGCCTGCGTGCCTATACAATTACGCAAATCTCAATAAAAAAATTTTTTTTTTGCAGGACTCCTTTGACAATGCAAAACAGGTTGACTAAGTCATGTGTGCCGGGGTTGAAACTACACCCATGCACACAATCACTAATATCTCTGTCAAGTGTGAATGCACCATGACCACTTCTAAAAGCAGATATGGTCATGGTGGAGTAACCCATTAATTTCTCTTCCTATCTGTATGTTTTATCTCTGCAGGGTGCCATATGCAACGCACAAAGCTTCTAACAATTCTAGAAAGGGAGCTACGTTGTAAGCGCTCAGTTGCATAAAGAGGTGTTATGTTGTACATTTAATTTTGTGCTTTTTACAACTCATAAATACTTATCCTCTAACATAGTAAAAAAAACTATTTAAACACTGTGTTAATAATCCTGGGATGTGACCGTACCCCTTTTACAATTCCTAATATACTTGTCCTAGGTGTATTTTAACTTCATCCTCAACTAGAATGTTGTTTCCATCAAAATAATCTACCAGATCATTGTGGAGAAGTTTTTACCAGGAAACATATTTTATATAAATCCTCAAACCTTTTATTTTACCACTGGTGAATGATCTAGGTCAGGGGTAGGCAACCTTTTAGCAGCACTGTGCCGATATAGGATTGTGATGTCCCGTAGCATGCCGATCCTATATATATATTTATTTTTTTAAATTGAGGTGTGTATGCTGCCGTATTCTGCTTGTTTTATTTTTACTGTAATTGCTTTGTATCATTGTATTTGTGCGTATATGAGCTATTATATTGTATATGTTCATTAGTAGTTTATGGTATCGTGTATGATACATATGAATGTGGGCTGTGTATGGGGGCTGCTTGTGGAATTGTGTGTGGATGGATATGTCACATTGTGTGTTTGGTAGTGGGTGGGGGCTGTTTGGGGTATTGCATGTGAGAGGTTGCATGTGGGATTGTGTGCATGTATGTGGGTTGTTAGTGGTTTTGCGTTTGTGGGGATTGTGTGTATGCTTGTGTCTGGGCTGTTATTCTGCATTTCTGTGTATATCTAGCAGTGTGGGTGGCTTCCATGGTTCCAGTGGGGACCAGGCTGGCCAGGTACAGGTCAAGGACAGGAGCTGAAACACCAGCTGCGGGCTGCTCTTCTACAGTGTGGATTCCCATTCACAAGTGCTGGGAGGAGGTGATCTGAGATCACTTCCTCTATGTGCTGCAATGCATAAATTGAGGATTGTCCTTCACCACCTCTTTGTATTAGCAGATATCTGAAGTTTTACTGGGACTCCTGATAGGACAGAGCCTGTTTGGCTCTAGCAGCCTTGAGTGCCGTGCGAAGGCACCTCGAGTACCGTGCATGGCACTAGTGCCATAGGTTGCCTACCCCTGATCTAGGTATTATATATGTAAAATGAAAGATTGCTTGAGAATCACGAGAAATCTAGTTTTCTCCAATTCAATCAACAAAAACATTTCATTTATATTTTGCAATTTCCTCCCATTTAAAATGTGAGAACTCTTTAGCAATAAACATTGTCCAAGAAGTAACATTCAAGTAACACTTGATATGGAAATCGAAACACACTGTACACCGTTAACAAATGTGATATGCAAATCTGACAAGTTTGGATTAATGTACTGTGGTGTTTTCAATTTATCCAAGCATCAAATTTGTCTATTGTGTCTGATTGATTCAGAAAATGTCTGATATTTATTAAACAGAAGGTTTTAAGGCAAAGCAATAAGACGAGTTTTGTGGGAGTATCGTTAATTACCAATCAAATATTCACAACGATTAACTAACGGTTAAAGCATGTACCAAATGATGGCTCTAACACTTAATAGGGAGATGTATAGGAATAGGTGTGATCTTACAAGCTGGTGTTAATGTTGGCATCAAATTTCAATTTAGATTTAGTCGGTCTTTTGTCTAAAAAGACATTTCAGTTTTAGTCTTATTTTAGTCATCTGAATTGTTTTAGTCGACTAAATCTCCAGTAGATTTTAGTCAACACAACTAAAATCTATTGGGTTTAGTTAAAGCCTCTATCTGTCTCTTTTGCCCCTTCCCCCAGCCCCTGTTCATTGTTAATTCTGACCGCAAACCTGAATTTAGTTTGTCATAGTCTTTTGACTAAAATGCCATTTTAGTCACCTATATTGTTTTGCTTTATTCTAGTTTTAGTTGACCAAATCTCAAAAATTCTAATCTTGACTAAAATTGTTAGTCGACAAAATTAACACTGCTTACAAGAGTAGTGGGGCTGTAGAAATGTGGTCTTTCAAGAAGAGTGGGAAGCAAAGAGAGGTCATATAAAAGACACTGGTGACGTAATTGCAATGTACAAGGTTGCTAGTCTTGTGATTCAGCTAAACCGAGACTAACCCTTTCATGTAACTATATATCACTACAGGTCTGTCTGTTTTCTCCTGGCTGTCTGCAGCTCAGCTATAGATTGAATGATGTGCCTTCATTGAGAGCAGAGCCAATCCGCCACATAGGCTAAACATTACAGCTCACAGATAGGGGATATGCTAAGCACCAAAACAAATTTAGCTGAATAAAGTGGTTTTGATGTATAGTTCATACTGCAGTCTTGCTGCTCAATTATCTGCCATTTTGGATTTAAAGGAATACTGTAACATGACTGCTTTATGGGGATTTCCATATGAAGATCAGTGTGATCGTGTTAGATCAACAGAAGCGACCCTAAAGAACCAGGTTAATGTGTGGGATGTAGGAGTGTATCGTGTAACTTCAGAGTCTTCACACTCCTACATACTGCACGTTTCTTTGAGTTTTTTTGTTGTGGTTCTCTGTGATACTTACACATTTGGCACAGTATGTTTTTTGTTTTTTTTGCTGTGGAACTCTGCTATACAGTTGTACCATGCCTCCCAACTGTCCAGATTTCATTGGGGCAGTCCCGATTTTCAGGTCCTGTCCTGCCTTTGTTCCCTGGTGTCTCCAAAAATCATTGTACAAGCGCTTCATAAAACTCCTTCAGAGACTTTCCATGTCTTTGGGGACAGAGCTAGTAAAACAATCTCGTGACTTAGTCCGTCCTTTTTACCTCCCGCCGTTTCTTATGTCTGAGTTGGGAGATTTGTTATACTCACATTCTAGTTTTCTAACAACTTCAGTTGGAAAAATAGCAATGTGATTTGACTAAAAGGGGGACTGTATCTTCTAAAGTGAACTTAACACGTTTGGTGAATGTTTTTTGTCTCGCTTACTTTTAGCACTTGGTTTATGATGCAATATCAACCCCAGGCTTGGTAGTGTTTATGCAAAGTTTTATGACCTTTGTGGTGCTTCTTGGATGTTCTCGTATTATGAGCTGACCAATCGGGTTTACTGCTTCGGTTCTAAATGTCAAAACATGACTGTTACAACACACATTGTCCCTTTTTGTTTACTTTTTAAAAAAAATTTCAGTCTACTCAGTGTAATTAATATGCCAGCTACTACAAACAGTATCACATAATTTCTGTTTTAACTGTTGCAGAAATCGCAAACGCAAAGAAAACAAATGTTTCTACTAATGAGTTTAAACCTGATAATTTCACATAATTTAAAAATAGACTTTGTATGGATTATATAACTTTAAAATGATCAGCATCCTCAGTGGGAATATTTACTAATGCGAAAAAATAAGCAGAAAATGGCGTGTCTAGTTTAAATGATTTCTACTTGTACACTCCAAATACACAAAACACTTCAGCTTGCTTGTGTCTGGAGTCTGTCATATTTGTGACGATTTCAATAGAAATCCACTTCTTTTACCTCTGTTAACTCCACAGAGATAATAGAACCGCCAGACGCGCCTGCCTCCTCCGCTTCTCAATGAGCTGCCTCTAGTGTATACTCGGCACAGATTGAAAGTCTGTGCCTGGGAAAGAGAGGTAGTCTTGCAGGTGTGCATTTTTTCCCCCCTCTCATTTTACCCACAAAGAAAACATGTAGTAAATGTGTAGTTTATTTGGGGATATCTACCAATTTAAAGTGATTTTTTTTTTTTTTAAACAAATTTGCCATTGTAAATATTTTTGGGTAATTCTCGAAGTAGGCAAACTTTGCCAGTGTTTTCATGTTTCATTCCTGGCATTCTTACCTGTCAACTGAAGAGGGCAATCAGTATCCGTGACTGCAAAAAAAATTATTAAAATTATGCATTCCATATTGCTATGTCAGCGGTGATATAGATCCAATTTGATCTTTATATTCAAGGGAACCCAAATTGTTTTCAAACGCACTTGGAGGAGCGTGAATTCAGAAACCAGACGTGTGTTATCTATCAAAATAAGCTTCTGTCATTTATCAGTATGTGCTTTTATACATTAAAAAAGTGTGTGCTTATGTGCAAATACTCATAGTACAGTAGTAGGAAGGGGGTGAAAGGAGTACAGATAAGATATAGGGATGAACATCATATACATATAACAGATAAGTTCCGAGAGAGAGAAAGAACAGACTGATTTAGGAGAGACAGCTCAGGTGGGGGCTCTCTGCTCCCGGAACTAGACAGATATGGTCTTAAGTGTCATATTAAGCATTTCCTGAGTCCAAGTTAGCCAATTTAAATATAGGCTATCTAATATGACACCTATACGCTTGAACCTTGGAATCAAAGTCAATTCTTTCACAGCGGTTATGTAGTTGGTATGTTGGACATATGTCCTATAAATCTGTGTTATCAATCTAGTTCCACCTCTATTTAAAGTCATTTTGGAGTATAGAACCTAATGCATAGATCAAAATATTTAACATTTCTTTTACAGTTGAGTGAATGCATTATTTATAAATCCCATCTAATATTCTTTTCTTCTCCATGTTTTGAGGAGTGTAAGCCTCCCTCTTTGCCTTGAAGGATAGGCAATTGTTCTGAAGATATTTTTTTTGTTTTTTTTTTTTTTGTTCAAGTATTTTGAATAGTTCCATTATATGGTTCCATTCTAGGAAATCTCTCCTGTTACAGCTGTTGTTATATTTCTGCTACATCATTGATGAAGTGTAATATTCCAATGGCTGGCTTCGTGGTCAGAATTGCGAGAGAATGGAGAACTTGTCACCGCTTATAGATTAAAGTGAAAAATGTGTGGCTTGGAGCAAAGTGCTTTTGAAATAAGCACATAACATGACCCCCACAACTTTACAATCCAACTCCTGTATCTTTTTCAAAGTTTAGAATCTCGTTCTTAGTGAACCTGTCATGACACTTTGCACTTGAACAGCTCCCAATGTGCTGAATAAATAATTTATAATAATGATAAATTAAATATTTTGTCATTTGGGTGGTGTTAAATTAGTACTTACTTGCCCCCTTTAGTTCCAGTCCTGCTACCCCAGAGTTTCTGGGATACAGTGCTCTAACTTCCAACATACATTTCTGCCCACTCTCTGTTTCAATTGGCCCTTCTTAGGGACATTTCTCCCAAGCAGGGCAGTCTTCATTAAAAATGCTGAGATTCTAGCTTCACTCCTAGCACTTCAGCCAAGACCTTGGTGTGCAGGCAGCACACTGATCTAATGCCAAAGTTTAATTGACAGGGCCCCACTTTCTTTTTATTTATTTTTTATTCCATGTTCTAATACATCATACAATAGTATGTATGTGTGTGTATGTGTGTGTGTGTGTGTGTGTGTGTGTGTGTATATATATAATTTTGTTGGAAAAAGTAAAAAAAAAAAAAAAAAAGGTTAAAGAGAATATAACCAGCACCACAATTGAACCATAATGAGCATTGTTAAAAGGCTCATTATGGTTTTTAGATATAAGGGTGCACAATGTTTAACTGCACTTAATTGCCTCCGTATTAGCAAAGGTTATCTTTCTTTTACTAACTACTTCTGATGTGGACCTTCTCTAAAGCCATAACAATGAGTTTGACATTATTATGTAATCCCATAAAGTATAGGCTATATTTATGCAGTATAGTTATGTTCTCTCTTTGAACCAATCATTAAGTGTAGTTACCAATAAGACGTTGGCCATGTGGGCTGCAAATGAGGAGCAATAGCTGACCAAAAAAAGAGGTATGAAAATATAATTGGGCATTTTGGAGATGAATACATGATTTAATATCCAGAACTGACTTATGTAGTAGATGTGTAGACACACAGATCTACGTGTCTATTATTAGCAGGCGTTGTTGGAATCTAGGTCTGTGAACAATGCATGTTCTTTTCAGCTGTGTGACTGAGAATAACTTTCAAATAATAAATCGTTGTACATATTTGCAGTGCACGAGGTCTGAATACTCATATAATTAATAAGTCAGTCCTTGTTTGTTTGTTTTTTGCTCTCATTTCTCGCATATAGCTGTTTTTCTTTCCATGACGCAGTCCGAGGTTCATTTCACCACACCCATAGCTGGAGTCATCATCCTGTGTTCCTCAGCTCATTTTTCTAACAATTGCTGTCCTTTTAACTTAAGTGATCAAGGCAGTTTTAGTTGCGTGATCTGTTTTGTTAGATGTAAACAAAGCATGTGTTTAGTTGTTTTTGTGACCATTCTTGTTAATAGAATAATAGCATGTCTTATTCAATAAAAATGGTCTCCATTTCCTGAATCGTTTAGATAAATTCATGAGATTTTATGTGGCCTAGTAATTAAAAGGTTACAAATGGGTATATACAATAACTGAAAGACCTTATTTTCCAGAGAGCAAAAGTGGACCTTTGATGAGTAACATTAATAATTACAATTATTCTGAAAGATGTATGTCGCCATGGGTTCCTGGAGGAGCCTGCTCGTCAGCCTCCTACCTCAGGACTATGGCCCCTGCAATAGACGGTGGCTAATATACTTTAAATACTCTCTATTCGTGCAATTAGGATTATATGATTGGTTTGGTTTCCGAACCAAACAGCCGCACGAACCAGAGACCACCTGGGAGCTTGTTAAGTCCGATTGATACTTTGTAGCAATTTCAACTGCAGTGTTCGTCTGGGTGGCCGCATTTCGTATGAATGACAACTAGGTGGAGGCCATCTTGTTCCCGCAAACGCAGGCAGCGGTGTTTTGGGCATGAATCTCATGGAACTAAAATCGGACACAAACTCCCGAACACCGCTGGACTGCCATCATCGCCTGTTTTTGGTTATACCCCACTTAAAAAGGCACTGTTCGGTGGAAACATTCCCACAAACAAGGGGAACAGGCTACACAAGTGATTTAAGTATTCCGTTCGTTGTTTTATGTACTTTTGTGCTCTCGAAAAGAGACTAGATCCAGGAGTTTGGTCCTGGGTTGGAAGGAACGGCGAGACCCAAGCCAAGCTACGGTGTCCAAGGGTCTACAGTGCTGATGGTGTCTGGTGGAGTGCTTGAAGTACTTGGTGAGCACTTGGAAAAAGCGATTGGTGGAGGTACTCAGTTGGGGTGCCAGGCGGTCCTCCACAGGTCTATTCTAGTGTTAACAATGTTCTAGAAATGACTTAGAAAAAGAAATCCATAACTAGTGACATCGAAGACTAGAATGATAGCATTGGAAAGTTTTGACTCCCTCTAGTTTTATACTGTGTGGCAGTGTCCACACGTTCCTTTTTCTCTCCTTTCCCAGTGTAACCTGTCCAAACCCTTATATTCACGCACAACTGCGCTTCTACTGGCAACCCTACAACCTTAAACCTCTCTTTTATTCTTCTTTCTACTTTATTATATATATTGTGTTATCCTCCAAGGTAACCAAACCTTTTTAAGATTACAGTTTGAATAGGACTGACCATTTCTACTTGAGTAACAACAATTTTAGACTTTTGTTAATGTTCACGATACTATCTGTAATGCAGACTAGAACCATTTCCTTAAAGTCTGTTAGATTGTTTACCTTATTTTTATCCATCCTGACCTTTTCATAACTCATACTGAAGTCACAATATTGCTTCATTTTTAAAGTGTCTAGCAATGTGTGATTAGGAGAATTAATAGTTCTAATAGACATTTGCCAGAAATTATTGCTCGCGTAAAATTAAGGACTTGGTATCCTTTACTTACTGGAAGGGTTTATGTCAACAAGTCTCATGCGCAAAGGTCACGAAGGGATTGACTTTGCCATAATAACTTTGAACAAGGTGTTGACTTTGCCATAGATAAGTCAATTCAGGGCATCTTGTCATGTCTCAATACAATAACAGATCTTGTGCTCTCTGCAATGATCAATTCACCTTACAAATGTGATTAATGCTTGTATCATTAGGACTATCTGCCTAGATGTGTGTGTGTGACAACTTGTCCCATGAGATGCTTGGGTAGTTTTTTTCTTTCTAAAGAGTAATACATGTTCACACACCCACAAATTAATTATTCTCATACTGGAATCCCATTAACAATGGAGTTTCTCTGCATCTTCTCAATAATATTCGCTAATTGTGGTTTTACAAGGGAAACATTCTTAGAGGCTGCAATTCTTTGACAAAGCAGGTTCTCCTTATCTTCTCACAGAAGGTCAGAATGATCTGCATGAATGATATGGCTGTCAGCTCCCATGTGTAGATCCTGAAATTCCTCAACATGTACAATATAACAGTGTATTAGATTGTAAGCTTGTTTGGACAGGGCAATCTTCATCTGTTTCCCTATGTCATACACGTTTTGTTAAAATCAAATATCTTTGTTTCCTATTGCACAATGCTGCTTAATATATAAATAATTGTAATTTGCAATAAAAGTCCTGAAATTCAAGCCATCATTAGGATAGTGGGAAGTCAATAACAAAAAATAAAAAAAGTGTCCTCTTTTTCACCCTCCACTTCCCCCCCTTTAGAATAAACCTCAGGTTTTTAAACATGAGCCTCGTGGAATAGGCAGGCCTTTTAGACAGAAGTTTGGCAGTAGAGGATTACATGATTGAGAAGCTGTGTAAAATATTTAATGTATCTCACGCAGTTTGTGTGAATGTTTCATTAGATCTGTGTAGCAATGTGTTAGCCTCTGGTCTCTCCTGGACTTGTTAATAATTTAAGCAGAGTAGCGGTGTCTCAGCATTCTGAATAATTAATATTCTGCTAGGTTAGTGTACATATGCTGCAGAGCTTTGTACTATAGGAACCGTAAGAAGGGAAAATTGATTCGTATGGCCCAGTGGAGTGTTTTTAATAATATTCTGCAATTTGCATGTATGTGCTCTTACACATTACTTTTTATTCCATCTTTTCGGAAATGACAACACAGAACAATGATCTTATTAGTCAGGCATGTGTCGTGTGTTTAGACTTCCTCAAAGTATGGGTTAAAATTAATTCCCATGGACAGCTGGGAGATAATAGAATTTTTTTGACAGTAGGAACTCTCTTAATTAAGTGCTAATTTGATTGTGGATAATTAATTACAGCGTCACTTGTTCAGAAATGTATTAATTTCTATTCTATTTGATTAGATATTTATAGCAATATGTAGGTGCCAGTGGTGTGCCTTACACAATGATTGGCCATGTGCTGGTCATATTTCAGCATTTCCTAAACCTTGCTGCCACAGAGTACTAGAGTCTACCAGGGAGAATCTTTAAACGACTAGGGTAACATGCAGAGTTGATCTTCTGGACAACTTAACGAGCAAGAGTGGGGAGTCTCACATTTGGCTCACTCCAAACCCCTAAAACATTTTCATTTCCTGAAGTGCCCTAGGGTTTAACATTGTGCCCTTTCTTTCTTAAATTATAATTATGAAGTTTCTAGGTTGCATCCTCTCCGCTCTGAATCAGGCAGCCAGGTGCTGTATATTTGACCTACCTGTATAAGAAGCATTGGATTGCCCAGGATATTATCAGAACTGATGATCCCCCTCAGAGTTAGAAACTGTTGCGAAGGATCCTGTTGACACTGCATTACAGCAGTCACAGGTTCATTTATTTATTTTTTTTACAGAAAATGGGGGCCCAGTACACTTTACAATACTCCAGCATTTTAAATAAATGTAGCAAGTCTTAGTAGCACGTCTAAATTCAATTTAATTAGAGTGGTGGTGGGTTGTCAGCCACTAAACATACCTTATTCCTGACTTTTAGAATGAATTATGATGAATGGTGACAATTGTGATTCAGCTAACTCTACAATTCAATTACTCTATGCACTCTCTGATGGTTTCCCATCCTATACTAGATAATGGTCTTGGGGTCCTATAAACTTTGCTGGATAACGCTAAGGTCATCTTGGCAGTAGAAGGGTTGCCTGTTATCTACCACTACTGTAGCGGTGATCCTGGTAGGAGGACAGGAATGCCACTCTTGGTGTTTTGCTTATCAATTAAATGTAGTGAAGGATATACATTGAAAAGAGCGTAAATTAAGGGATAAAAGTAAATATACAATGGTCAAGCGCAATATAATCACTTAGGATGGGGAAAAAAATAGTGGTTCCTTTTTTTTTTATTTTTTTTTTAATAGTCTTTCTTTTTTTAATAACAATGTATTATTTTCTAAATATGTATCAAACACACTGGATTTGACAGATGCCTTTATCTTGGCTGTATTTTTATTTTACGTTCCATGGTAAACCTCTGCAGAGGATAAAGTCATGGTTACCTTTTGAAGATGATAATCCCTTGGATTGCACTAACATGCAAGGCAGAATTTCAAATTAATTGGGCAGTTTACTAAAAATAAAATGCAGATTATGTTCCGTTGCTTTCCGAGTATCTTGGCAGCACACTGACAGCCAACAAATGATTTAAAGGAACACTGTAGTGTCAGTAATACAAACGTATTCGTGACACTATGGCGCTGGAATGCAGCATTAGATCCCCTCGCTCAGGAGATTGAGGGTGATTTTTCTCACCTCTTCTCCCATGCTGTGCATGTGTTGCTGCGGCTGGCCCATGCAGATCGTGCTGCACACGGATACAGAAAGCACCTCTTGTGGTCGTTTGAGTGACTGCCACTAGAAGTGTAACTAGCCAGAAAGGTAAAAGCCAGATTTAACATTGAAAGGACATTGAAGGACAGACTATAGACACCAGAACAACTACATTAAGCTGTAGTTTAATGTCCATTTAAATGAAATAAATTTAAGATGGTAAAGAAAATATATATTTTTTTCATTTGTTTATTTTCCCCATTTTTAGTAAGTCTTGCCCTTGGGACATCTGTGAAATAGTGCATGATTAGTAGATTTGTGCTTAACTTTGTGTTTTGATAATTCATTTGGGAAAAGAACAAACACATTGCTCATGGTATTGATTCAATCCTGTACTTCTCTATGAGCAACACTGCGGACATAAAGTGCATGCGCGGCAATTGCCACTCTAAGCCAATCAGATGTTTCTCCTTGAATATATGTGAATCAGCGTTTGACATGAATGCTTTTTTTTTAAAGGTCCTCATAAGGAAGTGCCTGCAGCGGCTGTTAGCATGACAGCTGCTACAGGTGTGGTTTCAGACAAATATAAACTGAAATGTTAATGTTTTAGATTGTCCAAAAAAATACTTTGTCGATATACCAACAAATCTTCATTAATATCGAGTCCTTAGTGTGCCATTAACTAGCCATTATAACACATTTGTTTACCATGTGCCCTTTAAAAATGATGTACGTAGGGCCTGTATGTCAGACCTGTGTGTAGCCAATCCTGCCTTGAGGTAACTGCAAACTGCAAATCTTTGACCATTTCATACACTGAAATTGATTTCTACTTTTAATTTTAACGACTTTGTCAAAAAGTATTTAAAAAAAAAATAAAAAAGTGTATAAGTTCAGCATTCAGAATAAGCCTTTTCATTACACATTGTTGATGTCTCAAACAAATTGTTCATTGTTCTTTTTAACCTCAGCCTCTTAAATGCCTATAATAATTTAAAAGAGATTACAGGTTGGAATGTAATAATGATGTTTAAATCATTGCTGTCTGTGTAATTTATTGTAGTTTATGCAATCTTATATTTATTTTATTTCTTTTTGGGAAATATGATTGACAGATCTGTATTCTTCTTTGTCTCCAGAATAGTTTCCTACACTCCATCCCACCCCCCCTCCGCACTCCAAATCCCTTGACTTTTACAGAATAATTAACTTTGCCGTGTATAAGACTTTTTTTTTCTTAGTAGTACTTATTGACTCTCTTTATTATTATTTTTTTATTTATTACTGGCTTTATCAAGACATTTCCATATTACTAGTTTGAACAGTTACTTACAATAGATTTATAAGGTTTCCAATATAAATGACTGAAGTTAATATTTAATCTGCTAAATTATTTACTCAAGGCTCAGTCTTTTCATCTTTTGAATAGTCTTCCCTAACAATGGCTGAAAGGCCGTGCGGTCAGCCATTGTTCACCTTCACTCAAGGCTTTTTATACTTCATGTTTAGGAAAGCATGAAGTTTAGTGGCTTTTTAATATATCCATCATACTAATGTCTTACAAAATTATACATTTTGTCAGCAGACCATGTAACATGGACACACAAATATAAAATGTGAAGTTATTTTAATTATGTAAAAATATTTAAAAACTACGCAGTCATCGGCCAGATCAAAGCGCAAGAAAAAGGTTGATTTAAAAAAAAAAAAAAAAATTTCAGCCCAATTTTAGAATTTGAAGCATGCAAAGCTCCTTGTTTTTAATGCAACACCTCTGGGTCAGTCCAGCCACCATAACGTCTACGTCTCTGGCTGCCATATAGGCCAGGAATGCTTTCCTTGGTAGCCGGTGACTGGCTGAATCCATCAGCTGGCTCTCCTCCCAGCAAAAGCTTCCTCAAACTGCGGTAAAAGTTGGGGGCAGCAATGTCGGGTGCTGGAGGGCCAACTCCTGCCATGAGCTGAATTTTGTATGGGGTGAGCGCTTTTCTTAAGGAGGGACTTGACCGTAAAGGCAGCATTGAGACTTGCAAGTGCCAGTGCTGCCTTAGATTAGTTGGCGTTACAGTCCCGGGTGGCAGCTATTTCAGCTGCTATCGTTAAAATGGTGGCAGATGCCATTCATGAAGAGTATATATAACTTGATTTACATTTATTTTATAATTAAGATCTGATCTGATCTAGATCTGAATAAAACTGCAGAAATAGAAGGAATGCATGTTTGGCCTTGTTTAAATCCTCTTAATCTAACCATATGAACATCTTTATCTATAAGCTAAATCTTAGAGTCACTATAGTCACCGAAACCATGTTGCCTTAAAGGGACACTATAGGCACCCAGACCAATTCAGCTAATTGAAGTGGTCTGGGTACAGTGTCTCTATTGCACATAGACTGCAATGGTAAACATTGCCGTTCTAGAGAAACAACACCAAGTCTGCCTCCAGTGGCTGTCTACTAGAGGTTGCTGCGCATTAGCGCCTGCTTGTTGTGGGATGTCAGAAGAGGCGGAGCAGCGTTAGTCACACCTCCCTACAAGTAACGTGCACAGCTTTTGTAAACCCTTCCTGTAAAATGTTTTACACTTCCTTTATTGCAAATTTTGTTTAATTTAGATTTGCGTATCTCCTGTAGTGTTAATGGCTTGCTAGACCTTGCAGGAGCCTCCTGTGTGTGATTGAAATTAAATTTACAGAGCAGGAGATTAAAATGTCTATAGCAAATTAACATGTGATAGAAAATAAAACCATTTTTGCATGCAGGCTGCGTCAGTCACAGCCAAGGGAAGTATGGCTAGGGTTGCACAAACAAAAACAAAATTGATTTAACTCCTAAATAGCAAATAACTGAGCAGTTCAGAGGGTTGTTTTATACACTAAAACTTCTTCATTAAGCTAAAGTTGTTTTGGTTACTATAGTACCCATTTAAGTAAAGTTTACATGGCAATTTTCTCTGGGTGAACACCCCAATGAAATGTGCAGAATACACCTTTGATGCACAATAAATTAATTCGAATCAGATGGGAGGGAAGCTAGACCTTTATTATATTTATCTGGTTAGATCTGCACATCTACCACGTTAATTTATGATCGCTTTGCACATTTTTTCTCTATACTAATGTGTCACCGTTTTAGTATACCTACGTGGCAGGCTGTAAACACAGTCACGCCGATGGAATAACATATCTGTAAATTAAAATATTCTGTAAGCTATTACTTGATGGGAACGATACTTCTTTTCAAGGTGATTGCCTTGATAATACGGTAATAGCATTCATTTGATAATCTTAGACAACAGAACATTCCAACAATTTGAACTTCAGTACCGCCCATGGACAGAAGATCCTTTCCAAGGCTCTCCATGGTGGTACTTTGAAAATAATTTTTCTTTTATTTATTTATTTATTTATTTTTTGTAGGTTTAGAAAAAATAAAATAAATTAACAACATAACACATAATCCTATTTTGCAGACATCAAAGACCGATTTATATGGGTAAACATTTGTGTTCGTATTTTGTGTGCATTTCCAGAGATTTATAAATAAAAAGTTAAAATATAATGCACTTTGCAAATAGCAATGTGAAATTAACCCACGGTGCTATGGATAATTTGCTTCCTTCATTTTTATTTTTATAAGGTTTAATTTATGATTTCATCCACCTGCCCAAGGGGGCAGTACTAACCAGGAAGTGGAAAAAAAAGTGGCAAAAGTGGGTGACTCGAAGTAGAAAAGTGTGGCATAAGACAATACCTATATGCCAGATTTTCCCTGGAGATCTGGTTTGCAGAACGTGAGCTTCTGGGCGCCTATAAATATTTCCACAACTATCCTAGAGTTCCCAGCTTGACATAAAAATTAACACTGATATATAGACCCAGTTTTCTGAAGTCCAACTTGCGATATGCTGGTGGAGCACAACATTTTAAAATGTGTGTGTGTGTGTATAGATGCTCAAAAGGCATAGAATTTGCAACACTGCGAGATTAACCACAATGTAACGGTGAATGTATATTTTTGTGTATTGCACAGAGGTCGGGATGGACACAGATTGTGACACCACATTTGACGATGACTCTCAAATGCCAAATGATGAGGTTATGCCCTACAGTGACGATGAAACTGATGATGACTTGGACAGTCCGGATTCCCTCGAACCACAGCAAAACCAGATCAATAAACAAGCAGAACAAACTCATGCGCAAACAAGCAAAGGTAAATACCTTCTTTATTGTTATACGTATGTAAACGTGAGAAACTTTGTATTTTCCACTTGGATACTATGAACTTGTGACTTCAATGAATCTGCATTATAAAGCTGGAAGAGGACACAAGGTATAAAGAAATTCTTCATTTTTAAGATTTGCTTTCTTTTATTTATTACTAATGCCATAATCTTGCAAAGTATTCTAGAAAATGTTTTCTAGGAACATTTATAAGCAGGATTGAAGCTTGCATCCAAAATTATGAAAAAAATGTAACTTATCCAAAAAGAATCAAAGATTGTTTGAGTGCTATCTCAAGCTTACAAAATCATGGGTTTATTTAGGACAAAATTTGTGAGGATGTTTTATTAAATGATTACATACATTATCATTAGTCAAGGAGCACTGGCCTTTTTGCCCAATTAAGAATGGAGTAAGTTAAGGGTTTATTAGGTTTATCTAGCAAAGTATGGAATATGTAACCATGTCTATATTTTATGTAGACATCAGTCAAAAATGACAAAATTCAAGTTTTATGTCCAAAGTAGCTCAATAACGTGTTGCAACCATCTGGCTTCTGGACACTTGGCTTCATTAGAATAGGGACTGCCATTTCAACTCTAAACCTATAATTGTTCACACATAAATTTTTGTTTTGGTTGTTCAACTTCATATCCACCTGGTCCGGCTTGTGACACCTACTTTCAAGTCTTAATGAAGCGTTATGTGTTCTATTTGTATTTATCATAGCCAGCATTTGTTGTGATTCTTGTCCTATGTTTAAACAGTTATTTTGAATTTAAAATTTTATTACTTAAATATAGATATAATTTTTGCGTAATTGTTTATTTATAATGTAATGTTCTGTAGTGTAGCATTATAGTGTTGTTTCCTTATTTTGTGTGCATAAGAGAAGATTAACAGACATTTTTACAATGCCACAACAGCGTTAGCAAGAACAATTAATTCGACAAGGAATATTATTTACATGGCATTTGAGTATACTGCACAATTTTTCAATGTAGTGTAGAGTGCAGGCTAAGCATAACATGTCTAGCTTAACTATTGAGAGAGAAATGCTATGCTATGCCAGGTCATAGACATGGTGAGAAATGAGTTAAAGAAGGATGTAAAACATGCAACATGTAGTGTTCGTGTGCAACATGTATCCATGCATGCAGTGTTAGAGTATGGCATCAATCTGCTGCATTTGAGAGAAGGTATACATAAAACAAATTAATTTGAATGCAGCTAGGAACCAACAACTAAACAGTGGTAATGGAGATCAGCCATTAATTGTGAGCATAGCACATCACTTGGGTAAAACTGGAATAGCTATGGGGAATTTGCTGATCCATCACAGATTTGTTCAGCCGATGCCCCGGGGTGGCAGGCAGGTGTCCATACATGTTGCATGAGTTGGCTTAGGAGCCCGAGGTTTGTTGTAATCTTTTTAAAGTGTTAGGTGTAAAATATAAGCTCCAATCAGAGTTCCGCAACACAAATGCCCTTATCTGTATAATGCAAGTCAGCAATGTAAATCTTATACTGTAATCCTAGTGCAATTTCCATTGAGAATGCTTTGTTTTAGCGATTGCACATGGAATGATATATTGATACGTCTCATGGGAAATCAAACGACATGTACAACGTAAATGCCTTTATAGCAAGTTGAGTCAGCAGCAATTTTGCATACGTCCCTGCTTTCTACACTGATGCAGAGGAAGAACTTACTCCACAAATAGTGCAACCTAATTTAAGAAACCTCAATTAAACCGTGAATTAAGTCTGAAATTTTGATGTGGGTTTTTCCTATGAAATTTGTGAAAAATAAAAGAACATTCAGTGGTGGTATGTGTTTGTTTTAATTTCTTGGATGTAAAGCAAATAAATGACTGAGAAATATGTTACTTGGTTAACACTAGCCCCAAATTCTTCCAAAAATAATGGCGACATTTAAAATCTGTCTGTTTCCTAATTTGAGCCAGCACTGCATCTATGCCCTTGGATGTCTATACACGGCTTTCATATGATTACCATTTTACAGATATTGCTTTGATCATGTAATGTAACTGTCAAAATCCAAAGACCCCAACTGGGCGCTGGAGCTCATTTTATTGTAAAATCTAGCATGTGACTGGCGAAGACTTGTGGGAATTGTATTTGGTTATCCTGACCCATACTCTATAGGGTACACTGGAAATGTGATAATTATATCAATGATTCCATTTTATATGAAATCATATTGTGTATATATAATTATTATTATTTCTATTTATTTTTTATTTTCAGAATGTAGCTGGCAAGTGAAGGCAAATGATCCGAATTTCTGTGATCAACCAGAATTTAAGAAGAAATCATTTTTGTGCCTTAAGAAAAGCAAATATGCAGTATGTATTTTTCATTCTGGGTCTTTATATAATATAATATAATAAAGCTATGTGAACATTGTTTAACCTTGCTTGCTTGTCAGAAATATGACTTTATGGTTGGAGCTTGAAGCAAGTTGAATCTAGTCAAAACCTTATGTGACTTACTGATATTCCAATTCTCTTCCCATGTAATATTACTAAAGCCTGGATCATGTAGAAAATGAGTTTGTGGCTGCTTTATATTAATCTGTGCAACAACAGGGCTAAAGATATTGATATCAACACGTCTGTTTAGTGTGTTTTTTACAATTCCCCCTACCCCTTTTTTATTTTTAAAGTGAAGTCGACAACCACTAAGGCACCAAAACCGCTTTAGTTTTACGAAGTGATTTTGGTGTATAGATCATGCCCCTGCAGTGTCATTGATAAATACTCTGCCACTTAGGTGTTATATCAACTTTGTTAATGCAACCCGAGCTACATCCCAATAAATAGTTTACTGTAACAGGAGTGTATTTTCTGAGCACCGGAGACACACTTTTGTTTTATCAAATATTTATATTGAAAATTAGGGTAGCCACTGGGTTAATTTTAGAACTGTTGGCAAAATATGACATGCACATCATTTTGGGTCTCTATTGGAATAGAATAACAAGTGCTGTTCTAAATAATCTATTGAAAGCTACAAACATACTTGCCTCTGAATATCTATTTGTAAAACAGGCTTGTGTTTTAACAACTATTAAAATTGATGTAACTTTTTTTTTTTTTTTATATATATTTGGTTTTGCATGATGCGCTGTTTGATTTCTACTTTAACCATGGGTACATCAAACAGATGTCATGCAGGCCAATAAAAACGTAGCATGTTTGGCTAAATAGAAATTCAGCAATGGATGATGTCTTTGCAACTGGCCAAGCCATATGTCAAAAAAGCTTTTATTTTATTTCATTTTTTTTTCTTGTTATAAATTGCTTCTATTTTATTGTATTAATCCGTTTTCACTGATCTCTAAATATTTCTGTTTACAGGGGAATGAAATCAAAACCTACAAATATAACCCCATCACGTTCTTACCTCTTAATTTGTTTGAACAATTCAAGAGAGCTGCCAATGCATATTTCTTGACCTTACTCATACTTCAGGTAATATACCAAATGTAAATTATTTGGCAAGTAAGTTTTTAGTGATTTTTGTTCCCCCTGCCCCCCCCCCCCTTAATTCTGATAGGCAAGATAGGATATTCTCTGGGGTTGAGGTGCCTATAAAGCAGTTTTACATCTGAATATCAGAGATAAGAGCATTTTAAAGGAGTCAATCTACTATCGTCATCTACTACTTGGAGAGATGCAGTTTGGACCACATTTGATATAGCTTTGTAGGATACAATTTGATTTTGGCATTTTGCCATGGTGTTAATTAGGAAGAAAAGTGTGGTAGCTTGATTTTTTTTTTTTTTTTCCTATCTATTCTAATCTACATAGAACAGAGCGATCAGCATCCAGGATTACTTTTAATAAAATAAGCTTAAAAATATAGGAACTACAAAACTGCTTTATTTTTTTGAAGTTTAACGTAATTAAACTAGAAATAGAATAAAAGCACAAAAAAAACCCAAACAACCAAAATGATTCCAGAAACTTATTTTTTATTTTAAAATTATAATTTTACAAACAATTGAATGGCTTTTGATTGCAGCCATATATGTTGCAGCAGGAATAAATCCCAATACAAATAGTCTAACAAGAGACAAAATAATCCAGGGCACTGACACAGTCCGTGATTACACCTTTGCTTTCATTAACAGGCAAAACGGCAAACAACTTAAAAATGGCAAAATGTAATGTGTTATATATATATATATATATATATATATATTTTTATTTTTTTTTTGCTGCATAGTGAATGTAAAAAGAATATATTTACAAACACGAGAACGCATTGTAAAATAAAATTAAAAGTACAACTTGGTGTAATAGTAAAGTGAAGAACAGTTTTCCTATTAAAGTATTTCTGTCTGAAGAGTTTGGCAAAAAAAAACATTGGTGATTTCATACAAACCAGATCTGTCTCTCTCTCTTCAAGGGCAACATTTCCAAGTCCATTTATTTGTAAAATATATTGTGTTTTAACGCACATAGTGTAATAGTTTGCTTTTAAAAGTAGATATAAAGATGCAAAAATCTTATAAAATGAAAAATAAGAAAGAAAACAAAAGATGAGTGGTTCAACCTTCCAATTTGTGGAATGGTTTTGTGTGGGGTACCCAATAATTTTTATACAGAAGTGCATATAGTGTGGTAGTTTGCATATAAATAAATAAATAAAATGCCAGAATAATTAAGGTGTATACAATTACTGTATCACATGTCCAGCCATACACATAGTAAAACATTAATACTTGGGGGTATATAAATTACTGGGAGTCATTATAAACAAAACTTTATCTGATGGGCAACACTCAAAAATAAAAGGTTTTGTCTTTGTGTAATTTTTTTTTTTTTTAAATACTTGTGAAATTATGCACATTTGGACACTACTGTCCCAAAAACTATTTTCGCTTAATCAGCTGTTTTTGTTTATATTTCATGCATCTGAACTCACTGCTCAATTCTCTGTTATTTAGGAGTTAACTCACTAAGTTTCTTTGTGCAGCTCTAGTCACACCTCCCCTAGCTGGGACTCGCACAGCCTATATGAAAGAAAAATTGTATAATTTTCAGTCAGCTGTTTACTTGCTTTAGATGTTTTTATCTCATCTCTGTAAATTGAACTTTAATCACACACAGGTGGATCGTGCAAAGTCTAGGAAGCTATTAACAGTGCAGGAGATAAAAGAAAAATCTAAATTAAACACACTGTGCAGTAAAGAAAGTGTAATTATTAGATCTCACTTTACAGGAAGTGTTTAGGAAGGCTTTGTAAGTCACATGCATGGAGGTGTGAGTTGGATTGCATAAACAAAATGATTTAATTCCTAACTGGCAGGGAATTGAGAAGTGAGGCTGCAGTGGCATGATCCAAACACAAAAAATGCTTAATTACGCTAAAGTTGTTTTGGGGACTATAGAGTCCCTTTTATGAAAGGAGTTGATTGATGATTGTCTTGCTGCAAACTCCTGGCTGTGTGATATGTTTCTTTATGACTGACATTTAGCGAATGTAGAGTTAAAATTTTCTCTACACCTCAGTTACCTAAAGGGTAACAGGACAAGACATTCATGGCCTAGTAGTTCAAAACAAATACATTTTATTGGGTTATATGTACTGCGTAAATTTGAAACCATCTTCTTATTTCAGCAAGCATAAGTTACATTAGCTATACAGTTTAAAACGTATTATTATTTTCACTTTCCAGGCATTTTCAGACCGCATACAGAGCTTGTATTTAGAGGACAAGTTCATAAACGAAAGTCCATATACCATAGAAATTCCTTAAAAACATTAAGTTTCCTTAACTAATCTAAAGTTGCATGATTTGTGGATTTAAAATTTTTATCTTTATCTTACAAACGTAACTTCTATTTCAGACAATCCCTGCTATTTCAACAGTCTCTTGGTCGACAACTTTGATACCACTTCTGCTTGTGTTGGGCATCACGGCAATCAAAGATCTTGTGGATGACATTGTAAGAAAACTATTGCTCTCATATGGAATATGTGTTGTGACCTTGGTTTGGATGGACAGTCCATCCAGTTACTGTGCACAAGGAGGGATTCTGAATAAAAGTGTGGGAAAAGCAGAATATTGGAATTACATGCATAGCTGCATATTTTGCGTATAGTAATCTGTTGATTATAAGATCTGTTATTTTGGTATAATCAATAGAATGCATATTGTTCTCAGAGATGCTTAATAAGGCTATACCAGTACCATATATGAAAACTGGCAATCTCAAAAGAAGAAGAAACTGTGTAATTAGGCTCATATATGGCAGTGATATATATGATCGTCCTAACCTCAACATCTGAGGAAAGGGATTTAGGGGTAATTATTTCAGATGACTTATAGGTAGGCAGACAATGTAATAGCAAATACATAAAGATAAGTCCTGCGCTCACTCCCATCACTACTGGGCCGGCAGCAATGACTACAGTACACGTCAGCCCCAATATATAGTAAAAAACAAAGAAAAGAAAGAGTTACCTGCGCTCTCTCCTTAATCCCTATGTATATTTAGACAAATGGAGGTCATTTAGTTGTTCCAATGGCCATTGGAGGGAATGCCCGCCTGCCAACGTCAAGGCAGACCCCCCCTAAAGCGGGTCCTACACTGACCCTTCAGCCTACTTCCTTGAGCTTCTGGCAAAGATATCTGTAATGAGACAGAGAGGGGTATTTTTTTATACTTCTCTTTTTGTATTTGTATTTACTTTGTATCACACAGTCTTGTTACAATGCTGCCGCCCATCCCATGTGTTCCCTATTAAGGATTAATAAGTATATAGGGGTTTATATAAAAAATACCCCTTTCTGTCTCATTGGAGATATCTTTGACAGAAGCTCAAGGAAGCAGGCTGAAGGGTCAGTGTAGGACCCGCTTAGGGGGGGTCTGCCTTGACGTTGGCAGGCGGGCATTCCCTCCAATGGCCATTGGAGCAACTAAATGACCTCCATTTGTCTAAATATACATAGGGATTAAGGAGAGAGCACAGGTAACATTTTTTTTTCTTTTCTTTGGTTTTTAGGCAATGTAATAGAGCAGCAGGAAATGCTAGCAGAATGCTTGGTTGTATAGGGAGAGATATTAGCAGTAGAAAGAGGGAAGTGCTCATGCCATTGTACAGAACACTGGTGAGACCTCACTTGGAGTATTGTACACAGTACTGGAAACCGTATCTCCAGAAGGATATTGATACTTGAGAGAGAGTTCAGAGAAGGGCTACTAAACTGGTTCATGGATTGCAGGATAAAACTTCCCAGGAAAGGTGAGACAGGGGGATATGATAGAAACATTTAAATACATAAAGGGAATCAGCACAGTAAAGGAGGAGACTATATTTAAAAGAAGAAAAACTACCACATTCTAAGTTTCTATGATCGCTGACCAGCACCAGAATGTGTTGGATGCACGCAATGACAGACTCCATTGGCCTGAAATACTTGACTGGTGGGTGACTTGACCTACACAACATGGGGCTCATGGACAATTGGGGGATTAAATATGTGTAAAGGGAATTGGCAGGATGTTGGCTCTAACATTTCTTGAGGTAGAGAGCCTTGTTCAACAATATCATAATTTTTATATTCAGATTTTGAAATAATGTCTACTTCTTGGGTGATATAGGGCAATTGAAAGTGTGTCTGTGAATTTCCGATATTATTGGAGTTGGGGTTTTAGCCAGTTATGTGTCCATAATTCTGTATTGTAAAACTGCCTATTTATATATTCATTTTTATTTATTTTTTTGCTTCTTTTTATAGGCTCGACATAGATCTGATAATGAGATAAACAATCGACCTTCTGAAGTTATGAAAGATGGAAGGTAGATTAATCTTGTATTTAATAATTAAAAAAAAAAAATCTATCTGTATAGAAAAATTGCTTTTTGGTTAACTTCTTTATTGACAAAATTTTAGATTAATGTTATATCTGCCATGAAAGTGGTACTGTGCTAAACACAATATATGCGCTATTTTTAGGTTTAAGAAAACAAAGTGGAAGAATATTCGTGTGGGCAACATCATCCGAATTAATAAAAATGAGTTTATTCCTGTAAGTACTGTTTCCATTCTGTAATATGTATATTTGAAATGACTGCAAAGCACCACTAAAATGATCTGCAGACCAGTTTGTTTCCATAAATGCGTAGCTTTGGAATGCATAGAATTATTCTCATTATCTTTTAATTTTTTTAATTTACATTGAATATAAAATAATTCTATTGATTTACAATAAAACCGAAGCCGCGCAAACTGACCATTCTATTCACAAGGTATTACCATCTAATAAAATATTGGGATTTTATTGTTTGGAGATATGCAGTTGTTATTGATAGGCTATTGGTCAGCCTTTCGTGGTGTGCTGGCTCCACCAGTTCTCCTATTTGACTTTAAATCTGAAATTCACTTTGAATTCTCACTTTAGTGTAGAACGGACTTATTAAAGGTGGTAGAAACAGATGGTAAGTGTATGAAGATATTGTGCCGAGAATTCTGATTATGGAGTCATTCAATCAAGATATGCTTGGGGTTTTTACTATTGATTTAGTAACTAAGATTTTTATGGGTCCAATTAAATACCACAGCCATTTTTGGAGAGTTCTAAAAAGGTACACTAATTGCAAATTACTACGTTTTACATTAAATGTCCTAAATTAGATCCTCCCTATGGGATGTGGGCTGTATTTATTTATAAAGGTAATGATATTTTATAAAAAAAAATGCATAATGAATGACACTGGTGGCTTGTTCACTTGTTTTTCTATTGCAAGTATTCCTGCTCAGAGTTACAAGAAATCATACTTCCATTAAAACCGCTGTATGGCCCTGATCATAAAGGGGGACTTTGCATAAAATGATTATACAACTATACTTTGGTTTTCCTATTTTAAGCTGGAAGAATGCTGCATGAATCTCTGGGAGATTTTATTGATACGCAAATATTAGACCTATTAAAAATAATTGGAACAAAGTATCAGTCAATTAGACTCTCTGGAATAAAATCCTCAAGAAGGATCGTGTTTCATTTTACATACCTACACATAGATTGAACTCCATAGTGAATAGTTAATGTGCTAAATCGTTGGAGATAATGTTAGAGTACAATGGTAACTGTCTACATCAAAATGGGAAAATGTTACAAAGGGAGATGGCACAGAAAGGCATAATACCAGCTGGTGACAATCTAGCTCAGTTCCTGGCATATGCTTAGCGATAAGGTGGAATTCTTTGTTTCTGTAATATTTATATTGTTTTGATTCCAGAAAAGATTTACATAGTAAAGATATACTTAATAGTGTATCAGTGGTCCGGTCTGAGACACAAGAAGCTGTTCTTTACGCTGGTACACATTTAGGTTAATGGAAAACTGTATATGGATTATTTTTGTAGAAACATAGAATGTGACGGCAGATAAGAACCATTCGGCCCATCTAGTCTGACCAATTTTCTAAATACTTTCATTAGTCCCTGGCCTTATCTTATAGTTAGGATAGCCTTATGCCTATCCCACGCATGCTTAAACTCCTTTACTGTTCCCTCTACCACTTCAGCTGGAAGGCTATTCCGTGCATCCACTACCCTTTCAGTAAAGTAATACTTCTTGATGTTATTTTTAAACCTTTGCCCATCTAATTTAAGTCTATGTCCTCTTGTTGTGGTAGTTTTTCTTCTTTTAAATATAGTCTCCTCCTTTACTGTGTTGATTCCCTTTATGTATTTAAATGTTTCTATCATATCCCCCCTGTCTCGTCTTTCCTCCAAGCTATACATGTTAAGATCATTTAACCTTTCCTGGTAAGTTTTATCCTGCAATCCATGAACCAGTTTAGTAGACCTTCTCTGAACTCTCTCTAAAATATCAATATCCTTCTGAAGATACGGTCTCCAGTACTGTGTACAATACTCCAAGTGAGGTCTCACCAGTGTTCTGTACAATGGCATGAGCACTTCCCTCTTTCTACTGCTAATACCTCTCCCTATACAACCAAGCATTCTGCTAGCATTTCCTGCTGCTCTATTACATTGTCTGCCTACCTTTAAGTCATCAGAAATAATCACCCCTAAATCCCTTTCCTCATATGTTGAGGTTAGGACTCTATCAAATATTCTGTACTCTGCCCTTGGGTTTTTACGTCCAAGATGCATTATCTTGCACTTATCCACATTAAATGTCAGTTGCCACAATTCTGACCATTTTTCTAGTTTACCTAAATCATTTGCCATTTGGCTTATCCCTCCTGGAACATCAACCCTGTTACATATCTTAGTATCATCAGCAAAAAGACATACCTTACCATCAAGACCTCTGCAATATCACTAATAAAAATATTAAAGAGAATGGGTCCAAGTACAGATCCCTGAGGTACCCCACTGGTGACAGTACCAAGCTTCGAATATACTCCATTGACTACAACCTCTGTCTGTCACTTAGTCACTGCCTTACCCATGCAGTCTTTGAGTTTATTAATAAGCTTTCTATGTGCAACAGTGTCAAAAACACATGGAACCAACTTTAAAAAGCTCTAGCATATCTTCTGTGAGGTTTGATTTTTTTTTTTTGTTTTTGTTTTTTTGTGTTTTTATAGGCAGATGTTCTGTTGCTTTCCAGCTCTGACCCAAACAGTCTGTGCTATGTGGAAACGGCTGAACTGGATGGGTAAGTCTACTCTGTATCTCTACTCTGTATAATTAGTAACTGTTAAAATCTGAGATTTGTGAAAAGCAATTTGATTAAATCCCCCCTCGCGCCCCCCCCCACCCATACACACACACTGCTGGTCAAAACTTTAATCTCTCCCCTAACTTCTAAACATTCTTAATCAGGAGCAGACTGAAACAATATTGTCATGCGGAGATCCCTACACAATGTGTGTTCGCAGTTGGATCACCTGACTTATGGAAATCTATTTCCCCGTGGCAAACCTTTTTTACAGAATAGCGTGAGCTGCTCGAATATTACAAACCAGTACAAATATGATATTTATTTTTAGAGCATGCAAACCTTGTCAGCGCTAATGTCAACAGAGAAACGGAACAAGTTAAGTTACCATTTTTGCCAGCAATACATTCATTTTGTTACACTAGGACAACATAATTTCTTCACTTACGGCAATCTAAAATCCTTTATTGGAGCTGTAAATATTTCATCATAAAGACATTATCTTTTATCACTAAGATTAGATTATGGATAATTCTACCAAATTGCTTTGAATCCTGTTGCAAATATTATGGCCTGTTCAACCGTAATTATTATTATAATTTTTTAAATAATTCTTTATTTTTGTTGTGCAGGGTATTACAGGTAAGATTGCAATGCCACAATAGCTATTGCAAGGCAAAAACATATCATAGCAGAGAAGTTATCTGCCATAATGACAACCGTGCACAATTTGTATAGTAAGATGTAGTGAGGTTAAGGATTCATATCCAAATACTAAAATAGACGGTCACTTTTTGTCTATGGTTAGGCTTCTAGATAAGATGTGGGTAAGGCAGTGACTATAACCTAGGCAAGATAATTGTTGGGGGTATCTCTTTAAACAAAATGTATTTTGTGTATAATTAATGAGGAAAAGTGCATATGACGGGTCACATCCTTTAATTCCAAATTTCTAGTAAAGTCTGATGAGCGTAAAATACAATGAGTGTGCAAATAACGACATGGTTTTATTATTTTGATTGTGTGTCAGGGCCAGGACACAGTGCTGTCCCCCCAACAAACGACCAAAATTCCACCTGTTAAAGATTTCATATACCCTCCAAGTTTTTTTGGGGGGGGATTCCTCTAATTCACAAAAATCTTGAGTTAATAATTATGCTTGTGCGCAAAAAAAAAGCAAAACAAACCTCATTCATTCAGGACCAGTGTAGGCTTTATTTCCCCCAAACTCTTCCAACTCTAAGCCTCAAACTCTGTTCCCTTGAAGCAGAGCGGTCTCTTCCTTTTGTGTGCCTTCAGTCCAATAAACGCTATTTACGTTTACTGGGTTAGGTAATGCAGCGAAGGTACGCATAAAATGTAACTCTGCTGCATTTATACTTTGCTGGGATTTGCCATCCCATAATTTTATTGTGCAGTTGGAAAACTAAGAGACATGCCATATGTGTACATGCAGTCTCTGCATTTCTCCAGTGGTGCCACATGTTCATTACACGTGTAGCGCGTTGTGCATGCAGAAATGCAAGGGTTCTCCTTTACATAAATTAAAACCAAGACCACTATGAAGGATTTAGCACAAACTATAGCTAAGGTTCAGTTTAGCCAGATTGTGTTAAAAATGAGGACATGACCGTTCCTCTTTAGTGTTATTCCATCCCATTTCCTTCACCCTAAAGCCCCCCTGTACTAACTTTACTGTATAGATGTCAACATGTTGTTTTTATTTATTTTGCATTGGCTCGATTTCCCCCTAGAAATAAGAATCTTGCTTCATTAAAACAGAGCCATGTTTATCAAGGACATTTAAAAAGCTATCTGTGTTTAAATGTATATGTAATGTAACATTTTTCCTCTACAAATCTGTTTCAGAGAAACCAACTTAAAGTTTAAAATGTCGCTTGAAGTAACAGATGAGCTCCTTCAAGAGGAAAGTGCATTGGCAGAATTTGATGGTAATTATTATGGAAATTTTTTTAAAATTTTTTATTTTATTTATTTAAAGGAACACTCTGGTTTCCATAATAACTCCATCTAAATAAAGTTGTTATGGTGCCAAAAGGCCCAAGGGCCTTCTGGCACCATAACAACTTCATTTTGATGGAGTTGCCTTCAGGGGATAAAATGTTTGTTTGTGAAGACTGCCTCCAGCACCAAATCTCCGGACCCCCCAGCAGCATCTGGCTTCTGAAACTACGTTTTATGAAGTACAGAGTGCTGCCAGGCAGGGACATCACTGATTGGATACATCGGTCAGCTGACTCTTTAATCCAACTTAAAGGGACACTGAAAAAATACAGTGTTTACATTGAAAGCTAGGACCACCTCCAGTTGTACTCACTCAGAGTAAACCAGAGGGACTTTGGAGTTGATGGAGGCATAACATGCCTCCATTCACTCAGATCTGCTGTCAGCAGAGCACAGGGCAGCACTGTGCACAGCATCCTGTGATTCAGTATCTCCTCCCTCTGCATGCAGACACTGAACTTTCCTCATAGAGATTCATTGATTCAATTCATCTCTATGAGATGCTGATTGGCCAGGGCTGTGTTTTAATCATGCTGGCTCTGCCCCTGATCTGCCTCTTTGTCAGTCTCAGCCAATCCTATGGGGAAGCACTGTGATTGGATCAGGCTACCACATGTCAGCAGACTGCTTGTTTTTCTGAGTCGAACAGCATGCAGATTTACAGCTTCTGGCTTGAATACAGTAAGATTTGAACTATATTTATGGAGGCATGATGTGCCCAGGGGGGCTAGATGGTGGTGTTAACACTATAGGGTCAGGAATACATGTTTGTGTTCCTGACCCTATAGTGATCCTTTAACTTTGGTAAACTCTCATTTCAGATTTCAACAAATGTACCGGAGAATAATCTGTTTGCAATTGCATTTCTTCTAAAAGATAAAAAAATAAAAATTAAAATTATAAGAATAATTCTCACCATGAGCAGGTTACGGAGAAATTCTGGAGGGAAAAAAAAGATGCTTTATGCGTTTTGGGCACTTAACCATAAGCCTGTGTGACTGTGAAAAGGAAAATTTACTAATAAATGAAATATACTTGTGAAATTCGTCACAAAAAATGTGTATTGTTCAAGATGGTTATTACATGTCTCTTTGTCACTTGGCAATGCCTCTGGATGCAGGATTCATTTAATTTTACAAGGGGCTACAGTCCATGTGTACATTTGATGGCCCTACAATAATTAAAGTCCATCCTAAAACCTGCCTTATACAATATCACAAGTCCAAACTGAAACCCTAATATGTTCTAAATAACTCTACTTCTTTTGTCTTAACCCCAAGCCGCACTAACCCTTCAACTCTCTGCAAGAAAACCCTGTGCTCTACAGTTAAATTGCAATATGGTATTATGGTAGGCTAGTAGTTGCTTTTTTCATATGTAAACTGATTGAAACCATAATATTTACTGTAGTATTTTTTGGTTTTGTATTTATTTGCAGTTGTCTGTCTCTCGTGCCTGTACATTTAATCAGACATTGTAATGGTGGAGTAATTAACATGTAAATATTTTTTCCTCTCAGGCTTAGTTGTGTGTGAAGAACCAAATAATCGTTTGGATAAGTTTCTTGGGACGTTATACTGGAGAGGAATGAGTTATGGCCTGGATGCTGATAAGATCTTGCTGCGTGGTTGTACAATCAGAAACACACATTATTGCCACGGACTTGTCATTTTTGCAGGTAAAAAAAAATGAAAAGGGTTGACTAAAGTGAGAAATCTTTCAAATATGTATTTGAAATGTATATATAAAATCTACTGGTGTGGTCTCTTTGTTGGTTTTAACAAATGAAGAGGTTTTTTTGATGGTCATTGTGTATCACAATTTCTTTATAGACCACATCATTATTTATTCTAAATTTGAATATCTTGCTCTTTTCGCCCAGTAATCTTTTGCATTGTTTTCTTGTGGAGTGAGAATTTGACACTGGTAACTGTATAAGAATTGGACACTCTGGTATAGGAAGAAATGAGGATAAAGAGTGTCAGCATTACTTACTAAAGTGAGATATTTAAAATTAATTTTGAATTCACTTTGAATTCCTGAGTAGCTGAAATGAAAGCATAGCTGACGTAGATAGTTTTTCCAATTTGGGTATTTTGACGTTAAATTTGAAATTCACTTTGAATTCTCACTGTATTGAATAACTGTGTGTGTGTGTGTGTGTGTGTGCACTCTTGAGTGAAATAACAGTCTGTTTGATTGGAAATATAAAATCCACAGCCACGTTTCGAACAAATGAAATTATTATTTATTTATTTTTAAATCCCTGATGCTTCCAGAAAACGAACGAGATATCCTGCCAAGGGGCCATAAATAATGTAATAATATGACCCTAATCTTCAAATGAAACATTATTTTATGGAAATGGTGCTTAAATTTAATTCATATATTTTGGGTGCTTTTGCTATGTTTTTCTGATTTATGCTATCCATGCCAAAGATGGGTTAACTAGTGTATGGGAAATTATCCAAGGTGAGAATGGTTTGTGATATAAGTGGATGCTTTAAACTCTGCAGGCAAGAGTGAGAAGTCCACAGTCCGAATATACCCTGACTGGTTACATAGAATACTGTTCCAAAAATTAGCAAATGTCTTTAGTGGCTCACAAATATCTACAGTAATTACAAAGTATGAAAAAGTGTTGCATATACAAAAATAAATGTCATGAATAGAGGAAAATATTACTTAACTATTTTATAAGTGTTATCATATTTTTATGAATTTTGTATAATGCCAGCATATTCCGCACTTAGGGGAATATAATAGCAAACTGACAAACAATGATAGATGTTAATGAGGGTTATGCTTAAAATGTAGATATTCACATTTATGTTTTAATATCTATCATTTTCACATAGCATATGTTTTTTTCCTTTTTTAATTAATTATTTATTTTGTATGGTTTAGGTGCTGACACTAAAATTATGAGGAATAGTGGAAAAACCAGATTAAAGCGGACGAAAATTGACTATCTGATGAACTACATGGTGTATACGGTAAATACAAAACTCTAGAATGGGGTGAAATAAACTGTCTAGCTGTAATATTCATTGGTTAGACATATGCACGGGTGAAAAATATATTTTTTACATTCATTTCCCCCCCCATTTCAGTTCATTTTATTTATTTATAAAATATTTTACCAGGAAAGATACATTGAGATTTCACTCGTTTTCAAGTATGTCCTGGGTCCACAAATCATTGCATTGTTACATTAGGGTACAACAAAATACAAAAACAATATTAATACACAATATATACAACATTTAACATAGAACAGGTGAGAAATATATAATCAACCATAACACATGCATTCTGTTTTGAGGTATGTAGAGATGGATCTCTTAAAGGACTTTATGCTTAGGGAAGATTTTAAATTTTGCGGGAGGTCGTTCCACTGTTGCAGTGCTCTGTAATGTATTCAAGTAACAATTTACTTATCCAAATTTCATTAAAGAAAATTTGCTTTGTGTATTGGCTTTGTGCTCTGCTTGTAATTTGCAACTTTTAGGTAATTTTTTTTTTTTATTTTTTTTTTTTACTTTATCCATTTGTTCATTACTTATGTCAATATATGATTTTGTAGCCTTCAAGAATAACGGTATCTATTCTTAGGGAAACCCAGTATGAAATTGTAAATTAGTCGGTATAATTGTCCTATAATGTTCTAAAAGATTTTCAGCTCCCTTCAAAACATGTTTTTTTGTTGGTTTTTTTTACCTCCAGATATTTGTACTTCTGATCCTTGCTGCAGCTGGTCTTGCCATAGGACAGACATTTTGGGAAGCACAGTATGGTGCAACAAATGTGTCTTGGTACCTCGATGATGGTAACAGTTATTCACCCAGCTATCGAGGCTTTTTAGGATTTTGGGGATATATCATTGTTCTCAACACTATGGTACCAATTTCCCTTTATGTGAGGTATGATTCATTGAAAACATTTCAAGCCAACGTATGCTCTTTAACAAAAAATATATCTGAATATTGTACTGGCAAACTTATAACATAACATTCCAGCAGTGATGGTGGGATGGGAGGGTTTGAGATACAGCACTAGAGGGTGCTTCATGTTCAATGTCCTCAAGCATTGCATGAGGTCATCAAAAGTTAAATTAATGTTTTCTATGAGAAGCATTTGATTGGAGGCGTGTGGTGCTTGTGCACAGGTGTTTCACCTCCACAATAATTGTCTATAAGAAGCATTTTATAGAAGTCGAAGAGATGTTAATGGGCATGAAGACAAAACAGGAGGTGGATTGTGTGGCTGCAAAATACTACTGTGTCTCATTGATCGTATACCATTTATGTAATGCTGTTGGGACATTAAACTGAAGCACCTATTTTACTACTAAAAAGTCCTGTGAGTGCATCCTTTATTTTTATTTTTTATATATTCGGATATTTGGGCATGCCGGCTACACCAAAGTTGGGTTGAGTGCCAAAATGTATGTGTGTGTGTTTGTTTTTCTTTCATGGGAAAATGAAAGTACTCTTTGAATTATATGGTTTTCCATATTAGGTCATAACAAATATCTGTTCCAAAGCAGGTGTTAAAATTCGTTAAATACAACATTACCCCATGTCATGATCTAAGATTTTTCGTTAAACTACAGGTTTACGGCAATGTGCATTATAGTAGCCAGGAGCCATTTGTGTAATTTTGAGTTATGTGGCAATCTAGAAGAGGATCATTTCATGTGAGAGAAAAACTGGTTCCCATGACTTGCAAAACAATTCTTCGAATAATTGTGGGTGTGCCTCCGAGTTTCCTGAAATGTTGTCCAACAATGTATGATTATATAAATACTGGTGCTGCCCAAACATGAATGTGGATATTCATACAACCACAATTTGACGTAACCATTTTTTGTCATTATATTAAGTCCATCAGCTTTCCTATCATCTTGATTATGTTGTTAATAGAAGTAAAAGCTTAGTCATTTATGTGACTGATGGTAGACCATCAAACATAGGTGAGATGCCACTATAGCACTAGGGCACCTCCTGTACCTCCTTTTTTTATTTTATTTTTAACATTTTAAAATAACTTTTACATTGAATCTTGAGAATTAACATTATTTGGTTTATTGTTTTATAGTGTGGAAATTATCAGATTGGGACAGAGCTACTTTATAAATTGGGATCTGCAGATGTACTACCAGGTGAAGGATACACCCGCCAAAGCCAGGACAACCACACTGAATGAACAACTTGGACAAATCCAGTATGTCTTCTCTGACAAGACTGGAACTCTGACACAAAATATAATGACCTTCAAGAAATGTACCATTAACCAGGAGACGTACGGTAATTCAATGCCAAAAACAGCAAAGTATAGGATTTTGCATTTATCCTGAATATAGTTCAGTGAAGATAAAGCCCTTTGGAACATTGACAAACTAAGTGGCCTATTCGGTCAGTTCTTGCCTACAAATTGGACATCACCAGCTTGAAAGTGGTCAGGATTCTCCAAACTGAGTAAAGATTCAGTTTGGGTTTAGAGTGGATGGAATTTCATGCATATTAATGAGATTCAATAGACATCCAGTCCACTTCATCTCAATAAAGTGATCTGGGTGCCATGCCCCCCTCATATTTTAACCCTGCTGCTGAAAACATGGCTGTTCTGCAGGAACAGAAATGTTTTCATTGCAGGATTAACCAGCCTCTAGTGGTTGTCCGTATCCCTGGACAGTCACTAGAGATGTCTCTGATAAATAGAGTAAAACATAACTGATTGATTTAATCAGATGGTCCAAAAAAGCCTGATTGACGCAGAGTGGCATTTTGCTGTGCATGCGTACTAGCCTCTAAATGATTTTCTGTGGGAAAGCATTGAATTGGCTGAGTTAATCCATCTTGATGTCTTCAGTCAAAGAGGTGGAACTTCCCCTAGGTGAGCGGGGCTGCGAGGGAGAAAGAGGTAGTTAATCGTGGCAGCGGGGCCTGGTCACTTAAACGGTAACTAGGGCATTGGAGCGTTAGGAATTCACATTTGTATTCCTAACCCTATAGTGTTCCATAAAGCCTCTGTCTGTCCCAAACTACTTTTGCATTATGAATATAGCAGGATTATTTGTAGTAATGTTAAATTGTATAACAATAAGTCTTTATGGAAAAATATAGAAATGTAAGCAAAGCCTACATGGCCACAAAAGCAATCTCAAAAGCATGCTCCTTGAGGATAAATACACGGATACTATACTCTGTTCTCTCTATCCACTGACATTTGTCATGTTAAAAGAGCTTTGTGTGTCTGAGGAAATAATTGGAATTCAAAGATGGAAAGTAGTGTGTGCGTTTATTAGAAACGTCTGGAATGTCATGTATTGTGCTCTACATCACTGAAATATGAAAGGCTGGATTTGACATTATTATGCATCTACAAATGTGTCCTCTCGTGGCATCCCATCTGCTTTTGTTATATTTTTGTGACAAATGGATTGGCAGACTTTGCATCTTTCTGTGTGTTCTTGATTGTATTGTAGCAATCAAAATGTGATGGAATGCAAGAACGAAACCCCTAAAATAGTTGTGTACCGGGAGGAAAACTCATCGTAATAATTATTTGAAATGCACAGGATTTAAAGTTGCTCAATAAAATGATTTTAGTAAATTGTGTAAGGTGCTCTCTGCTTCACTGCCCTTAGATGATGGTGGCTACATTGGCTGTAGTTGGCAAAACAGATCACTCTTACAATTAAAGGAAAATTTAGGGCCTGATTTTTATTTTATTTGGTGGGCATCTTTCAACAATTGGCAGTAATCTTGCATTTACCACATAAAAAAATTAAGTAAAGGTGAAGTAGAAAGTAACAAATTTGCAGCTAAAGACTGGAATGTTACATATAAACCAGTGTTCGACAGGAGTTTTATATAGTCCTTTTCTCACTACGAGGGCACAAGTCAGTCCGTATGGTAGTGAACTGAATTCCACTTTAAAGCAAATAAGTCTGATATGGAGAGATATAAACAGTCTATGAATACCAGTCAAAGGTTACCTCCTTTTACAGAGGAATGTGTACAACAGAGTGTTTTTAAACAGATACGGTGATTTACAAGCTGCTCGATACACTTATGTGGAAATATCCTCTATTCCACGAAACAAAATTAGAATTATTAGTGCGGTGTAAGTGACAAAAGACTTATACCAGTAAGTGGAGCGCTCTAACACATATAGCTTACCAAATGGTCTCTCATTCAATAATAGAGTATAAAGGTACATGTCGAGCAAAAAATACAAGAAATACAATATAGTGCAGACGGTTTTTAAAATAATAAAATTATAATAAAATTATGGTGGTGATGTCTTGATAAATGGAACACTCACATTTCAAGGAGCCTGTATGTAAGAACACTGGCTCCGTATTTTGGCTTGTGTGCTTTTTTAGGGTAGCACCGCCCGTCTGCTTCGGTATGGGGTATTCCTCAAAGACAAAAATAGGAGAAGCAGACCAATGTGTAGATAGTGTTTGTGGAAACACAATATTTTAGAAATAAGTGGTGTGCTCACCTGGTCCTGAGCCTGTGGGTCCCGGCTCTAGGTGTATAGGTAGTGCGCCAATTTGAATGGGGATGGCACTACCCCTGGGAAGATACTCTTGAGGTTTCCAAAAAAGGACTTTAGAGGATCTTAAATGAAAAGTAATGGATTTATTCAAATATAAAACAAATAAAAACAATAAGGGCAGAGAATGCCGGAGAGGATGTACACTGCTCCCTCCCCCCAACCTGCACGCAGGAATAGCGTGCGTCATGACGGAGGGGTTAGGGAACTTCCGGGTGGCAGCGGAATGGTGATCACGTGGGTCCGTGACGTCATTTCCGCCAACCGCCCGGATGCAAGCGGATAACTTCCGCCAACCACCACAGTCCACCAATGAAATTCGGAGATAAGAAAGGCGCCAGTTATTAGATCCAATTAAAGGGACACACATATAATATACCATATGAAGGACATGTAACCACCAACATGATTGGACAATATGGACTGCAGCCATTAAAGGGGAGGACCCCAAAAAACATTCAAAATGGAAGATCCAGAGGCCCAAACATCACAGCTGACTGAGGAAGCTCCACAACAAGGAGTGAAACGCGTATTGGCTATTTTAAAGGACTTTTTATTAAGGACTTTTTAGAATTATTGTTTTTATTTGTTTTATATTTGAATAAATCCATTACTTTTCATTTAAGATCCTTTTAAGTCCTTTTTTGGAAACCTCAAGAGTATCTTCCCAGGGGTAGTGCCATCCCCATTCAAATTGGCGCAATACCTATACACCTAGAGCCGGGACCCACAGGCTCAGGACCAGGTGAGCACACCACTTATTTCTAAAATATTGTGTTTCCACAAACACTATCTACACATTGGTCTGCTTCTCCTATTTTTGTCTTTGAGGAATACCCCATACCGAAGGAGATGGGCGGTGCTACCCTAAAAAAGCACACAAGCCAAAATACGGAGCCAGTGTTCTTACATACAGGCTCCTTGAAATGTGAGTGTTCCATTTATCAAGACATCATCACCATAATTTTATTATTATTTTAAAAACCGTCTGCACTATATTGTATTTCTTGTATTTTTTTCTCGACCTGTACCTTTATACTCTATTATTGAATGAGAGACCATTTGGTAAGCTATATGTGTTAGAGCGCTCCACTTACTGGTATAAGTCTTTTGTCACTTACACCTCACTAATAATTCTGATATGGAGAGAGTCTGAAACTTGGCTCTTACTAATGTTCTCACATTTAAATGGAATAAGTAGCTGAATAATGTATTATGCTTACCCATCTTTATGGTACTAAATTTAATGACATTGGAATATGTTACCTGTGTATTTTTTGATTACCGGTAGCTTGTCTAAGAAAGAAAGTGCACATTTAAAAGTTTAGAAAACTGTCCCTGATAATGTATTTTTTCTCTAGGTGAACAAAGGCATACTGATGGACATAAATCTGGCCACAGTGAGGTTTGTTTTAATATTTTATACTAAACTTCTAAAGACTTGGGTGTCATCGGTCTGATTGTCAGACTTTGTTTTGTTTCCCTGTGATCATCTGAAGTGTCCTATAAACGTGCTAGAGAACTCTTTACTCATGGTCTTTTTCCATTCTAATAAAATTACTTCTGATTTTCCTGAAATACGTAGGTTTGAAACTTAAGCATAATGTCTGTGGAATTCATTTTTCGTCCACTTTGTTTTCCCCAAATTGTAAACCTGGTTTTAATTTGGATTTTAGAGGAGAGAGCCTTTTGTATGACCCCTTGTCTTTGAAACATACAGTTTGTGTAACGTAATATCTTTTTATTTTTATTTTGTATTTATTTATTTTTGCTTTCTTTTTATTGTGGTTTCAGGATGTAGATTTTAGTTGGAATCCTTTAGCAGATGCAAAGTTTACATTTAACGATCACTACTTGGTTCAGCAAATACGTTCAGGGAAGGATGCCAGTGTCCATCTGTTCTTTAAATTGCTTGCTCTGTGCCATACTGTGATGGTTGAGAAAATAGATGGTAAGTTTACAAGTTCCACACATTCTTGATTGCTTTATTGTGTCTCTATTGGTTTTCTATATGGAATATATTAAAGTTCCATTTTATTTTTCCTCTTTTTTTTATTTTTTATTTTGCAACAGGTGAACTTGTTTATCAAGCAGCCTCCCCTGATGAAGGAGCATTGGTTACTGCAGCTCGAAACTTTGGTTTTGTGTTTTTGTCCAGAACTCAGAGCACCATCACGATTAGTGAATTGGGCAATGAGCAAACCTATGATGTTCTTGCCTTGCTCGACTTTAACAGTGATCGGAAAAGAATGTCTATAATAGGTAAGTGGGGTTGTTCATTGACCAAATAGAACTTCTCACGCATGCCTAACTAGCCATGTAATGAGACACAAACGCATAACTAGCTCCACACACATCTAATTAGCCCCCCTGTACACATCCAATTATCCACATCAACATAGGTCTAGATTTAATATTAAATAAGCTTTCCAAATTATTTAATATTTTTGGATAAACTTTCAAAATTATCTTTTAAATAATTTTGGAATATTAAAAAAAAATCCTATATAAAAAAATTTAATAAAAATAAAATCTAAATATTTCAAAAGTAAAATACTTTTCATAATATTAAATCTTATTAGAAGTTTATCCAAGAATATTAAATCAAGGCCATAGTTAAGGCATATAGTCTGGCAAAAATATAATTATTTTATATATAGACATAAATGTTTAGATAGATATGTATATGGATGGATATAGATAGTTAATTTTATTTTATTTTACAGTGCGAGAACCGAATGGTAAACTCAGACTTTACTGTAAGGGTGCTGACACTGTTGTATATGAACGTTTGCATTCAAACAACCCCATCAAAGAACAGACTCAGGAGGCTTTGGATGTAAGTTTGTACCTTGGTGATCTTTGACACATTTATGTAAGATACGTATATAAAGTCCTTTTGTTGGTGTCGGTACAAATACATTTTCCAAGTTCTATTCTAATGCAAGAACATCTCCAGAAATGTAAGTCTTCACTGTAGAGAGCGTTCCTTTTGGGATTTTGAGAGTGTCTCCATGCTCTCGATCACTCAATTCTCCATTGTGTTTGACAGAGTGCACAAGGATATGACATTCCATCCAGATGCACTGTCTCAGACTAAAACGTGAGAGCAGTGCCAGTTTCATATAGGGGCTATTGGAACTGAAGTTCCAGGCCCATGCATTGCTATAGGCCCAAGCTGCCTGATATATCTTCTTTCTTTTGATCTGTTGCTATATGGCATACTCGTAGCGTGTGGCCAGGGAGACACAAGTCTCTTCCATGGCCTGGATGAGAAACATAGAAAACACATCAATAAAAACTAAAGTGCTATAGAGAACATTGGCACAGTATGTACGAAAATCCATCTGATCTGTGACTTGCTTAAGAAATAGAATGGCCTTATTCTCTTGACCGACATTCGTAATCTACAACATCAGGACCTGTTAGGGGAGTGGCCATGCGTGGGTCTATTGCATGGGTCTACAGGCACTCCAGATGTTGGGGACTATGTTTCCCATGATGCTTTGCCAGCATTATGGGAGATGTAGTCCACAAGATCTGGAGTGTCTAAGGTTGCCTAACTCTGCTGTAGATCTATTGCACAAAGGCCTGACCTATATCTATATCTCAGCTGCACAAATACCTCCTGTTTCTAATCACATGTATGAAGGATCCCCTTAGTCCAATGACCCATTGGATAGACTGTGACTAATTGTACCTATTGCATTAACAGCAAATGTCTCTGTAACGCAGTAATTTTAATCATGTTCAATGTACCATACATCCTATAATTTTAGCTATGTGGTATGCATTTACCCTCCATAATATAGTAAGTGTACTCAACAACAGCCCTAGTATTTTGACACAGGGATCAGGTTATCTGTTCTAGAGTAAAACACATAGTCCATTTCAATTTCTTATTAATTCTTGTAAAATATTTCACTTTTTAAAAAAAAAAAAAATTAAAAATTTTTTGCAGACTTTTGCCAACGAAACTCTGAGGACCCTTTGTCTTTGCTACAAGGATATTGACGAGGTCGAATATGAGAAATGGAACAAGAAGTATATGGCAGCCAGTGTGGCTATGAGTGATCGGGATGAAGCTCTAGATAAAGTATATGAAGAAATTGAAACTGATTTATTGGTAGGTGAAACTAGCATATAACTAGAATGTGTTCACACAGGCACAAGTCAGGTTTTACGTTATTCTTTATATATTTGTATGATCTTTTTGGGTCATACTTCTACTGGTATATACAGTATCGAGCCTAAGTGGTGTATGCATAGTTTGGATGCCTGAGCAGCATTTGCCCATATTTGCCACAAGGGTTGCCATATACACAATGTTTCCCTGGGCACATCACTTGCACATATTAATGAGCAGTACTTGAAAATAACATAGAATGTATGTGTGTCCAGAAATACACGGTGAATATGGCAAAGCTACCATGGAAGAACGGCTATCACTCACTAAACATTCTATGAAGCTATTATTTGAATTCTTTGTACTTTCCCTTGATTGGTCCAAGGTCAGCTGATCTTTGCCAGTTTCCTTTAATTGTACTAGATCGTGATAAGTATAAAAAAAAATTTCTATGTTGAGTTAAGCATTTGTGAAAACTTCTCAATGTTTTATTTATTTATTTTTGGGGTGTGGGGATTTCTTTGTAACAGCTATTGGGAGCCACAGCTATTGAAGACAAGCTACAAGATGATGTTCCTTACACAATCTCCAAACTAGCTAAAGCAGACATAAAGATTTGGGTTCTTACTGGTGATAAAAAGGGTAAGTGCTTTAACAGGAGCTGCATACATCCCTGCTGTTTGTGCTTTTTTTGGAGAAATAGTCTCCTGGCCGTCGTTCGGTTGCGTTTGTGCAAAATGTACCATCGCCTCAGTCTTGCTCATGTCACATATGTTCTTTTTGTGGAGCGGAGACCAGTTTGGAAGCAAAGGGTGACCAGCCTGGTCTCCTGTGGGAATATTTGCCCAGAGAGGAGCATTCCAAGTTCTAGCTAGATATTAAGGTGTCACACATCATTCCATCTCATCTCCTTTTACTTATTTTTTTATTTTCGCTGTCTCTCATTCTGTTACTGCTCCCTGAACATCTGATGGCTGAGGGATATTCTATTGCTTTTATAGTATCACTTGTCTTAATCAACTTTTTATACATTTTTCATGATATTAAAAATAGTTGTAATTGCATTAAAAAAAAAAATATACGGTAAGTATGAAGTTAGGTAGAGGAAGTAAGGCACCTACCAAATATATGCATGTATTATACACACCTGGTGTAGTAAATTTTCTAATTAAATCACTTCCTAGCATCGATACGTATGGATGTGGGATGGGCAGGCCTTCAGAGAAGTGTTGCCAATGATTCATCTTGCATCACTGGTGTTCCCCATAATGGCCTAACTGACCTGCCCAGAAAGTGGGTGGTCATGACCACTGAAAGGATGTGCCATCAATCACACAAGAATGGAAACTTTTTGGCACGCCCTCACAAAACGGGACCATCTAAAGTGCAGAGGACACTAGGACCATGCAAGGAGCACAGCGCGAGTGCCTCTGAGGGGTTTGCACTGTGATGCCTGGGGACAGTTTACTAGTGTCCCTGGATGTGGGACACCAGGGAACTAAATTGTGACAGTAGGACAGGGAACTAAAATGGGGACTGTCCAGCCAAAAGTGAAAGCCTGATTAAATGTTTGTTTTCCCCCTTTGTTCTTAATGTATGCCAAATAACACTTATTAAAATGTAATACTGTGGTATCTTGTATCTAAGTTGTCTAAAGATATTCACTGTTCTTATTCTAGAAACGGCAGAAAACATTGGATTTGCTTGTGAGCTTTTAACAGACGAAACAGCGATTTGTTATGGTGAAGATATCAAGTAAGTTAGTCTTCCAGCATACAATAATTGAAGGGGCTCCAAAGGGGTGAAATTTTATTTTGTATCTGAATAAATACCAGCTATGTGATTCTGATGTGACAAGTACTGTTTAAATTGTGTTTAAAAAATATCACATTTAAGGCTGCTATGGTCTACGGGGAATCCTTAACTTTTGCTGAAGCTGTCTAGAACTTCATTGTGTCTGAGTATTCTTGTGGGTTTTTTCTCTGTTTCTACACATACATATTTGTCTGTAGTTTAAATTTCCCTACAATGTAGTTCTATTTGACAGAAAACTCCAGGGAACCACAAGACTTGTATCACCTGGGGAACTTGAGAAAAATATTTTATTTTTATGTGATGTCAAAGAAGCTACTCTTTTTCCATCCCTACATGAAAGAGCCCTTTGATCTATATTATGATATAGTAGTGTAAAAGTGTACATTTAAAAAAACACTGTTAAAGGACCCCTATAGTGCCAGGAAAACATACTTGTTTTCCTGGCACTATAGTGCCCTGAGGGTGCCCCCACCCTCAGGGTCCCCCTCCGTCGGGCTCTGGGGAGAGGAAGGGGTTAAAATCTTATCTTTCTCCTTCCTAGTGACGTCATCGGCTGAATGCGCAGGAGCCGCGCGCGCATTCAGCCGATGACGTCACTAGGAAGGAGAAAGCTTTCCTATGGACGCTGGCATCTTCTCACTGTGATTTTCACAGTGAGAAGCACGCAAGCGCCTCTAGTGGCTGTCAATGAGACTGCCACTAGAGGCTCTAGAGGCTGGATTAACCCTATTATAAACATATGCTATGCTTATAAAAAAAAAAAGGGTTAACCCTAGCTGGACCAGGCACCCAGACCACTTCATTAAGCTGAAGTGGTCTGGGTGCCTATAGTGGTCCTTTAAGTCCTTAATTCTATGTATATTCTAAGATGCACTCTTCTGTTTAATTAAATGTGTTTTGATACTACTGTGTTCATGAAATCCACTAGTTGCGGATCATGGGAATTGTAGTCCACTTAATGTTTCAGATTGCCTGTGGATGTTATTTTGTTTGTGTATTAAGTACAATTTAGACAGAAAATTTCTGATTGCGTCTCTTTTAGAATTTTCCAAGAATTTCTCATGTTGGTTAACTTCTTGCAAGTCTTTTGTCCTTAAACTTCTTGTTCATTCTGTTATCCTGCAGCGCCCTTTTAAACACGAGAATGGAAAATCAGAGGAACATAGTAGCAGGAAATCCGGGAGCATCAGTCAGCCATGAGCCTTATTTCCAGCCGGGCCAAAAACGTGCACTAATTATAACCGGTTCTTGGCTGGTATGTATTCACTGCACTGAGAGCCATACTTTAATGAAAATAATTGTTAAATATATAGAATGTTATGTAATTAGGAGGCAAAAGGGTTTGTGTATATAAACAAAGTATTTACACCGGCTGTGTGTGTGCACTTTATGTACAAATCTTTTACTTCATCCATTATACCGGTACATTTGTTCCTTTTTTTTTTTTTTTTTTTTTTTTTTTTTTTTTTTTTTTTTCTTTTTTTCCCTTTTTTTTTTTTTTTTTTTTACCTTGATGAATTTACCATTGATTACATTTACAGAAAAGGAAAACAAATTGCTGTAGTAAAAAATATGTACATTTTCAATTGAAAGGATATATTTTTTTTTTTATTTTTTTTTTATACATTAAGCAAAAAGGAAGACAACAGTGAATAGTGGTGAATATTTGTCGGAGGGAAAAGAACAAATTCAGTCTTTCAGAATTTTTTTATTTTTGTAAACATTAGGAGACACACATATTTTTTGTGAACCTAAAAAATAACAAAAACAGGGGGGAAATGCAAATGAGACCAGTCTTTGATGTCTGTAAGCTTAACTTCATAAACTTCCATCTGTGTTTCCATAAGTTGTAGGTGATCCGCCAGGCTATTTATTGTGTACTTCAGCATATTCAGCCAATTTAGTTTCAACGTCAGAGCTTCTGGCCACAAGTTCTTGTATGTTCTTCCTGAGGTCTCCCACTGTTTTTTGTAGTTTACCCATCAGCTTTTCACACACGGTGTCAATGAGAGAACGCAAAACTCGTTGGGTAATTGTCATAACCCCGGGATCTGAGACACTGTGTGAATGATCGTGATCCTCAGCCCCACCATATTGATCCTGCTCAAGGAGCGATGCCACTCTGTTGGACCATTCAGGCGACAAACAAACTTGTCATTTTTCCTGGTATGCTTCTTGCTCCTAAATTCACAGGGGAAATTATGTCCAAGTCTTCTAAAATTAGCTGTAATATCACTCTCTTAAGGGCTAAGTTGCAGCTTAGCTTCAGACTTTTGCTTCCATGCACCTCGAAGTCTAGACCTCGCCATGTGTGGTCCTATTTCTGAACACAGCTAGGAGCTTTTTCGGTTTGCAGCAGAGCATTGTATTCATATTCAACCAATTTGCTCACACAAATAAAAAAAAGGATTATAAACCGGTTACGTTTAAAAAGGAACATTGATGCTTTATACAATACAAAGTGAAATATTGGCATTTATGAACTACCTAAATATTTTAAATAAGCTTATCCAATTGTGTCCATCGTAATAAACTTTATTGTTGGACATCATTGTTTTAAACAAAAATTCTGCATTTGTATAGGCGTGCCATATATTCATTTTTTCCCATTATTATTTATCGTACAGAATGAAATACTCCTTGAGAAGAAGAAAAGGAAAAAGAGAGGTCTGAAACTCAAATTCCCCAAGACTAAAGAAGAGCAACAGAAAAATGTAATCGAGAAACAGGCAACCTATGCGCTAAAAGAGCAAAGACAGAAGAACTTTGTGGATCTCGCCTGCGAGTGCAGTTCGGTGATCTGCTGCAGGGTAACTCCTAAGCAGAAGGCCATGGTGGTGGATTTAGTAAAGCGATACAAGAAAGCGGTCACACTCGCAATTGGAGATGGAGCCAACGATGTTAACATGATTAAAAGTAAGAAAGTAACTCGTGTTAAGTATAATGCGAATCTGTAATTCTGTATCTGCAACATAAACAAATGCAAAAAACTGCACAAAAAAATGTGCAAACGTTATTTTAAAAAGTGAAATAATATACCGCCGTGTAAACGACACCATCATTATTAATAAATGTAATTAATACTTTCCATACAAATACATGAAAGATGTCTACCTTAGGACTATCAAGTCCTGAACCATAAAATCTTAGAACACAACTAGGGATGCGGCAAATATACTGATTCCAAATGTACTGTTTGTTCTGATCTACATATCTCAAGCAGGGCCATGGGAAAAGTCTACGTTGAGCACAATAATTGTAGAAAAACAAGTAATTTTTTTCAGAATTCCCAGCTAAGGAGTAAGTAGACATTGTTTCAGATTTCATTCTGCATCCTTAGCAACGGAGCACTGTTTTAATCATAGCTTAACCAAAACCAGAAGGTTTCTAAATAGAAACCAAACATGGACTTCACAGTTAAACTTTTGTATCTTGTCCGCATGCTGCTGGTTCTGGTATACTTGTCGCATTACTAGTAGTGTTCTTAAGTAACTATGTATCTTCTTGTGCTTCTTTTGCTGTAACTCAAGGATACGAAATTGATGAGCCACAACATATTATTTTTCGAACACACACTTAAATGGACACTATAGGCACCCAGACCATTTTATCTCACTGAAGTGAGTGAAGTGCCCCCTGCAGTGTAAAACAATGTCATTTAATAGACACAGCAATATCTGATAAATAAAAAGCATTCAATTGGAGAAGTGCAGAACTTTCTACGCACGTGCTTCTCCTCTCCAATACTCCTCTCTCAGGAGCATTGGATTAGGCAAGATGTAAGTGATCCTTTAAAACAGTACTGATTGTTTAGATTTATTTAAAAAAAATTATTTATTGTCACAGACATTGTAGAAGTCTTATTTAAATTCAAAAGAAAGTACCAGGGCACCACAATCACTTGTCTTTACCAGCTTGTCTCCAATAACTTTTAGAGGGAGACAAATTATAACTAAAATAAGAGATCAGTATAGTAAAAAATATAACCATTTATTCAAATTCATATAACAAAAAAATGCTCTAAAACTACTTTTGAAGGTTGTTTGAAAGAGCACCATGTGTAGGTTGACGGTATATTGTATCGCGGAGTCTTTTTTTGGTCTATTACATAAAATAACTATGGTAATCAAGTGCCAAAATGAGTAAACTCTGTGAGTGACACACAACAAAAGCAATATTGTAAGACTTATAGACTAGTATAATCTGCCCCCTAGTGTTTGTTAGCCACAGTGCACAATCTTTCATACGATCAGGATTCACGCTTCAAGTTCCTAATATGTAATTCATTGACTTACAATTCCTGTGTTCTCACGTTCCGTTCAGTTGAGGATTGTTGCTGGCAGTGTGTATTTTGGTTTCTCTCATTTTAGTGATTTGTCTCTTGCCATCTAATTCCTTAACGGGCAGTTCTGTTTTTCCAATTTGTTTACAGAGTTTTACCAATACTTGCTTGACTTGCCCATTGGCTGTATTTCTGTATTTTCATAATATCTTCACTATGAAGTACGGCCAGATATTTTTATTCAGATTTGTTTTAATTAATTTTTTTCAGCAGTCTGAAAAGCCATTTGCTGCCAGTGGCTAATAGTTTACTCAAATCTTTAGATCAGAGTCTTTTTTTCACTTTCTCATTTTGATCCACTGGTCCGGTTATGGGTCACAATAGTATACACATCCAATCAAGATATATATATATATATATATATAGATAGATATATAGATATATAGATATATAGATAGATATATCTCTATATATATATCTACGTTCTTTGACACTCAGTGAAGAAAATGGTTTTCACTTAAAAGGCTTTACTATTTTTACCACAAAGTTAGACTTTTTAGTAACTCTGCTTTCCTTTACAAAGTGCATTGCATAAAACACAAGTATTGTGTACATACAGTGCTTAAAGGTGGAGGTTCCTAGCAAGTTGCTCTTTTTATATCTCAAAGAAATGTAACCCCTATAACGCTTTACTAGTCTATGGTCTATTTGGTGCCCGTTACTGCTTTAGCACTTTAAAGGGACTCAGAAATTACTTTACATTGTGTTGGTTATCCCATTAGAGCTTAAAAGATCTTGTAAAGTTTACAAATGTATCCTTGTGTTTCCATTACAGCTGCCCATATCGGTGTTGGTATAAGTGGCCAGGAAGGAATGCAAGCTGTCATGTCCAGTGATTACTCCTTTGCACAATTTAAATATCTTCAAAGACTTCTCTTAGTCCACGGCCGCTGGTCCTACATCCGCATGTGCAAATTTCTCGGGTACTTTTTCTACAAAAACTTTGCATTTACATTGGTTCATTTCTGGTATGCATTCTTCAACGGCTTTTCTGCACAGGTAAGAAGAATTATGGAAAAGTATTTACTAATGCTGTACACGTAGATTTTTGAGTGGGTATGTTTTTTTTATTTTTTATTATATGATGTTATAAAAAAATTTTGGGCAGATTTACTCTTGATAAATGTAATTATCACGTTTGTCAAACATATTGTGGCCAATAGATAGAACATCGTAAATGTCCCTCTACTTTATATGTACAACCTGCTGATATTAAAATAGATATGTATTCAATTGTTACATTTTATATAGATCAGAGGTCTAGGATAATGCATACAATCATGTCACTTAAATTGAACCAAAGATAAATTGGACCAAATTCCTTACATCTGATATACATATAAAGAAGCTTCAGAAACTCAATTGGTTCACATGAAGAGCATTTTTATTGGCTCATAACGTAAAGAGCAACATTTTGACCATAACAAAGGTCTTTGTCAAGCATGTTGCTCCTTGCGTTATGATCTAATAAAACTGCTCTTTCTATAGTACAAGGAAGGTATCATCGTTTTAATGCATATAAGGTTAGTAGCTGTCAAAGGACAAAATACCACTGCACAACAGTATGCATTTTTTTATTTTTTTTTTTTAAAGTGCTCAACTTTCGATATTTTATCAGGACTGGGGTGCTCAAAAGATAGATCTCCAACTATTGTAGGACTACAACTCCCATGATTCTCATCTGTGCTACAGGCATTCTGAAACTTTGACATAATTACTCACAGTAACCTTATCTGTAATCATAAAAACGTAGAATGTGACGACAGATAAGAACCATTCAGCCCATCTAGTCTGCCCAATTTTTTAAATACTTCCATTAGTCCCTGGCCTTATCTTATAGCTAGGATACCCAACAGAAAATTGCATTAGGCTTGTCAGTAAAAGCAAAAAATTCAAGAAACCACTGTGGTACTCCGCAGATGTGGCCAAAATAGTTAAAAACAAAAAGTTAGCATTTAGGAATTATAAAAAAACCCAGAGTGAGGGAGACAAAATGATCTATAAGATTAGGCAGAAAGAGGCTAAGCAAGTTATAAGAGCTTCCAAATCACACACAGAAGAGAAAATAGCACAGTCAGTAAAAAAGGGGGATAAAACATTTTTTAGATACATAAATGAGAAAAGAAAAGTAAAACAAGGATTAGTTAGATTAAAAACAAAAGAAGGAAGGTATGTAGAAGAGGATAAAGGTCAGGCTGACTGCCTCAATGAATATTTTTGTTGTGTATTTACAGAAGAAAATGAAGGAAAGGGACCTCAGTTGAGAAAAAGGATAAATGAGTCATTTATTACACATGAGTTTACAGAGGAAGAGGTTCTATTTCAACTGTCAAAAGTAAAGACAAATAAGTCAATGGGACCTGATGGAATACACCCAAAGCTATTAAAAGAGCTTAGTGGTGTACTAGCAAAACCATTAACAGATTTATTTAACCAATCATTGTTAACAGGAGTAGTCCCAGAAGATTGGAAGTTAGCGAATGTTGTGCCCATTTACAAGAAAGGTAATAGGGAGGAGTCGGGCAACTATAGGCCAGTAAGCCTTACTTCAGTAGTGGGGAAAGTGATGGAAACCATGTTAAAGGATAGGATTGTTGAACATCTAAAAACACATGGATTTCAAGATCAGAGACAACATGGGTTTACTTCAGGGAGATCATGCCAAACTAATCTTATTGATTTTTTTGATTGGGTAACTAAAACTATAGATCAGGGTGGTGCAGTAGACATTGCTTACCTAGATTTCAGTAAGGCTTTTGACACTGTTGCACATAGAAGGCTTATCAATAAACTGCAATCTTTAAGTTTGGATTCCAATATTGTTGAATGGGTAAGGCAGTGGCTGAGTGACAGGCAACAGAGGGTTGTAGTTAATGGAATATATTCGAAGCTTGGACTTGTCACCAGTGGGGTACCTCAAGGATCTGTACTTGGACCCATTCTCTTTAATATTTTTATTAGTGATATTGCAGAAGGTCTTGATGGTAAGGTATGTCTTTTGCTGATGATACTAAGATATGTAACAGGGTTGATGTTCCAGGAGGGATAAGCCAAATGACAAATGATTTAGGTAAACTAGAAAAATGGTCAGAATTGTGGCAACTGACATTTAATGTGGATAAGTGCAAGATAATGCATCTTGGACGTAAAAACCCAAGGGCAGAGTACAGAATATTTGATAGAGTCCTAACCTCAACATATGAGGAAAGGGATTTAGGGTGATTATTTCTGATGACTTAAAGGTAGGCAGACAATGTAATAGAGCAGCAGGAAATGCTAGCAGAATGCTTGGTTGTATAGGGAGAGGTATTAGCAGTAGAAAGAGGGAAGTGCTCATGCCATTGTACAGAACACTGGTGAGACCTCACTTGGAGTATTGTACACAGTACTGTAGACCGTATCTTCAGAAGGATATTGATACCTTAGAGAGGGTTCAGAGAAGGGCTACTAAACTGGTTCATGGATTGCGGGATAAAACTTACCAGGAAAGGTTAAAGGATCTTAACATGTATAGCTTGGAGGAAAGACGAGACAGGGGGGATATGATAGAAACATTTAAATATATAAAGGGAATCAACACAGTAAAGGAGGAGACTATATTTAAAAGAAGAAAAACTACCACAACAAGAGGACATAGTCTTAAATTAGAGGGACAAAGGTTTAAAAATAATATCAGGAAGTATTACTTTACTGAGAGGGTAGTGGATGCATGGAATAGCCTTCCAGCTGAAGAGGTAGAGGTTAACACAGTGAAGGAGTTTAAGCATGCATGGGATAGGCATAAGGCTAGGGACTAATGAAAGTTTTTAGAAAATTGGGCAGACTAGATGGACCGAATGGTTCTTATCTGCCGTCACATTCTATGTTTCTATGTTTCTACCCTTATGCCTATCCTGCGCTTGTGTAAACTCCTTTACTGTGTTAACCTCTACCACTTCAGCTGGAAGGCTATTCCATGCATCCACTACCCTTTCAGTAAGGTAATACTTCCTGATATTATTTTTAAACCTTTGCCCCTCTAATGTAAGACACTGTCCTCTGGTTGTGGTAGTTTTTCTTCGTATAGACAAGATATGTGGTAATATGATTTTGTTCTGCATTCACACACACATTGCATAGTTCCTGTGAATTCTATGCAGAGGTTGTGTAACTTTAAGAACACAGTGTATTAATCTGCATCTCCCATTGTATTTTACTTTGTACCTCCAAGCTATCAGTTTTCTACATATACCCAATGTTCATCAACGCTTAAACATTCGCTGATCTGATATCCAATAAAATATAAAAACCAAAAAATAATCTGCTAATATTAAAAAAAATCTGTACTTCTGAATTGATCTCCTTGATCACAGTAGAGTGATAAATATGCTCAATATGCTTTTAATAAAAATCCTGGGGAGACTGGGGTCCGGAAAGATATTTCTGAGGTTCACTTTCATTCACAATTGATGCAGGAAACAGATTAGTGTTTTATTCACTTGGGGAGTGATTTTATATACCAAATAAACCAGAGAGGGAGAATTTGTCCTGAAGCAGTTGATTATTACATTATGCCATTTATTTCTCTTGAAATGCGCAGGTCAGAGTGCAATTAGATTTATTACATGTAAATGTTTTAACATAAAAACTGATTTAATTTGGATTGCATTCTCTTTCCAGACAGTGTATGAAAGCTGGTTCATATCGTTGTACAATGTACTTTACTCCAGCCTCCCTGTTCTCCTTGTTGGTTTGTTGGATCAGGTAGGAAAAAAATAATAATTAAGGAACGCTCCAAACACCTAAAGCTTGCTGAAGAATGTGTGCCTCCCCCCCCCCTTTTTTTTTCCATTTTACAAAAAGTTAATATTTCTATATAAATTAGCACTATTATAAATCAATCTTGTTACACCCTTGTTGCTGTCAAAAAGACAACAAGTCATGTTACTTCCTGGTTGTTTAGCTCATTGGAGCTAAACTAAAGGGCATCAATTGCCCAGAGCACCTGCCTTGCAAAGACCTGTCATTCAACTGCATTGGGAAGACTGTGATTGGACAGTCACAGAAAGTCTGGGCAGGGGAAGAAGAGGAGGGCTTACAGTCTGGGGCCAGATTTCCCATTAGCCTACAGGTGCCTGCACTAGGGGGCGTCGGTTTCCAGCACTAATAATGTGCATTTTTTAGCTTAAATAGGCTGATAGGGAGATACGTACCAGGAACCTTGGAAAGTGTCCTCTGTAGGCCAGTCAACCCTAATAGCTGAGCTGAAGCAGCTACACAGGGTGTAAAACTGTGTTATCCTAGCTCCTCCAGTGTTTTTTTTGTGTGGGGCTTGATAGGAAGAAGGGAAAACCATCAGTCAACTAGTAACCTCTCACAGAGGAAATGCTTTGTAGGAGAAGCCTTAACTGATACACACTGCATAACTGCTCCTGGATCTCGAATATCAATCTGACTGGTCTACAGAAGACATAGGAGGGTGAGTACTTTGTAAATAACCCTTCAAGTTCCAGCACTCAAAGCCTAAACCTTATAGGCACCCAGACCTCTTCATCTCATTGAAATGGTCTGGGTGCAGTGTCTGTTACCATAAACCCTGGTTTAATGCTTTCCTATGGTGAAGGCCTAATGTGCCCGCGCTGCGCTCTCCACACATGGGCAATAGGTTGCATCCATTGGCTAATGTCGGAGGAGGAGTGCTACCCACACTGGAATCAGCTAAGTGACTTAAAGGGTTTTTTACTCTTTCATTGAAGGGGAGCAGCATGGCTCCTAGGGCAAAGGGACTCCTTAGCATTAAGAATACATCTTTGTATACCTAACACTTAAGGTTTCCTTCAGAAACTAAACACCTCACGTACCCCTGTAATAAATTTAACCCAACTTTGGTCCTGAGATATAAATCCGGCCCTGTTTGCAAATAACTGTTTATTTACATATCCATTCTCTAAACATTGAATATCAACCGAATCAGTCGAATACTGTTTGGCTGTCAATATTGTTGTTGTTTTAACCCATTCAACTACTCAGAAATGGAAATTTGGTTATTTCAACTCCATTTACCAGTCTATTCATCTGCAGTTTAGTTAGTCTGTCAAAATTGTCCAAATAACATGACTGATTCAGCTATTCACAAACAGCCAAGATTGGGTTTGTTTATTTTTTCCTATCTTCCTAAACTAAACACCACTTAACCCCTAAGAACTCCAGCCCTAACTCCTCTCCAAACCTGACTCTGACAATAGTGGCGTCTTTCTCATCCCCTATGCCCCTTTCTCCTTTAGGAGGGAGAGCTTGCTGAAATCTGGTTTTAATTTGGTTGAGTTATTTTCAAATAAGACATACTGTGGCAACAGGATAGATTTGAAAGTGGCGGGGATCCAGCTTCGTTTGGTTAGCAAATTCTGTGTTTAATGAATAAATGTCTTTGTACAGTATTACCACTTAGATCCATTCTTGCTATTGTTTATATTAATATTGGACCTAGCAATGTTTTGACCTCAGAAGGCATTTGTCAAGACTCTTGGCTTTCTTTATTGTGTGTGTTTATTAGGGACCTTGAGTGGGTTCTAGATGAGGTGCATCTGATTGCATCCTATGATTTAGTGCTGCATGTTAAATGTGTTTCATTACCTTTCCACATTCCTTGCCACACTGAGGCATTAAAATAATTCTATAGTGTTAGGAATACAAATCTGTATTAAAAAACTCTTTAGATACTTACCAGATTCCAATGCCTCTTCTGATGGGCGGTGGGGGTGGGGGGGGAGGGGGATAATGCACATGCGCCACAAGTGCCTATGGCCTTCCCCAATGCTGCACTGCTTTCTTATGGAGATGTTATGGACGCTGAATGTACTCCTGCAGAGTGAGGACGTCCAGCGTCAGGTAGGCAAAAGTCCGTAAGCAACCAAGAAGTGCCTCTAGTTACAATTTCTCAAAAAACTGGAATGATTTGCAATGATTTGGTTAAATATTCGATTTTACTCCAGTATGATTAAGCAATTTATAGCAAGTGCAAGTTCTAATTAGGGACCAAATGTTATGTGTGAGAACAAACCATCGTTCTTGTATAGGTATTTTTACGTTCAAAATATTAGTTTTCAACTGGCAAAATATCGCTGTAGGCTTTTGTTAACCATTTTGTGGTAAGGTGTACAGCACATTTTTATGCAGTTTTTTGCTTAACTTTTAATAATCTTCTCTTGAAGGATGTAAGTGACAAGCTAAGTCTCCGGTTCCCACGTTTGTATATTCCTGGCCAAAAAGATCATCTCTTCAATTATAAGAAGTTCTTTTTGAGTCTGCTTCACGGTATAGTGACATCCCTCGTCATTTTCTTCATACCATATGGAGCATTCTTATTGACCATGGGACAGGATGGAGAAGCCCCCTCGGATTATCAGTCATTTGCAGTCACGACGGCTACAGCACTTGTCATTACTGTTAATTTCCAGGCAAGTAGAAACTCAAACTTAAAAAAACTAAACGTTTATTTTTAATATGATCTTTTAATGTGACAATACAGTTATATTCTGCAAGTGGTGTTTAAGCCATTGCGATCCCCATGTATGAGATTTCCTATTAGGACCATTCAATTATGTCAGGGTTATCATTTATAATATAGACACAGGTATACTAATTTAAGAGTGCCTGAGTGTGATTGTAAATGGAATACTCTAAGCACCAGAACCACAAACTGCTGTAGTGGTTATGGTATTAGGTGTGTCTTATCATGATCCCTGGTAAGATGGCAAGCTGATTCCAAATTGGTTGGGAAGCGGCAGGAAACAACGGTTATTCATATTACAGCATGCTGTAGTGGTTAAGGTTGCTTACAATACTCCTTTAATGACTAGTGACTTTTTGAATACATAATGACGCTTCTGCAGTATCTGTGTGAGTGAGGATTTCTGTGTGAGGATTTCTGTGTGTGTGTAGAACCATTGTGCATACATGGGACTCACATTGTATACATGCAGTAATAGTGCTTGATCACACATTCTTTATTTGGAGTCGTTTAAGTGTAGCTTCGACCTGTTGCATTCACTGTTCCCCCTTTTTTTTTTTTTATCTGATATGAACCTGTATATCACATTTTAACTTCTCTCTTAACTCCTGCCCTAAAGCCACTAATCCTCATTAGATTGAACATAAAATGCTATCTTTTTATCGATTTTTGTCTATTGAAAAATGATTATTACTATATTTATATAACGCCATGTACCCATGTATTTATATACTATAACTTGCATATGACAAATATTGTTCTTTTCTGGAAAGTATAAACTTTAATATGTCAGTTACTTTTATGCATGAAGACTGGATAATGTGTGCTGTTTCTATTGTTTTGCAATTTGCTTCTAGAGGCGATTGGGCTTTCAAGTCTGGAAAATTTACAACTAACTTGCCTATCGTTCTGTGACAACATTGTGAAAAGTTATGACAAACATAATAAAGATTAATAAAATATATATTGAAGGATACAATTGAGTTAACTTTTATTTATTTTTCTTGTTCTGGATAGATTGGGCTTGATACCTCGTACTGGACTTTCGTTAACGCGTTTTCAGTGTTTGGAAGTATTGCCATTTACTTTGGGATAATATTTGACCTCCACAGTGCTGGAATCCACGTTCTCTTTCCATCCACGTTCATATTCACAGGTATACTTAAGCCTTTCTCATTGCAAAGTTGTGTCTATGCATCTTCATATTCACTGCATATATAAACACTCTCTAAAGGTGCACCTTGCAGACACAGGATCTAGTGGTTGGAAAACTTCATGTGAGCCGTTACAGAAAGATTCAATTTTTAGTGTATTACTCATGTGAAAAATTATTTATACTTTGCCTAAAAATGGCATACGTCATATTCACTTGTGCAGTATATGTTGAAAAAGGATATCTGGCATTGCTTATTACATCACTTTTAGGCTTAGGGAAGGTGTTTTCAGAGTAGAGATGACCATCTTAGAATTGTTTTGATTGAAGGGATAAGAACAACTCTAGTGGCGGTCTTCCTGACAGCCACGAGAGGCGCTTGCACAGCAACAACAGAGTTTCATTAGGTCATGTGATATAACCGGTGCATCTTGTCCCCATTGCTCCTCTGTAAAGAGCAGTGGATTGGCCAATCATAGAAGAAGTAACACATCTAGGATGACATAGTGGGAGGAGGTTTTTTTTTAATTTTATTTTAATTTTTTATGTTGAAAAGGGGTTGGCTGAATCTAAATGTGGAGTAGGACACATTTGTTTAACATGTAAATAGCTCTTAATGTAATACAGTTCGTTTATCATACTTACTTTGACCAGGTGATATAATAGGCAGAGCTCTCGGTTTTGAACAAGTATTCTAATAATGCATCACAATGAATGGTTGGGCATAGGTTAACGATTTATCATGGGAGTTGTATTTTTACTGATGTAGTATTAATTTGATAACTAAAATATGCAACACATTTTTCTCTGCAAACATTCAGGCGCAGCACCAAATGCATTACGACAACCATATCTCTGGCTAACCATAATCCTTACTGTTGCCATCTGTCTACTTCCTATTGTTGCGATACGGTTCTTGAGCAAGATGATCTGGCCTACTGAAAGTGACCTAGTAAGTGACATTATTTCATCGGCAAGTTCCTACTACATTTCCTAATTCAAGAATAAATTATTTTATTTATTTATGGTATTACAGAGGACAACTGTGTAAGGGTGCTCTTTATGCCATAATGGCAAATTTGTTTGAGGCACAATACCCAAATTCCTACAGAAAAAGATCTGAAGGTTTACTGTTCATGTCGCACATTTGCCAAGAATGTTTTCTTTTGTTTGTTAGGTCACTACACCATTTATTTTAACACCATGTCTGCTGGTTGCATAAGCCTAATTATTTATTTGTGAGTTAGTTGTTTAGATCATAGGGTAATGATTTGAAAGTTTGAAACCTACGGGAGAGTGAGGTTCCTTTTGTTAATTAGCCAAATTTCTACAAATTCTCGTAACAATCTGTTTATTTTCAGGAGAACTGGGTGCACATTTGTAGCATAGGACATTACCAGGGATTGGGACACAAGCTACAACTGTATCACATCTGACAATTCTGTTGATCCAACACAGGGGTTCCTAATGTTTTTCAACATGGACCAAACTCTTAGCTTTCAACGCATCCTTCACTTCTAAAACGATCTCAATAACACATTCTTCAGTTTATAATTTGTAATATAATATATGCTAAACAAAACCTCTGCAGACCATCTTCACACACTGCTGTTGGATGTGTTTCCAGTACTATGAGGAAGGTAGGGCTGCTACAGGACACGGGTTGTTGTGAGCAATTGCCCGAGGGCTGACAAATGTGTGCCAGTTCCAAAAAGTGGGGACACAATAAATTGGCATGTGGTCCGGACCCAAAAAGTTAAGAACCACATTGATCAAACAACTAGTCTTCCAGCAAGTTAGACTGTACACCATGTTTAAATAGAACCATTAAATGATCACGGGAATGCCTCTTAATTTTGTTATAGTGAATTAGTAAGTATATTTTACAGGACCTATTTGCCAATGTAATTGACACCTTCTTTTGAACATTCAAATGTATTCTTTTATTTCTTTCTTTTCTTAGGTTCAGAAGAACAGAAAAAAATACAAGGAGGAAGCAAAGTGGAGACCGAGATTCAGTACAATTCGGCGTGGTGCAGCCGCGCGCCGTTCTGCTTATGCTTTCTCACACCAGAGAGGATATGCAGACCTCATCTCTACCGGACGCAGTATACGTAAAAAACGAGCAACACTTGACGCCGTCTTGGGGAGCAATGCTGCAGAAATTGTCCAGTCTGCTGGGAATATTTCATGATGCAATAAAACTTTCCGTTAGTCTTTCTTTTTTACTCAAATGGTTGCACATGGACTATGTGTATATATTTTTTTAAAAAGCCATTCTTTCTCTCAGGTTTTTTTGTGTTTTTTTCATTTTATAAAGCGGATACATATGTTACTATGTTCTACAACGCTGATTGCTTGAAACAAAAACTTTTCAAAACAAAAGGACTAATGTTTTGTTCAGGTTTTTTATTTTATATCTGTTCTACAAGAAGAAATGTTTTCTTAAGGAACTGTGGGTGCAAATTAGGGAGTGTCTTTCGAGGCATACATTAGTGATTGGTTTTGCCAAAGTTAAGCATGTGAATATGAACTGGCATTATACAAGCACAGCCAAATGTTTTAAATTCTGTGACTTCTGGATGTTTTCTCTGTACTTGGACATTTTTATTTGAACTGCAGCACCTGTAAAATTTGGTTTACATTTTAGCCTTTGGATATTTAAAAAGAATAATAAACTGTAGTAAAGTTATGTGTTCCTGTATTAATATCTCTATATTAAGGATTAATATTATCTATGATTTGTGGTATTTTTGTTTGGGGGGGGGTGAGGTTATGTATGTATGTGCAGTGGTGGAGAAAAGAAAGTACACTGTGAGTACTATAGTTTTACATATCGGGACATGATTACAATCATCTGTTCCTTAGCAGGTTTTAAAATTAGGTAACTACAACCTCAGATGAACAACAACACATGCCTTATTACACCATTTAATGATTTATTTAACAAAAATAAAGCCAAATGGAGAAGACAACATGTGTGAAAAATGTAGTACACCCTTACTGCTTCCATAGGAACGAAGAGGTAAGTAGCAGACAAATGACTTCTATATCATCAGTAAGTGTGACCACCTCTATAAAAGCCAATGTTTTAGCAGTTTGCAGGTCTGGAGCATTTAGGTGTGTGTTAACACAATACCAAGGAGGAGAGACATCAGCAATGATCTTAGAGAAGCAATTGTTGCTGCCCATTAAACTGGGAATGGTTGTAAGGCCGTGTGTGTGTGTGTGTGTGTGTGTTCAGGTGAGTGCAGCCCTCTTGGTTTCTATATTAGGGAGTCCAAGCCAACTCCCCAGTTTTGCACCCCTCTTTGTCACAGTGCATCATTCTAGGGCCCTATTTAATCTTGCACTGCAGAGCGCCCCGAGAGTAAGTTTTTCCTAAGTAACAGGGTTAATCTCGTAGTTCGGATAGGACCTCTCATTAATAGGGTACAGCCGTGCTTTGGCAAGCAAAGCTTATGCAATGTATGATCATATACTGCAATTAAACCCTAATTACTTTTGCCTAGGTAAGATGTTAACAAATAAATATTACATTCTGTGAGCTTTGAAGTTGCATTTAGTGATGTGTACAGTGGATAGGATGTATTTAGATTTTGCCAAGGCGTTTGATATGGTTCCACACAATATTATAAAGCGCTACGGAATCTGTTGGCGCTATATAAACGGCAATAATAATAGGCTAGGACATGTTTCGTCCATTTTTGGACTTTTTCAAGAGCTGAAAAAGTCCTGAAAATGGATAAACCCATTGAGCGAATCCAAATAGACGAATACACTGTAAACTTTGGTGAATTGGGACTGTGGCAAATGTGAGATACTGAATAACTGTGCTTTTCCAGCATATTGCTATTACTGCATATTATCCTGGGGACAGTGTGTACATCCCGGAGAAGTGGCCCCCTGCATATAAATATCACAATTTCTTTTGTGCGTACTTCTTTGTGAGTGTCTATTTGGCTATTTAACTTATGTTATATTAAATACTACACTATGAAACTTTTTTTGTGTGTTTTTCTCGTTATACGATCCATTATATATATATATTTATATACTTTGAGAGTGCTTTGACCAGATCTTTAAAGATAATATTTTCACTTTTGCTTACATCTTTTTCTGCATAGAATTGTGAGGTTTACACTGTGCACTTTATTATTGGCGCCAAAGACAATTTTTGGTTTATTGCACATGTTTTTTGGAACTATTAGAGGTGGTTCTGTCTTAAGGCTGCACAATTGCGCTCTCAGGGGATCTGTCTCCTAGATGTTTCTCTAGAAGTTTTATGCCACTTGCTTAATAGCCTTTTAAAGGAAATGTATTCGCTATCATAGTGTCATTTTGTTTTAACTGATTGTGGTTCATGTCTTTTGGCCTTTGTATATTGTGTGTTAATGTTGATGAAACCCCTGAAGCTGTATAAATGTATACCACTAGCCCTTTTACTGGGTAAGCGTGATGCCAGTGATGAAGTAGATTTTATCTATGAAACGCGTGCATTCGCTTATTCCAGTGGCACGTATTACATCACTGGCGGGCGTAGTTGGAACGCATGCCGAAACACATCTTCCAGAATTCACATGGCCGCAGGTATGAAGTAACAGTCGGTGCTTTGCTTGACTGACGCTGAAGAGGGGTAGTTTCTCATCGCCTACATGTGTAAAGAGTTGTACTCCTGAGATGTTTGGAATATTTTCTGTGCAATAAAGAATTTTTTTTAAGTGGTAAAGAGAAACAAAAATTTGAATTTTTTTCCCTGTCCTGATCCTACTTAATTAAAGGCAAACTATAGTTACCAAAACAACTTTAGTTTATTGAAGCAGTTTTGGTGTATAGAACATGCCCCTGCAGCCTCACTGCTCAATCCTCTGCCATTTATGAGTTAAGTCACTTTGTTTAAACACTCTAGTCACACCTCCCTGCATGTGACTTACACAGCCTTCCTAAACACTTATAACACCTGTAAAAAGTAATCTAATGTTTACACTTCCTTTATTGCTAATTATGTTTAATTTAGAATTTCTTATCTCCTGCTCTGTTAATAGCTTGCTATACCCTGCAGGTGCCTCCTGTATGTAATTAAAGTTCAATTTGCAGAGCAGGAGATGAAAACTTTTTTTAAAAGTTACATCTGATTGAAAGTAAAACCATTTCTTTTCATGCAGGCTGTGTCAGTCAGAGGCAGGGGAGGTGTGGTTAGGGCTGCATGGACAGAAACAAAAGCGACTTTACTTTAAATGGCAGAGAATTGAGCAGTGAGAGGCATGATCTATACACAGAAAATTGCTTCATTAAGCTAAAGTTGTTTTGGTGACTATAGTGTCCCATGTCCGATTCCAGTGAACCAACAGTTTAATTCTTACCATTTTTGGCATTCATTTTTTGGGTGTTGGTCTTGCTCTCTTTCGATTGTGAGCTTTTCATTTTCTAATTTAGCCTATCTAACTGCCCTTTTGCAAGTCCTATTAGCAGGCTTACATTTGTTAGTGGGTTACTATTGACCCATGTGATTTAAATGTTTTGAATGCCCTTTTGTTATTGTTTATCACTTGACTGACCCTTTAGTAAGCCATATTGCTTTTTAATTTCCTTGTTTTCTATATGTTTCCCTATGATCTGCATTGATAAATGCTATTTTGTAGAATTTGTTTAAAAACCTTCCATTTGTCCTCTGTGGGTTTGCTACAATAGTTCTGGCCAGTCAATCTGTAGTTTAGTTGCCCATATCCTATGGAAATTAGCCTTTTCTTAAATTAAGTTACATAGGCTTGCGTCCATCAAGTACAGCCTTCCTCACATATGTTTTTGCTGTTGATCCAAAAGAAGGCAAAAACCCAGTCTGAAGCGTTTCCAATTTTGCAACAAACTAGGAAAAAAATTCATTCTTCACCCCAAAATGGCAATCAGAAATCTCCTTGGATCAAGCAGCTTTTACCCTACTAATTAGAAATAATACCACTGTGTTATGTTTTTGCAAACATTGGTTTTGTAAAGCCCATGTAAATTATTTTTTGTTTTTTTAGTTAATCTTACATGATACCATATTTGACGGCATTTAAATTGGTCCTGACTGAAGGAGTACTACCACCCTGTTAGACGGGGGTGAGGGGAGAGGGGAAGCATGTTGATCTGTCTGATGCCAATTAACAGCTTGCACCACAAAACCGTGTTGATTAGATGAGATCTTAAAACTTTACTGTGACATCTAGAACTTTGGGTTTGTCTTCAGTACTCAGAAGGGTGCAAGCAAACAGCTCATGAAGTACAATACTCGGGAGTAATCCACCATTCAGATCTGGGTGGATCACATTATACTTTAGGTGAAGTGTGGGCAGGGCCGGTGCAAGGATTTTTGCCGCCCTAGGCAAAAGTAAAGTTTGCCGCCCCCCCGTGACATCACAATGCCCCACCCATATGACCTGCCATGTTAACTAACGCTAGTGCTGCAGTGCCACTCTGTTTACATTAAAAGGCCTGCAGGGACAGGCTATAGACACCAGGACCACTACATTAAGCTGCTGTGGTTCTACTATACTAGATTACCTACTTACAAGCGGATGAGGATGATGATGGGCTCTAGCTGCAGTCTGGCTCCACTGGTCTGGTGTATAACAGGATCTCTGGAGGCTGTTTGTAACTGTGGTCACAAAAATCAATGTTCTGGGAGAACGAGAAGCAGCTCCATTTTTTGGGGGCCCTTTACACAGCTCAAGGTCTGGGTCCCAGGGTCCACCTTCATGTTCCACCAATGAGTTTGTTCACAGGGGGTAGAGTGTGTAGGGGATGTCCTGATTTGTGTGTAAGGAATGCATTGTGTGAATCTGTGTTTGTATGTGTAAGGGATGTAAGGGATGAAGTGTGTGAGTCTGTAAGGGGTGCTTTGAGTGTGTTTAAGGGGTGCATTGAGTGTGTGTAAGGAATGCATTGTGTGTTTCTGTGTGTGTAAGGGATGCATTGTGTGTAAGGGTTGCATTGCGTGTGTGTGTGTGTAATGCATTGTGTGTTTTTCTGTGTGCAAGGGGTTCATTGTCTTTGTGTGTAAGGGGTGCATTGTGTGTGATTGTGTGTGTGATGGATGTCAATCTCTTCCCCCCTCCCTTGTCACTCTCTTCTCCCCCCCTCCCTTGTTGCTCTCATTCCCCCTCCCTCCCCTGTCACTCCCCCCTCCCTGTCAATTTCTCTCTCCCCGTCAATTCCCCTCCCTGTCAATGTCTCCTCCCTCCCTGTTAGTTCCCCCCTTAGTTTCTTCCCCCCACCTCCCTGTTAGTTTCCCCCCCTGTTAGTTTCTTTCCCCCACCTCCCTGTTAGTTTCTTTCCCCCCACCTCCCTGTTAGTTAGTTTCTTTCCCCCCCTCCCTGTTAGTTTCTTTCTTGTCGGTTTCTTTCTCCCCCCCCCTCCCTGTCGGTTTCAACCTCCCCCCTCCTGTTAGTTTCTTTCTCCCCCCTCCTGTCAGTTTCTTTCTGCCTCCTGTCGGTTTCTTTCTCCCTCCTGTTAGTTTCTTTTTCTCCCCCCTCCCTGTTAGTTTCTTTCTCCCCTGTTGGTTTCTTTCTCCCCCCTCCTGTCAGTTTCTTTCTCCCCCCACTCCTGTCGGTTTCTTTCTCCCCCCTCCTGTCGGTTTCTTTCTCCCCCCTCCTCATCCCCCCCCTGGTTCTTTCTCCCCCTCCCTGTCGGTTTCTTTCCCCTCCCTCCCTGTTTCCTTCTTCCCCTTCCCTCCTGTTTCCTTCTTCCCCCCCTCCCTGTTTCCTTCTTCCCCTTCCCTCCCTGTTTCTTTCTCCCCCCCCTCCCCTGTGGTTTCTTTCTCCCCCTCCCTGTCAATTTCTTTTTCTCCCCCCTCCCTGTCAATTTCTTTCTCTCCCCCTGTCAATTTCTTTCTCTCCCCCGTCAATTTATTTCTCCCCCCTGTCAATTTCTTTCTCCCCCTCCCTGTCAATTTATTTCTCCCCCCTGTCAATTTCTTTCTCCCCCCTCCCCTACCTCTGTTGTAACGTGGCCGAGCCCTGTATGGTCCGCGGATACATGGAGCTTTTGTTTCCTGTACCCGGACAGACTAAAAAGAAGTGCACACTCAGTGTTAGTCCGGCCGGGTACAGAAGACAGATGCTCCCTGTACCCGCGGACCATACAGAGCTCTGCCACACTACAGTGAAGGAGTGACAGGAGGGAGCACTGAGCGCTGAGCGCTTCCCTCCTGTCAGCCCCTCTCCTCGTGCTGCGCCCGGGTGGTGCGCCCTCATGGACGCACCAGCCCAGGCAAAGCTGCAGCCGCCTGAGGCTCTCTACAGAGCCAAGAAGTAGCTGACATGGTTAACAGAAGCAACAATCATTACAGATTAAAACAGATTGAAAGATCAGTCCTCAGAGTCACAGCCCCAGTACTGTAGTTTGAAGCTTCTCAACTTTTCAGCTAGCCACAACATGAGTGTCTCAGGTCTCAACTGTAGATTTACAGAGCACTTTAAAGGAATGTATCGGTATGTGCAGTAGGCCTTATTAAAACTATTAGTGACAGGCAGCACAGTGCTCTGTGTCACAAATGCCCCACTCTTCTTGTTACCCCCGGCTTTACATATATTATT